ACTTCCTTTCTTTGCTGAGTTAGTGTTGCTTTGATGTTGGGAGAGGTAAACAGCCTTCATGCCTGGTGCTCCTTGGCCCGCAGAAGAGCCATTTGGAATGGGATTTATTTTGTAAGATTTACATGCCACTTGGTAGGAAGATAAAAGTTCAAACCTCAGAACTATACAGCCGGTGGAAGTGACTGGAGAGCTTTGCCAACCTGGTGCCCTCCAGATGTTTTGGACTACAACCACAGCTGGGACTGATGGCAGCTGTAGTTCAAAGCATCTAGAGGACACCATGTTGGCAAAGAATGAGTTAAGGTGTGATCAACATTTGGAGTTCTATAGCACAACATGACAAATTAAGGGCAAATGTCTGCACCTTCATTCTCTTACATCTGCTATTTCTTTTCTTTTAGCTTTAGGCTTTTTTTGGCCTTTAAGTTTAAAAAGCAGAATTGTTGAGCAAAATAAATTAATCAGTTCACATTCCACTGTGTATGTTGACGTTTTACTAGTCTTCTTAAGCATATCTTATAATTTAGCAGAGCAGCTTCTAGCATTCTGAATGCTGATATCTTTTTGACGACAATCATTTGAAGGAACCTGAGCTGAACTGTCAACTCAATGGGAACTGACTAACTTTGTTTTGTAAAGCGATGAGCAAAAAGTGGAATTAATTCCTTGTGAAACATCTTGAACTAGCCAAAAGAGCTTTTTGTATAACCGTAGTTGTAGCTGTTTGAAAGAAATGGAGTTAGAATGATTACAATTTGTTGAGCTAGGTAAAAGGAGCTGTGGGAGCCAGAATTCGTATGTCGTCTTGCAGGCTCTAGAAGGTATGTTGTAGATGTTCAAGGAGCAAATGATCAGAGTGCTGGGTGAAGGAGGAACTTATATTGAATCTGCAGAATAGCTGAACCACTTTCTTCTGCTGTTTTGTAGTCATGGCAAAGAGGCTGCTGCTGCTTTGGAACTGGCTAGTGCTCCTATATGGTGAGTTTGGTACAAACCAGCAACTGGCAAGTTGACCCTGCAAGGGAGATTTTTCTTGTACTCTTGTCTCTGTGGGGCAGTTGCAGATGCTGACAGAACAGGGAATTAATCACAGCCTGGCACATTTTTCATTGACTGAAAAATCTACTCCATGACTGTGGCTATCTGGCACAGAGCCTAGTGGAAGGTTACCAGTTTTTTTTCAATGAATCCGGGGACACTTTTCAACTTCAATGGATTTTATATGGGGACTGATTTGTAAATCTGGACTGTCCCTGGGAAACGGGGACGTCTGGTAACCTTAGACTGTTGGCCATGTTAACACATGCCCAGTCCCTACCATGGTGGGGAACCTACGTCCAATGTTGTTGGACTCCAACTCCCATCACTCCCAGCCAGCACTGCCAATGGTCAGGAACAACAGTGCCAAGTAAAGGGGGCCAAGAGGAGTACCCCCCCAAATTCAGCGAAGGGCCTGAGACCCCTCAAAGTTCCATGTATCCACACCAAACATCAGCATGCTCCGTGACATCAGCATGCACTATGGCATGTGACACAGGACAAGCATGCGGCAGGGCATGCTGATGTCATGCACATCTGCCATGGGGCGTGCTGATGTCATATGCACATGCCGCATGGTGTGCTGACATTGCACAGCCTGTGGCTCATCTCGGGCAAATTGCCACATCTGTTTCTGTTTTCCCTGGCCTCTGAATTTGCTGAGGTCAAAACAGGTATGAGGTGAACAGCAGCAGCTTCAGTTCCTGGGGAGCTGCCCTGGTCTGGCTGTTGCTCTGCAGCTTACCTGGGGCACCTTGCTCACCTGCCTGTCTGGGGCACTTGTTCACTCACTGAGCTCCTGCCTGCCTCCTTGCCCTGTCTCCCTCCTCCTCCAACACTGCTGTCCCATCATCAAGCTGCAGTTTGTAGCACCACCTGTGGGTAGCTACACAAACAGCAGCATGACAACTTCCTTACATTTTATTATTTAGTAAATATCAACCTGCTCTTTAAACACAGGCTTGCTAGTTAAAGTTAAGAAGTTCCCAGCAAATTAAGTACACCCCCTGCCCCAGAATGCTTTGGTGACCAAATTAAAAGACGCCTGATTCTTGGGAGAAAAGCAATGACAAACCTAGACAGCATCTTAAAAAGCAGAGACATCACCTTGCCGACAAAGGTCCATATAGTTAAAGCTATGGTTTTCCCAGTAGTGATGTTTGGAAGTGAGAGCTGGACCATAAAGAAGGCTGATTGCTGAAAAATTGATGCTTTTGAATTATGGTGCTGGAGGAGACTCTTGAGAGTCCCATGGACTACAAGAAGATCCAACCTCTCCATTCGTGAAGCTGAGGCTCCAATACTTTGGCTACCTCATGAGAAGAGAAGACTCCCTGGAAAAGACCTCGATGTTGGGAAAGATGGAGGGCACAAGGAGAAGGGGACGACAGAGGACGAGATGGTTGGACAGTGTTCTCGAAGCTACCAGCATGAGATTGACCAAGCTGCGGGGGGCAGTGGAAGACAGGAGTGCCTGGCATGCTCTGATCCATGGGGTCACAAAGAGTTCAACATGACTAAACGACTAAACAACAACATATTTTAAAACCTCATTTTTTCAATAAAACAATAGTCTCTTTGCCAAATATTAATCAGCCATGTTTCCAATTCATGTCACTCTCGTTTTTTCCGATGTGTGACATAAAGTTATATGAACTGCTGTTTATTATAAAATCTCTAGATGTGAAAGATGAGGCTTGTTTGGTATCCAAAAGATCCCTAACTAGGAAGGAGAGAGCATCATATCTTATGGCTAAGTTTGGCTTTAAAATTAACATAGAAACAAAAACTATAAATACTGCCTTCCTGACAGTGAATGAGTGTTCAAAGTTTTTAAATGGTGCCAGCCACGAAAAGTTTGTCATTTTCTTCTTCTGTGAAATAGCTTCTGGAAAAATCTTATTCTGTTGTCCAAGTGCAATGGGGGAAAGAGATTATTTTGAATTCTGCTGGCAAGAGTGTCAGACAATTGAAACTTAGGTAAAGGTAAAGGTAAAGGGACCCCTGACCATTAGGTCCAGTCGTGGCCGACTCTGGGGTTGCGGCGCTCATCTCGCTTTATTGGCTGAGGGAGCCGGCGTACAGCTTCCGGGTCATGTGGCCAGCATGATTAAGCCACTTCTGGCGAACCAGAGCAGTGCACGGAAACACCGTTTACCTTCCCACCGGAGCGGTACCTATTTATCTACTTGCACTTTGACGTGCTTTCGAACTGCTAGGTTGGCAGGAGCAGGGACCGAGCAACGGGAGCTCACCCGTCGTGGGGATTCGAACCGCCAACCTTCTGATCGGCAAGTCCTAGGCTCTGTAGTTTAACCCACAGCGCCACCCATGTCCCCAATTGAAACTTAGAAGCATAGAATTGTAGAGCTATAAGATATATTGAGGGTAATTATGGGGATTGGGTGGTATAGAAAGGAGTGGCATGTAGATAATCATATCTTGGTGGATTATTTCTAGGAATTGTCAGATGCTCTTCTGTTTACTTTTAGGTTTACACATGATAAGGGAAGATGGCAGAGGTTTATAGTGAAAGGAAGGAACACGTTTACCAGATGCTCTTTCAATTCAGCTTGCTTAGAACAAGAGGGACTAGGAAGTGAAGTTTCTCTTCAGGCCTCTCAAGACCACAAACAAAACTTCTTAGAGCACATCTTTAAGATGTTTGCACTTGACTATCCCTTTCAATCTGCCTTTCAGGATATTGTGGAGCAAGTACCTGTGGGAAAGAATTTGTCACAGCCTTCCTGAAGAACTACTTGCCAAGCCAGCACAATGTTTCATTTGAGCTGCTTATCACTGGATATCAACCTGCCACCACCGTCACAGTCACAGTGAACAAGTCTACATTCCAGAAAATGGTTTCTGTCAATGAGAAAGAGACCGTGTCCGTTGTGGTCCCGGCCTCCTCAGAGATGAGGGGGAGCAACGTTTTTGATCAGACTGTGTGGATTCAAGCTGACAAAGACGTCTCTGTCTTTTCCATCAATTACAAGGCTGTCACAAGTGCTGCCACAGTTGTGCACCCAGTCCAACAGCTGGGCACATTGTATTATGTGGTAACCCCAGCGGGCAATCACATGCCACACAATTTCAAAGAATTTGCAGTTGTAGCCCATAAATCTCCCACTCGAGTTACTATTCACCTGAAAGGGGCTGTGACATTCAAAGGGAAGGGTTATCCTGCAGGAAGCTAGCTTGTTGTTGACCTCAAAGCCTTCCAAGCAATCCAGCTGCAAAGCTCAGTTGATTTATCAGGCACCAAGGTTGAATCAGTTGCGTCCGTGGCTGTTTTGAGTGAGCACAGCTGCACTATGCAATTCACAACTTGCGACCATGTTGTTGAGCAGCTCTTGCCTGTTTCCAGCTGGGGTACCAACTTCATAGTTCCCACCCCTCCTTGCCTTCCAAACCAAAATTGACATTGTGTATGTCATTGCTTCCCAAAATACCTTGATCAAATTGTTGGGATATGACTACTACGCAGCTGAGAACAAGCAGTTTGATGTTTACATCACATGATGGCCCTGACCGTTGGACAGGAAGTTTCAGGGATTTCTCAGGCATTTGTTCTTTGTGTAATATGAGACCTTCCTGTTGCTTTTGTGAAGGAAGTCTCAGTGAGTTGCTCGGAGAAGACTGAGCGAGCAGACATGTTTTTGTACAGTTGTACAGTCAGAAATAAACCGTAGACGAAATAGACTTTCTGACTATCTTCTTTCTCCTGCTGGTATGCAAGGAAGAAGGGGGTGTGCACCTTTCATGCAGGGAGGTGTCGCCTATATCAAGATCTTCCTGAACTGCCGGGATGCCAGCCAGGGTAGATCACCGGCAAACAAGCCCCGGGAGCCTGGGAGAGGGGCCAGCCTCTCCTGAGGGGGCTAGTTTTTCAACACAAATACCATTCTGGAACCACTCAGGGTTCCCATCAGGCAAAGGCTGGGCAAGTCGTCCAGTTCAAAATGCAACCCTCTCAGCCATTTCACTTCTCTGCCAATGCAGGAATCCAGGTCCTTTTCTTCTATACTGGTGCCAAAAACCAAAATGTCACGCATGAATCATTCCTCATCAATATTCCAGCCTTAACCAGCTATTCCACATCGTATCGCACTGGTGGGATAAGACGGTTTGCAAATTTTGCTGTGGTCATAGCCAAAACCTCAGTTTCCAGTGGGATCAGATTAGAGAAGAAAGTCTTTACAAACACTGAGTGGAGACCAATTCCTGGAACAGAATATTCTTTTACTCAGCTCAGTTTGGGCCGAAAAGCTACTGCTGTCTCTGTAGAGCATCCCAGTACTCCTTTTGGACTCTTGATCTTTGGAGTCTCACCTTTCATTGGCATTGGTTCCACAGCCCTTTGCTCCTGTGGTAAGTATCCCAATCTGTGCATAATATATGGCCGGGGAGGGCGGCGTATAAATAAATTTTATTATTATTATTAGTCTTCTGTGCTACTAAAGGTTAAAGTATGGTTAAAGTAAGCTACATCTTATTTAAATATCCCTATATCCTGTGGCTTCTCCCACTCCCAATATTTCCACCCTTTTGCCTTCCAGCACTGCATGCCAGCTTTTAATATTACTGTAGCATCGCCCATTGTCAAACAAAGTGGCCGCTTCTGGGCAGTAACTGAAGGCCATTTTATCTCACCACACTGAGAGCCAGTGTGGTGTAGTGGTTAAGAGTGGTAGTCTCCTAATCTGGGGAACCGGGTTCGCGTCTCCCCTCCTTCACATGCAGCTGCTGGGTGACCTTGGGCCAGTCACGTTTCTTTGAAGTCTCTCAGCCCCGCTCACCTCACAGAGTGTTTGTTGTGGGGGAGGAAGGGAAAGGAGAATGTTAGCCGCTTTGAGACTCCTTAAAGGGAGTGAAAGGCGGGATATCAAATCCAAACAACTCTTCTTCTTCTTCTTCTTCTTCTTCTTCTTCTTCTTCTTCTTCTTCTTCTGTTGTTAAATTCTTGCTATTCTTCTCCTCCTTACAGCCTTGCTGTGCCCTCAGAATAGCCACTATGAGTTCTGTGGCAATGCCTGCCCTGCCAGCTGCGCCGACCGCAATGCTCCCTCTGCCTGCAAACAGCCATGTGTGGAAACCTGCCAGTGCAATGATGGCTACGTCCTCAGCATCAACAAGCGTGTGCCTGTTGGGAGCTGTGGCTGCACCTACAATGGGCTCTACTACAAACCTGGAGAATTCTGGGCTGATGAGACCTGTGGTTCCCGCTGCACATGCGATTCCACCCGGGGCAGAGTGGTTTGCAAACAAGCTAACTGCAGCCAGTGAACAATGTACTGTGGTCAGTGGGGTCCGGGGCTGTCAACCTGTAAGCACCGCTACTTGCTCAGCAGCCGGGGGCCCTGACTATGCACCCTAGGCTATGAAATGTGCAATTCTCTTTGGTCATTATCTTAGCTCTGTTGATCTAGGATTCAGAGCTGAACATTTGTTGCGAATTTTATGATTCTATAAATGTATGGTGTTCTGATTGTTTTATTGCATGCCACCGTGATTTTTGTGTGTGTGAGTTGGTGGTGCAGAAACATTGTTCTAAACAAAAAAGCAAACAAACAAATCAATAATTTCCTTGTTATTTGATGAGATTTGCATACCACTTCCCTGACAAAAAAACTTGTAAGCATATTGTTTGCTTGTTTATAAGACTTCTTTGCCGGCGTCCACCATAAGGTCCCGGGTCGGGTTACAAAAATAGAATATAGAGCTGTAAAAATAGATAGAACCATTGCAATTATTAAATGAGTAAAGCTGTTCCAAATGGAAGAGAACAGTGTAAAGTTAGCAAGAGAGGTGGGCCCCACCAAACAATGCTTTATTGCATAAAGCAATAAAGAATATAAAAAAGCAGCATAAAAATATACATATAGGTATATACACTCTGGCTTTCCCAAAGTAACCAGCACATATGCAGAGACATACAACAATACGTATTGCTATATCAAAATGCTTGTGTATTAATAAAACAGAGGATCCATCTGTAAATCCCCCGAATACCCTTCGTCGCCTTCATCCATTTCTTCCCCTGTGCTCATAGTTTCCTTTAATTTCCTTAAAACTTGTTTTGTTACGATAAAAGGAGATCATTATTTGCCAGCTATCCTGTTCCCTCAGGGCACCATCTGCTTCCACTCCCCTTCTTGCAAACAATGATGAGCGAATGTTGGCTTTTCAGGCTCTAATGGTCCACGCAGGCCTCAGACTCCTAATCTGGGCACAGTCCAGGGCGATCCTGAACCTCCTTTTACACAAACATATGAAATTTGGCTTCCCCATTTGTTTGTTTAACTTGTCAACCAGCTCACTGGAATCTGCTGGTTTGGAGTGGAATGTTCAGACTTCAGACCTATGTCCTGCGGTTTCTGGTAACCCTTTGGGGTCTTGCTCATTGCACCAGATTTGCTAACTATGTCACTGCCCTGACACCTAATAAATAATTTATCTTCTGTCGTTGGCTTAGACATGGTCAATTATGAGCAGGTTGGTTTGGGGGATGCCAGAATATGTTATCATTTCTTCCTATTAATCACCAGCGGCTTTCCCATGGCCAAAACATTTCACAACCAAAGACATGACTGCAGTCTCATCAGGAAAAGGGCTGGTCCAGGAATCTCAGGTCCCAAGTTGGTTGTTATCTTCACAGCCCATTTTAATTTAAATCTATTCTGGTAAAAAAAGAAAAAGAAAAAAGAATCCATCAACCCTCAAGTCCCATTGGGGAGTTCCCAGAACTGGCATTTGTTCCCTATATAAAGGGAAACTATGGAAGAGGGAGAAAACAGAGGAAGGGATCCGGCGGCAGCAACTCCCTCTGTTCTCGATTCGAGTGCATCAGAAACACAAGCAAACTGAAGGTAAGAAACAGTGGGTTTCCTTTATGAATAACTCCATATGAATAACTCCAGCAAAAACTGTTCTTAAATCTGGTGAGAGGGGAAATTCCCGTTCCCATATAGAAACAGCAGATTTGATAGCAGGCCACTAGGGTTGCCACCTTTGGTAGGGCAAAATAAAGGACAGGTTGGGGGGGTGTTGGGAATACACTCTCTCTCATGACACCAAATCCTTCCCTGCTTTGTGGAGGGGGGGCGGGTTCCCCGCGTTCAGCCTCCCGCCTCCCTCACCACCCCTGGTCACACTCTTCTCCTTGACTCATGTAGACAGCCACACACAGGAAGAACAAGGGTACAGTCTGAGTTCCTCCCTTGTAGTTTCAGAAATCATTTAATGTGTCAAGTAGAAGTTATTAATATTGCAGTTGTTGTATAAGGGATTGTTATTATGACCGGAATGCAATTGAAATTAATAAGATTTTGTAACACAGAAATAAAGAAAATAATCAAGCCATCAAATCTAGCATCTGGGGGGGGGGGACTTTATCTAAATTACATAATTTAGTATTTGAATGATTGATATTAATAATTGCATTATAAATTGGTATTGTTATAATGAGGCTACTATTGGACTGTAATTGGAAACTGATTAAAAAAAATGTAAGAGAGGTGCTGTAGTCCAAGAGTATCTGGAGGACCACAATTTCCCCACTCCTGCAAGACAGTCCATTTAATTCTGAACCATGCCTATGTTCTGTTTTGGCATAAGAGGGCAAGGTCACAATACTTCCTGTAATTCTGGGTTGCTATCTCCCCGCCAGCCTAACAAAACTGAAGGAGGAGGGTGTTTTGCAGATGTATGTTGCAGACTAGGACAGTGCTCTGAGTTGCAGCCCAGAGAAGACCTGCTTCATCAAACCAATAGGGTCCACTTAATTCAGAATCCTGCTTTCAGTAGTGGCCATACTTGAAAACACCTAGGAACATAAGAAGCTACCTTATACTGAGTCAGGCATTGATCCATCTAGTTCAGGGCTGTCTACACTGAATAGTGGTATGTCTCTCCAGGGTTTCAGACAAGGGTCTCTCCAGTCCTTACCTGAAGATGCTAGGACTTGAACCCGGAACTTTTTGCATGAAACACAAATGTTCTCCTACTGAGCTGAACTATGATTTAGAGTGGAACCTTAAAAGTCAGGGTGGGGGGCTAATTTTGCATCACACAGGGTGCCAATGAAATTTGAGGCCCCAATGTCCATCACTGGTATGCCATCCTCCCACCCTCCGATAACCTTGAAGCATGTGTAAGAATATAAGTGGAGCCTGCTGGATCAGGCTAATGTCCCATCTAGTCCTGCATTCTGTTTTCACAATGGCCAACCAGATGCTTGTGAGAAACCTGCAAGTAGGACATGAACCCAACAGTGCTCTGTCCACCTGCAGCTGCCACCAGATGATATCCAGAGACAGGCTGCCTCTTATAGTGGCAGTGGAACATGGCCATTATGGCTAGTAGCCATGACTATGTACAAAATTATTAAAATGTGCTAACTAAAAGAGAAGAGAAGAGGCTCTTTGGAGTGAGACTATGTGTAATGTAAGTTCTGTAGATTTGCAATGTGCCAAACAAACAAACAAACAAACTTGTGACTTGTTTGTGAAGCACTTTGAGAATAAAATTGCTTGCATCCACCAAAATCTTGGCTCTGCTGTTATAGCCGATGAATCTCATTATGAGTGGCATCTACATCTGCAGACATGTCTAGATAGAAATCTACACTTGCTGGTTTCTGCAGATCAAACCACAGGAGGAAGCCAGGGCATTAATTATTATCTGCCCCTGGCCAGCTGGCACTATTATAAATAGATCTAACTGCTAGGAGCAGGGTAAGGAATCGATGCAGTGGGCCAATGTCTCTCTCCAGATTTCAGGGAAGTATGGCTGCATTCATCCGCATACCTGTGTGGGGAAAGCCCCTTATTCTTACTGGGATTTACTCACCAGTATATGAAGAGCTGCAGCTTCGGCATCACGCAGACCCCAGTTGAACTTGACTCACTTGCTCTCAAACACAGTTTGGGCTGACAACTAGCGTTGCGAAAACCTCCAGCTATTTTCATCTGGCAAATGTTGGGTGGGTGGCTATTGTCTTGGAAGGACCAAGTGTTCCAATCTAATCACAAAATGTATTTTGCAGCCTCTGTTAGTGCGTTGTCAAGCATGGGGATGATCAATCTCTGGACCAGGTTCTGTTTACTATGGGGTGAGTACTCTGTTGCATAACTGATGCTCATTGGTCTCCTTGTAGGGTGTCAAAGAGGGAGGGTAACTAGACAAAAGTCTTAACACCTCTGCCCCTTGTGAATACAAGCAAGATCCTTTCGTTTCTCCCAAAGCTGGCAGCAAACCCCCAAAATCCTGGCTGTAAACATATAGGAATCTTTCCACATCAACGCAGCACAAATCAGCAAAACTCTGGAGTCTGTTCAATACTATTGGCTCTAATCCAGAGAATGAACAAGGCTGTACACTTGCTGTGCTTCCTTCTGCCTCCCCCTTTCCCAAATCTTCTCCTTTGTGAATGAGATTGGATTCCCTGACCTGTTTACCAATGACTTTATTTACCGTGCTGACATCAAACATCCTTGCAACTCTTCCCAGTTCATGAAGCTCTCTTTCACTTCCCATGCAGTGTCATACCCTCCAAAACCTTGGGGACCAAAACTGGGATGCTCTCTCTTTTTTGTCCCAAGCGTTCTGGCACGAGCCACCTGACTTGTGCCAGAGCAAGCATCCTTTGGTCCAGAGTTCTGCTGCAAGTCAACTTGGTGAAGACTGTTATGCAAAAGCTGAGCTCACAGCATACTCTTTAACTGAGATGTGAACCTCCTGGTTTTGCAACTGAAGTGCAATGCATGCTGCCTTTTTCTTGCATTTTGCCTCTAAATGCCATTTACTGGGGTTTTGCAATCAGGATTGGAGTATCACACCCAATTCCTGCTTTGGGGTTTGCCACAGACATCTGGTTGGCCACTGTGAGAACAGGATACTGAACTAGACATTCAACAGGGCTCTTCTGAATTCATTTAGCAATTTGCAGTTAATGCATTCCTCAAGGAGCCCTACTTTAATAGTTTTAAGGCCCCAATGAAAAGTTTCACTGACTTTCTCAAACTTCATCCCCCCTCCCCATTTAGGTATTTCAAGTGGCCCTGCCTGGATGATGTTCAGCATGCTCCCTGTCACAGTCTCCTCTAGCCCCTTAGGAAGAGAGTTCATCACAGCTTTCATGCAGAACGGCTTGCCACGGATGTTCCAGGGAGATTTTAAGCTGCTCATCACAGGGTATGCTCCTGCCACATCCATTACTATCTCTATGAAGCGGCCTGCCTTAAGAGTACAGACCAAGGTGAATGCTGGCCAAACACTGTCAGTGAAAATCCCACCAGAGGCGGAGATGGTTGGAAGCACTGTCTTTGAAAACACACTCACTGTCCGGGCTGACAAGGACATATCCATTCTCTCTCTGAACTACAAACCCCAGACAGCCGACACCGCCATTGTCTATCCCGTAGCGAGCTTAGGTACTGAGTACTACGTCGTTACCCCAAACGTGGGCACAGATCGCTACAGAGAGGTAGCCATCATAGCTTGGGAAGAACCTACAGCAGTTGAGGTCTACCTGAAAGGGGCTATTACATTCCAAGGAAGAGTCTATCCCCGGGGGACCATGCTCCCCATCTCACTCCAACCTTATCAAGCTGCTCAGCTACAAAGCCAAGTGGACCTCTCAGGCACTAGAATAGTCTCCCAGAAACCAGTAGCCGTCTACAGTGGACACACATGCGTCTCCAGGCAAGTCCATGCTTGTGACCATGTTTTTGAGCAGCTTTTGCCTGTTTCCAGCTGGGGCACCAACTTCATCATCCCCTCTTTGCCCTTTAACATGGAGTATGACATGGTGTTTGTTTCCACTTCCCAAAAGACTCATGCCAATACTCAGATGGGACAGAGCAAGAGAAGCCGGAATCTGCCTGCTGCCCGGGCGACAATGTATGGCATTCAAGGGACAACTGCCATGTCCCTCTCAGCTAGTTCTGGCGTCCAGGTGATGTTCTTCAGTGATGGCGGAACCTATGGGAACCTCCAATATGACCCCTTCTTCATGGCAATCCCTGACATCTCCAGCTATTGTCAGGCGTACCACATCTATGGGCACGACCATTTTGAAAACTATGCCCTTATCATTGCAAAATCTTCAGAGACTTCCGGGATCACTTTGGATAAGAGACCACTGAGTGGTCTTCAGTGGAAGCTGGTGTCTGGCACTGAATACTCCTGGGCATCACACAGCTTGGGCCAGGGATATACAGTCCACACAATAGAACATGCCTCTTCCCCCTTTGGGCTGCTGAGTGTTGGAATTGGAAATGAGAAGGCTTATGGCTCCCCAGCTATTTGTGCAAATGGTAAAATGAGATTCCTTTCCCCTCCTTCTCTCCAGCTCTTCTTTCCCCTCCTCTTCTTTCATCCTTCAACTCAGGGATAGGCAATGTTAGTGCCCTCTAGATCTTCTCATCATCCCAAACCATTGACCGTGTTGTCTGGGGCTAGGGTTGGAAGAGAAATTCAGTCCTGCTTGCATGCTAATGAGAAATGACCTACTTTGCACTTCTAAAACCAATATGCAAACTGAAACAACTGCCATGTGATTCAATGATGCTCAGCTCTATTACGGTCAGTCACTCTCTCTCACACACACACACACACACCACACTTTTATAGAAAATATAGCAAGGCAGTGTTAAAAACTGGGGCCCCACATGCTTTAAAAAGCACTATTCTCATATATCATAAATTACAATAAATAGACTACAAGAACTTTTCAAAACTAGGAAAGATAGCACATATTTTCTCATTTTCTCTTATAAAATTTTATAAAAACCATAACTTATCCAGTACATCATTTAAATTACTCTTATTGATCAATTTCTATGCAATTTTTTTCTGAGCACCTAAATTTAAAAGTATTACACTTTGAAATACTTTGATCGTATTAAAAGATTATAGGAAAGGAGAAGGATAACACTCCTCACCATGCTCTTTATGCATTCCCCAAACCTCCAAATGGTTTCCACTCCTACTCATAACTTTTCATGTTAGACTTCCATGTTCTAAGTGAACTTTCTCGTATTACTTTATCTTAAGGTTCAAGCCATTATCTACCTGAACCTACTTAAAATGACTTGGTTGCATTTTCCTCTCACAGATCCCTGCAAAAATCTCCAGTGCAGGACAAAGGAAACATGTGTGACGCAGAATGGTCAAGCGAGATGTGTTCATGAGTACATGGGGACCTGCCAGGGCTCCGCTGCCCAGGATTTCCAGACTTTTGATGGTCTGTTGGTGGACATTCAAGACTCCTGCACCTACACCATTGCAAAGTACTGTGGCAGTGACTCCACACTGGTCCCTTTCGCATTGGAGGAGAAGAGCAGCAACGTGAACAATCAGGACGCTGCCAAGATGCAGCTGAGCCATCTCAAAGTGTATGGTCACACGGTCACCATTAACAAGGGAGAAAGTGTCCAACTCATGGTAAGAATCCAGGTTCTTTGGTTTGGGTCATTTCCATTCATAACTATAGTGGGGGTGGTGAGAGAGACCACGTTAGAGTTCGTAATTTGTATATATTCCCTTATTATTAAGAAGCTGGTAATTTGGGTACCCGAGTCCCGTGACCCTGGTACTTCCAAATAATTCCTCATATCTGTCTGCAGACCCAGAATTGTTACATGGTGTCAGAAGTGCATAATGAGCTGCAGTAACGATAGTGAAAAAACTCGAGGGATCTCAATGAATCGGTAATCATCCCTGCCACAACCCCAAATAATCTGTTAAATGAGCTGCAAATGGCTCCAAATATCTTGTGGTCCTTTAAATGCTAAAAGTGGGGCATATGGAGAGTCAGAGGCCACAAGTGTTTCGTCCCAGTGACTCTTTTCAGTACCAGCACTAATAGGAATCAGAAAAACAAGGGCACCTCAAGACATGTTCATTCTCAGAGTGGTTTAACAATAAATCTTGCCTACTGAAGAACTCTGGGAACTGTAGCTCTGTGAGGGGAATAGTGGTCTCCTAACAACTCTCAACAAGCTACAGTTCCCAGGATTCTTTGGGGGAAAGCCATGCATGTTTAAAATGATGTAAAAGCGCTTTAAATGTATGGTGCAAATGTATCCATAGTAAGGTTGGAAGCTACAGGCTGAGGAGATGGCCACAAGCCTAGGTGTGATCATGAAAAAATATTGACACATTCATGGAGTACCCAGAGGGAGAAGGGGTCAATTGGAAAAATTGAGCCTCCTCATTTGGAGGAAGCCTACTTCTCAGTGCCCCGTGGTGACCCAGGCACCAAAAGAGGAAAGGGTTATTTTGTTACATGGAGTGCATACGTCCCAGACAGCCTTGGAACCTATTTTTAAGGATATTAACCAATGGCACGCAGTCCAGGGGACAAAGTTTGCTGGAGAGGACTATAAAGTGTGTCTCTCCCTTACCCTGCAACCCCTTCTTTTTTCTTCTTAGGTGAATGGTGTGGCAGCCAGCATCCCTGCGACTCTGGAGGGTGGAAAAATCAAGGTCTTTGAAAGCAATGGATTGCCCATCATTGAAACAGATTTTGGCCTCCGTGTGATGTATGACACTGATGGGGTTGTAGTGGTAACTCTCCCCAGCAGCTACTATGGAGCCACCTGTGGGCTTTGTGGGAACTTCAACACCGAACCCCATGATGACACGACTTATCTGAATGGTACCTTTACCTCCTCCGTGGTGGACTGGGCCAGGAGCTGGAAGGTTGATTATCAGGACCCTGCCTGTTCAGATTCCTGCCAAGGAGATTGCTTGGCCTGCAGTGATAGACAGGAGGAACTGTTTGGCAGCAAAAGGTATTGTGGGGTCATCAGTCAAGTTTCAGGAGGCCCGTTTGGAGCATGCCACCCCACCATCAGCCCCACCAGCTACTTTAATGATTGTGTCAGTGGAATGTGCTTAAAAGGAGGGGACAAAGATGTGTTGTGCCAAATAGTGGAGACATATGCCACCGCCTGCAAAGAAGAGGGCATTGCCATTGATGAATGGAAGGTGACATCTGGTTGCGGACGAGCCCAGCCTGACCAACAGGCAAATGAGACGTATGCTGAAGAAATCACTCCCCAAGAAAATGTCCATCATTCAGCTGGTGAACCCATCCACAGCAGCACTGCATGTACGAAATGAGAGGTTGTCGCAAAACTAGTTTAGGGTTGGGGTTCAAGGGAGCAGAGGCAAGGAGTTACAGGAAGAGCTCCCTTAGAGCAGGACTTAAGGGACCCTGTGGCTCTCCAGATTTTGGGATCCAACTCTCAACAGCCTCAACCACCATGGTCAATGTTGAGGGGTGAGGGGAGCTGCAGTTCAAGCAATATATGGAGGGCCACGGGTTCCCCATGCCTGCTCTACAGAGTAAAGCAACCCTCAGCTAATCCTGTGGCTTTCTCTTTCTTCATTGCTCCGCCCCATGAAAATGTACAGTCTCTGTGGATGCTCTTGAAGCAACCAGGGCCACTGGGAAAATGGAGAGGGGCCAGCAACAGTTCTTTAGGCTCATGTCCCAGGGTGTGCAATGATTACCTGCAACTGCTGCCTCCATTATGGATCTAGACAATAATTATTGAACTGCTGGGATACCTCAGTTGGTAGAGCATGAGACCCTTAATCCCAAGGTTGTGGATTTGAGCCCCACATTAGGTGAAAGATCCCTGCATTGCAGGAGGTTGGATTAGATGACCCTCATGGTCTCTTCCAACTCTACAATTCTATCAACAGATTTGGTCCAAGTAGGATTTGGTCCATCAGCAGGTTATCTTTATGCCAGGAGTGGGGAACCTTCTTCATCCTGAGGGCCATATTCCTTTCTAGGCAAGCTTCAAAGGGCCACATGAAACTGGTGGGCAGGGCCAGAGGCAAAGGTGTGGGTGAAGCAGCACAGTAGCACACCCCTCTGTACCCTCCAATCAGACTAGCAAGAAGAATGATCAAAGTATACATTACAGTCAGGCAGAAATGCCCAGAGTGCAAAGCAGGGCCATTGATGGCCATATGAAGAGAGTGTGTGGTCCAGGGAGGGCACTGTAGACTATTTTATAGTTTCTAAAACTGACTGTGAGTCCCACATGCTACTTGTCTAATTGATATGTAAAAGTAATATTTTATCAAATCTAACCCATTCTTCCCCGCCACCCAGCAGCCGACGCCTGCCCTGAAAACAGTCACTATGAGGCCTGCGGAAATGCCTGCCCGGCAACCTGTTCTGAACCGTCAGCCCCCTCTGCTTGCAAAGATCCTTGTGTGAAAACCTGCCAGTGCAATGATGGGTACGTCCTCAATGGTGGCAAGTGTGTCCCTGTGGAGAACTGCAGTTGCATGCATAACAGCCTCCGCTACAAGGCTGGGGAGGAGTTCTGGGCCGATGAGAACTGCCAGTCACGCTGCAAGTGTGATCCAAGCCTGGGCCAAGTGAGATGCCGGAAGGCCGCTTGCAAAGGCAACGAGAAATGCGCCCTGGTGAATGGCGTGCGCCGCTGCAAGGGGACGACATACTCCACCTGCATAGGAACTGGCGACCCTCACTATACCACCTTTGATGGGAGGAAGTATGACTTCCAAGGCACCTGCGTTTATCAGATGGCAGCGGTCTGTTCCAGGGACCCCACCCTCACCCCATTTTTGGTCACAGTGGAGAACAACAACCGAGGGAGTAAGGCAGTGTCCTTTACCAAAGTGGTGACTCTGGAGGTCTATGGCATGACCATCAGTCTGAGCCAAGAGCATCCACGCAAGATTAAGGTACCAAAGGGAAAAAGAATGCTGGAGGATGGGAAAGTGTGAGGAAGCTTTAAATTAGGGAACCTCAGGGGGTTGGACTTACCATTAGCACATTTTTCCCCTCCCAAGGGTTCTCTGTTTGTTTGTTTATTGCTGCTGCTTAAAATGACAATAGCAGCATCTGTGGTAACAACTTGGACATTATTTTTCAACTTTTGCAATACCCCAGATCTAGTGTCATTCTAAGGCATTGTAGGAATCAGGAGAAATAGTGGCTGGCTGACACACATATGATGGAGAATATTCAGAGAAAATTCTACAGCGTTCTAGTAGTGTGGGAAAGAAAAATCTCAGAAGTGTTCTCAATAGAATGCCTTCTGAGCATAGGAGGATAAGAAGCTACCTTATACTGATACTGACCTTTGGTCCAACCAGCTTAGTATTGTCAATAGTGAGTAGTAGCATCTCTCCAGAGTTTCAGACAGGGAAGCCTACCTGAAGATGTCTCACTGAAAGCCTATGGGTGGTCACTTCAATGTTTTCCAGGTGAATGGAGTCTTTGTGGACCTGCCTTTCTCCTACGAAAATAAACTGAAGGTCTACATCAGTGGAGTCCATGGCTTCATCAAAACAGACTTTGATCTGAGAGTCAGCTTTGACTGGTACAGTTATGCCAGGGTCATTATTCCCAACACTTACGCCAATGCTGTGTGTGGTCTGTGTGGCAATGCCAATCAGGATCCCAGTGATGATTTTGTCATGAAGGATGGAACTCAGACGACAGATGAAATCCAATTTGCAGACAGCTGGAAGTTGAAGGAGGTCCCAGGATGCTCTGCAGGATGCAGTGACTGCCCAATATGCAGTGAGGCAGAGAAACAGACCTACAAGGGGGACCAGTTCTGTGGGATCCTCAAGAGGAAGGATGGACCGCTCGGACAGTGCCATGAGGCCGTTGACCCAACATCCTACTTTGAGGACTGTGTTTTTGACACATGTCAATACAAGGGTCATCATGACACTCTCTGCAGTGCCATCAGTGCCTATGTGACAGCCTGCCAAGCACTGGATGTCAAGGTTGGGAAATGGAGATCAGCCTCTTTTTGCAGTAAGTTTGGGCTCTCCTGCATCTGTGCATCATGTGCTCATGTGCCTTTGCATGAGCATGTGTCAAATATCCGCTGAATGCTAAAAATATATGCACCAGTCCAAGGTACAAAATCATGATTTTGCCTCATGTATCAGGAGTGGGGAATCTGAGGGTCTCCAAATGTTCCTGGACTCCACCTCCCATCAGCCCCAGTCAGTCAGCAATAATGGGAGTTTTAGTTAAGTAACTGTTGAAGACATGGCTGGTCCGCCCATGAGCCAAGGTGAGACAACCGCCTCAGGCAGCAGGATCCATAGGGCCAGCTGCTCCTGATGTAGATCTTTATTCTCCACCTTGTTCCTGATATAGATCTTGTTATCATTGTGGAATGGAACATCCCTATTTTCATTGGAGAAACGTTGGAGGGTATGCAATCCAAAATGCTGGATTGGGCCCAGGATGCATAGCCCTATTGGCTATGCATTACATTAATCATTTGTTGTTCAGTTGGGCTATGACAACAGAACACAAAATCCTCTGTTGAAAAACAGCTGTCTACTAGCTTAATAGTCTCCTCCTGGGATATTCCCATAAGAGACCCTTGAGCAGTATCGTCCTTCCCTTTTCTCTTCTTTACTGGAAATCTGTCCCAGAACAGCTTGTCTCTAATTGCAGTGTACTCTGGGAAGTCCTATTGAACTATCGCTATGAATGATACTTACACAATACAGTCCCCATGTAGGCCATTTGTTCTGTTCCAGCCACTCAGTCCCATTATCCTTCCAGAAAACATTAGGAATCCCAATGAACACATCTCTCTTCCTGGATGAGTGTTCCCTCCCCACTATTCAAGACCACTAGAATTTCCATTAAAATAACCTTTGTTTGAAATGTAGGTTGGATGCATCCTCACTGTTAATCTGCAATGGTTGTCATTCTCCTCCTCCTTTCTTCTCTTTCCAGGCACTCCCTGTCCACGCCATTCCCACTATGAGCTCTGTGGAAGTGGCTGTCCTGCCACCTGCAACAGCCTCTCAGCTCCGGAAGTGTGTGAGGCTCCATGCACAGAAGGGTGCTTTTGTGATACTGGCTTCATCCTCAGTGGGGATCAGTGCGTCCCTCCAGAAGAGTGTGGCTGCATGTTCCAGGGCAGATACTACAAGAAGGGAGAGGAGTTTTATCCCGGTAGCTCCTGCCAGGAGAAGTGCCGCTGTCTGGACAATGGAGCCACCACATGTGGGCAGTTCTCCTGTGGAGCACATGAGGAGTGCAGGGTGGAGAATGGCATCCAAGGCTGCCACCCTGTGGGGTACGGCACAACCATAGCATCTGGTGACCCCCATTATATTTCCTTTGATGGACGAAGTTTTGATTTCCATGGCTCCTGTACTTACACCTTAGCCCAAGTCTGCAGCCAGGACCCTAACCTAGTGAAGTTCTCCGTGTTGGTGGAGAACGGCATGCTTGACTATGGACGTTCTCCTATTACAAGGACAGTTGTGATCTCTGTTCACGGACACTCTATTGTCCTTGAAAGGGGGATGAAGTGGAAAGCTATGGTATGTACTTCCTAGTAATGACCACTTGTGTTTGAATTTACAACCAGACCTCCATCCAGCTAATATGATTTATTGTTTGCACAGGTTGATGGAGAGCTCTACACTTTGCCAATGAATACAGTGGATGGGAAACTCTGGATCACCCAGGAGGGGAACAATATCATTGTCCATTCATCCTTTGGCCTCACAGTCCTTTATGATACCTCCTCGTTCGTCCATGTGTCTCTTCCTAGTACCTACCAGGGACATATGTGTGGACTTGGGGGCAATTTCAATGGTGACACGAGTGATGATTTCATGCTGCCTAATGGACAAGTCACCCAAAGTGTGGATGAGTTTGGAGCCTCCTGGAAGGTCCCTGTGGATGGTGCCATTTGCTCTGATGGCTGTGGTGTGGAATGTCCCACCTGTGCTGCAGAGCAGACAGCACCATACGAGGCCAAGAGTTCCTGTGGAATGATCCAGTCCAAGACAGGTCCATTCAAAGACTGTCACTCTTTGGTTAACCCTGCTGAGTACTTGAGGCAGTGCCTGCATGACATGTGTGTGGCCGGTGGAGCTGCAGAGACTCTCTGCCGAAGCCTTCAGGCCTATGCAGCTGCATGCCAACTGGCTGGAGTCAAGATTGGAGCATGGAGAACAAACTCCTTCTGTTGTGAGTCAGCAAATTTTAACCCTTTCCTCACATGTTCTATCCCCGAGGAATATCACTCCTCTAAAGCTGTTTTGCTCTTGTTTTGCATGAGAGAAAGGTCTCCTGTTGGCACCATTGACTGAGAACATGTCTAATGTCCAAATGGTGAGAGATAATTTGTAAATCTCAGTGAAGCTGGGTCACAAAAGTATGTACTGCAGACCTTTGCTTGATGGTTCCAACTCTATGAAGACACATCTTATAGTGATTTGATCTCCCTTATACTGTACATCTAAGGGCACAAGTAGCTGGGGGGAAATCACATTAGGAAGATCTGAAAGACCATTACTTAATTTTCCCAAGTCCACACAGTATATTTTGTGTCTGAGGGGGGATCGGGGAGCCTAAGCTGGGTCTCTCTTTTCAGATACATCATGTTGCATTACACTAGCTCTTGACATATTTTTAGAGTACTAGAGAGAGGAGAAGAAGAAACAAGTGTTCTGGGTATAATTCTATTTGCTGAATTTCATTTCCATTCCTCCTTTCCTCCAAGAAGTTCAGCATGGTATGCATCAGTGCTCATCAGCCTTGGCTCTCAAGCTATTGTTGGACTCAACTCCCATCAGCAAAGTCAATGATCAGGGATGGTGAGTTGTAGTCCAATAACATTTGAGAACACAAGATTGAAGAACACTGGCATACATCATGGGAGCCAAGTCTTTAGATGTTGTTGGATTCAAACTCCCATCAGCCCTCCAAGGCCAATACAGTCAGAGAGCTATGAAGAGCTGATAGATAACACAGCTTATCTAACACAGTGTAGGAGAGCTGTAGGTAATCCTTGAATGCAGATCATCTCATTCTGTACATCTTCCTTTCTTCCTTTCAGCTCTGCCTTGCCCAGCTAACAGCCATTATGAATTGTGCACCCGATCCTGCGATTTCACATGTGCTGCCTTATCTGCTCCATCTCAGTGCACCGGAGATTGCTTTGAAGGCTGCCAGTGTGACACTGGCTACGTGTTTGATGGGGAAGACTGTGTGTCCATGGACAAGTGTGGCTGTGCTTATGATGGGCGCTACATCAAGGTTGGTGATGGTTTATGAAGCAGAAGGTTCCTCAGCAGTGCAGTGATTGTGATACAGTTTAGAGAAACCTTTTGTATGTACACACACACACACACACACACACACACACACACACACGTATATCTATTTATATCTATGTGTCTGTCTGTCTGTCTTGCTCCAATGGCCAGATTATGGTGTATGTGCTGATTTTATGGTGGCTGTTGTATAAAAGAAGAGAGGGCCTCTTGTTTCTCAGTCTTTGCTTCCATTGCAGCAGCTGCCTATTTTGTATCAAAGTTTGATCACCATGGATTTATACAACCATCATTGGACACATGGCAGGGCCTTTTTGGTGGGAGTTCCTTGCCTGTGAAATGCCTTCCCTGGAGATGTCATCTGTCTTTTTTAAAACAAAACCCCCCATCATGTTTATGCTCATTTCATGGCTGAAAGATACTGTTCTCAGCCACATTGAAATAATCAGCTGCAGGGATATGTGGTTGGTTTTAAAATGTTCTTAAGTAGGGGAGCAGGTGACGCTGTGGTCTAAACCACTGAGCCTCTTGGGCTTGCTGATCAGAAAGTCAGCCATTCATATCCCCCTGATGAGGTGAGCTCCTGTTGCTCTATCCCAGCTTCTGCCAACCTAGCAGTTTGAAAGCATGCCAGTGTGAGTAGATAAATAGGTGCCACTGTGGCTGGAAGGTAAATGGAGTTTCCATGCACTCTGGTTTCTGTCACTGTATTCCATTGTGCCAGAAGCGGTTTAGTCATGCTGGCCACATGACCCAGAAAGCTGTCTGTGGAAAAACACTGGCTCCCTCGGCCTGAAAAGTGAGATGAGAAGTTCTTAATTTTTAATAATGTTCTTCATTCTTCTTATTTTTTTAAAATGTTTCAAGTACATTTTTTTCTTTGTTTAGAAGAGGGGGAAAGAAATTTAATAAACAAATAAAATAATTTTGATTCCGTTTCCTATCCTTTCCTTCAACCCATCCTTCCCTCCTGGATTTACGGTATTGGTTTTGATATCTAAAAGTTGATTTTCAACAGGAAGTCTTATCATCTTTCTGGAATTTCTTTCCAGGCAGGAGAGACCATCATCTCCAATAACTGCTCAGAAAAATGCACCTGTCGTCCCTCAGGTCAGCTCACCTGTGCAGAAACCAGCTGTGCTGCAGGGGAGACCTGTGTGCTCACAGACAAGGTCCGCAGCTGTGTAAGGCAGGAAGGGCACTGCACACTCAGCCCAGGAGCCTGGTTCACCTCCTTTGATGGAGCCAAAGGGAAACTGCTCGCTAGTGGCATCTACAAGATTGCCTCCTACTGTGATGAGCAGTCACCATCCTGGTTCAAGGTGCTGGTGGATGTCAGTGAATGCAATGAAGACACTGTGCCAGCTGGGACAGCCGTCTATGTCTTCTTCCGAGAAGCGTTCATCTCAGTGACCAACTACAAGGAGACTTGGGTAAGCCACTGTCGGCTACAATAGTTCAGTGGAACCTGCAGCCCAAATGTTATGAGTGTCAGTTCACATCCAAAGGCAAAACCCACCTACTTCACTAATAATAATAATAATAATAATAATAATAATAATAATAATAATAACGTAAGAACTTAAGTACAGCCATCCTTTGACACCTGCAGCTCTCTGAATTTTGCAGTACAAATGCAATGTACAATGTACAAATGCAGTACAAAGAAATGTGTGCACAAATGCATGTATCGGGGTAAAGAGTGCATAAAATGCATATAAGTTGAAAGAGCATAAAAATGCATTATATTAGGGGAAATGGCTCTGCAAATATGTGTATATGAGGCAAATCTGCATAGAAACACATGTATATGAAGAGAAATTCATACGAAAATGCTGGTGAATTTTCACAAGGACTTAAAGAGAGTTGCAAAATGATCCAAAAATGTGGAGAACTCAACTATAGACTGGAAAAATGAGAAACTGGGTGAACCCAAAATTGACAGATTCACCCATCCCTACTCTAAATATCAGTTGCTGGAAGATAAAGCATAGAAGAGCCTTGCTTCTGGGCTTCCTGGAAGCAATTAGCTGGACACTTTGTAAAGCAGGATGCTGGGTTAGGGATGGACCTATCTCTAGTTTGTACCAATCGTTTAATGAAAGGGCTGGTGCCATGCTGTTTTTAATGTAATTATTTATATGGTTTTAATAGAATTCATATATGCATATAATTTTAATTCCATCAATGTTTTAATTGTTTTTAATGACTGTATTTTCTATGTTTTTAGCAGTTTTTATTTTTATCTGTAAGCTGTCTTGAGCCAGGGAGAAAGGCAAAGTATAATAATAATAATAATTCAAAAGTTTGTTATGTATGTCCTGTTTCTGCTTTGATCTGCCCCTCTTTTTCTTCTCCTTCTGGAATTGGGAAACAAATCCCATTCACCCCCAATGACTCTCAGCATGACTCTGCCTCAGCCTGTCCTCTTTGCCTTTCAGGTCAACGGGCTCTTGGTGCAACCTCCACTGAATGTCTCCAACGCAGTGTCTATCACTGAATCTCAGGACACCACTGTCATTGACCAAAGCTCCCAGATGCAAGTTCTCTTCGGTTCCAACGGCAAAGTGACCGTGAGAGTCACGGAGAGCCTGGCAGGGAAGTTGTGTGCCCCTTGCGGGAACTTCAACAATCAAGTCTCAGATGACCTGCGGCTGCCCAGTGGTCAGATTGCAGGAGACATTGCTGAGGTTGTTGATGCCTGGAAGGCTAGGGACTTCTTAGAGTGGTGAGTAGGTCCAACTGTGGCTTTTGACTCTTTGTGATAAGGTAAAACAGCCTCCCCCAGCTCCGTGCCCTCTAGACGTATCAGGCTCCAACTCTCAACAGTTGCTTCCCATGGCTAGGGATGATGGGAGTTGTAGTCCAAATCATCTGGAGGGCACCAGGTTGGGGAAGCCAGGAGTAGCTTTAGGCTACAGAACTAGCCTACACTCATAGGAACATAGGGGAAGTTGCCGTCTCTCAGGTCAGAGGGTTCATCTAGCACAGCACTGCCTACTCAGACTGGCAGCAGCTTCCCAGGTTCTCAGGCAGGGAGGTAGATTTTTAAATGCAGGTCCCAGGATTCAACCTGGGACCTTCTGCATGTGAAGAATATGCTCTACTTTGCACTTCTCTCCAGGGCCATCCCTGGTGCTACAACTAATCCAGAATGTAGCAGCTAGACTGGTGACTGGGAGCAGCCGCCGAGACCATATAACACCGGTCCTGAAAGACCTACATTGGCTCCCAGTACATTTCCGAGCACAATTCAAAGTGTTGGTGCTGACCTTTAAAGCCCTAAACGGCCTCGGCCCAGTATACATGAAGGAGGGTCTCCACTCCCATCATTCAGCTCAGACATTGAAGTCCAGCTCCCAGGGCCTTCTGGCAGTTCCCTCACTGTCAGAAGTTGAGGTTACAGGGAACCAGGCAGAGGGCCTTCTCGGTAGTGGCACCCGCCCTGTGGAATGCCCTCCCATCAGATGTCAAGGAAATAAACAACTATCTGACTTTTAGAAGACATCTGAAGGCAGCCCTGTTCAGGGAAGTTTTTAATGTCTGATGTTTTATCGCTTCTTTTTTATTATTATTATCATTAATTCTGTTGGGAGCCACCCAGAGTGGCTGGGGAAACCCAGCTAGATGGACGGGGTATAAATAATAATCAAACATCATCATCATCATCATCATCATCATCATCCCTGCCTAAAGGCGGCTCTCTGCCTCCCCAACCATTGGCTTCTCTTCAAATTTTCACCCCCATATATTTCAAATGAGGTCTAACTCCCCACTTCCTAACACTGCTGCCCCCCTTCCCTTTCTGAGGCCCCATCTGCACTATGCATAGCAAGCAACATCATGCCACTTTAAAGAGTCATGCGTCCCTAAAAAAGGATCCTAGGAACTGTAATTTGTTAAAGATGCTGAAAGTTTTTGGGCCACCCCTTTTCCTTTCACAAAGCTACAATTTCTAGGGTTCACTGAGAAAGATCAGTTGTTATCTGGGAACTGTAGCTCTCTAAGATAAATTTGGGTCTCCTGGCAACTCTCAGCATCCTTAACCAACCACAGCTCCCAGGATTTTGAGGGGGGAGCCAAGACTGTTTAAAGTGGTATGATACTGCTGCAAATGTGTAGTACAGATGGGGTTTCGTCCTTGTTGGGTTGAACTGGGTTGCAAGCACTTCCTGCAAGTGTTAAGCAGCTACAGTGGTACCTCAGGTTAAGAACTTAATTCGTTCCAGAGGTCCGTTCTTAACCTGAAACTGTTCTTAACCTGAGGTACCACTTTAGCTAATAGGGCTTCCCGCCGCACGATTTCTGTTCTCATCCTGAAGCAAAGTTCTTAACCCGAGGTACTGTTTCTGGGTTAGCGGAGTCTGTAACCTGAAGCATCTGTAACCTGAAGCGTCTGTAACCTGAGGTACCACTGTACAAGGACTTTTTATTCCCCACTCCTCAGCCCCCAACCAAAACACGCACATGCTATGCAGAGGGATATATACATTCAGTGTTAGAAGCAATGTAACAAGAAGAAACATTGGGTTGCCAGATGGCACACCTTGAGGGCCAGTCTCACAATTCTCTCTCCTCTGCTTGCTTCCACAGTTACTGATACCTGCACATGAGAAACTCCTTAGACAGGTAAGTGACTCTCCAGACTGCTATTGTTTCTAAGGGCCCACTCCATGGTTTGTTTAGAGTAAGATAAATGAAGAGTGGAAGTCTGCACATCACACTAAGCCAAACCATCGCTTGGCTTGCAGAAGCACAGTACCAGGAGTTGGGAGGGGAGAAGCAAAGCAACCATCTTTGGGAGGGGAAGTTGCTATTTCCATTCCTTCAACTCATGAGAAGGCCAACCTTTTTTCTGATCCTAACCCCAATTTCTTTCTTTCTTTAATGTGTCCCACTAGCATCCCACTACTAGACACATCCCACTTGCCTTTGAGAGCAATGCCACGTTGTGTTGTTCCCAAAGCTTTCTGGGAAGCGTAGCTGGCAGAAAACCAAATGACCAGTGCCAATTTGAGATAGCCGGCACAACTTTCAGATCATCAAAGGGACACCTTAGCCCTGCATGTCCCTTTGACAATCTCAGATGGATTGCCAGCATACCTTCCTGGTGGTCAGCCTCCTCTGCATGCATTGGGTCCCCTCAATGCTAAGTGCAACTCGGCGCCTGTGTTACTGTACAACTAGAGCATCTACGAAAACAGGCTCAGCCCATGGCCTCTGCATAACACAACTCTTCTTATGCCTTTTCCTCTCTAGATATATCTAAAATCCCAATCTGGAAGCATGCACTGGATGCACAAGCACCTTAGAACAATGCTGTATTTGGTTAAAAAAAAGAAACATCCAAAAGTTCCTGCACGAGTGGAGCAACCAGTTAATAAACGGAATGTGATTATCTACAATAACTGAGAATGGAGCCTTCATGTACAGAGGCAGTAGCTCTGTGTACCACATTCTGAAGACAAACTATTAGGGAGAATAGCTTTCAGCTTCTTGTTCTGCTTGTCAGCTTTCCATGAAGATCTGCCTGGCAACTGTGGGACTCAAATGTGCTCAAGTAGACGGACCTTTGACCTGTTCTAGCAATATGAAGTCCTTTATCTTCAGACTGTCCAAATGTTTCCTGACGTTTGATGAGAGTTCAGCATCTGATCCCTTGGTGGCTTGTGAATCTCAGGATGTTCAGAGATGAAAATGTGTAAACCTATTGCACTCTAACCAAGCGCTATAAATTCATGTCCTTATCTATAAAGAAGTAAACCCTTTGACAACCTTCTGTTGTTTGTACAAACTCATTTTCTTGCACACCCAGGATGGATGCGTATGCTATGAAATGTCTCTCCGGTCTGATTTAGCTTGGGCAATTAAGGTGGGCCTGCTATGAAATGTCATCTGCACAATTTGAGATGATTAGAAGCAGGAAAATACGGATGAGTCTATTTACAGTTCATGGGTCTCCAACTAAGTTATACTTGGAGTAGACCCATTGAAATTAATGGACATAGCTTAGTCATGTGCGAGAATTTAAGGGTCTACTCTGAGTAAGACTAGCATTGGCTTCTGTTTATTCATGAGTCAATTGCATCCATCACATTCCCACAGAAATGTGTGATTTTTCAAAAAAATTAAAAAGTGTGTGAACATTTGTAGCTATATATAAATATGTCTTTTACAATGAAATACAGATGTTTTCCCTCAATGCATGCATTTCCAAATGCATTTGACCCTAAAATAAATGTGCTTACATATTTTAGCAAGTTTTGGAGCCAAAAAAAGCATATTGGAAAATTCAGAAAAGTGTAAAAGTTCATTCCAATCAAGTTTCCCCCACGTGTTAGCCAAAGACATGTAGAAGGTCATTTTCATGCCATCATTACTCACATGATCTGCTCCAATCAGCTGTTATTTATTACTGGGCTGTGTGATGTAAGAAGCACTGGCTGGAAGGGAATCTAAAGGAAATGCTGTTTCCCTGAGGTCGTCTTAAAGGATCTGGTAAACCACTGAGTCTACTGCACCTATCAATCATCTCTCCCCCATCATCTCTCCCCCATCAGCCCAGCCTCCCAATTGAGAATCTACAAAGGCTTGTTACATATGGTCAGAATTATTTTTCTAGAGACAAATCTGCAGATATCTTTATTGACATTCACCATGCACTTTTGTTTCATAACATCCTTCATGTCTTTTTGCAGCTTACTCAGGCTTGACATGTAGCCATGCTCCAAAGCAACATTGTAAAAAGCAGCTGCAGGCAACTATCACTGGTGCAGCAGGCAGGTGCCAGTCTTGATGGTCACTTCCAACTATTGCTCACTGCAACAGAGAGACAAAAAAGAATTAGGCTGTAGTCCTTTAACCACTTACCCGAAATTAAGACCCATTGAGACTTGCGTCTGAGCAGACATGACTAGGATTGTGCTGTTAGCTGGTCTTTGTGATCCAAAAATCAGAGGTACTCAGCAGGCAATACAGAACGACCATGGTTTAGTTTGGAAACTGTGAATCTTCCATTGTTAAGGGACATCACCTTCCATTATCCTTGGCCATTAGCCATGCTATTTGGGGCTGATGGGAATTGGAGTTCAATAACATTTGGATAGTCACCGATTCCCCACCCCTGGCTTAGTGGCAGAGCCCTAGCTTTGCATACAAGAAGGTCTCACGTTCAATCCTTGGCAACCTCAGTTACAAGGATCAGATAGCGGGTAGTATGAAATACCTTTGTCTAGCCTATTTTTTTTTAATAAAAAAGGTTGAATTTTTATTTATTTTTTTGACTAGGGCAATGCTACTGGGGAGGATGGGGAATTAGTTTTTTATTCCTAAACTGTTTAATCCAAATCTAAATCACTACGCATGCCCCACACTGCAGACATCATGAACGCACCTATATATTTTTCACCACAGGCCTAATAGCAGCATAGATGATTGGCCCAACTAGGAAATAAATGGGTGTGTCAAAAAAACAGAGGCTTCTTTAAAGTAAAAAACAAACAAAATCCCAATTTTAAAAATGGTGGGAGACCCATTTGTAGATCTCCCATGTCATACGTGGTTTAGCCTTTAGTAGCCAAGATCTGACAGTCAAGTCTAAAACCAGGAACACACCTGGGTGAATGTTTCCAGGTGCAGTTAAGCTCACATGGCAGTGCCTGGAAAACTGCAGGTTGAGAGAGCATTTTTGTTCTAGTTTTAGCCATTTCAAGCATAATTTGGCTAGTCATTGATGGCTAGTCCAAGGAGTGGGTCAGCCAAAGACAGTGTTTGGAATCTGCCTCTCAAGCTCCCAAGGCAGCCCTTCCCCAAGCTCTGGAGATTGTTGGACTACAACTTTCAAATTCTCTAACTATTGGCGATGCTAGCTAGGGGTGATGGGAGTTGTAGTTTAAAATGTCTGGGAGGCACCAGGTTAGGGAAGGCTGTCCTAGGGGCAAGCCTGCTCAATGCATCAAAGGCGCTTTGAGTTCTATTCAGCCATCATTAATTAGCCAATTTCCCAGTGGGAATCCCAGTTCCAGAAATCTAACAAAGAGTTCTGAGCTCCCTCACAAAATTACCATTCCCAAGAATGATTTGGGACAAGAAGACATGGCATTTCAACTGGATGTTAATATTAGTTTTCATGGTTACTGTTGTGCCCGAAAAGGGGGTTGGGGTTGAAAGGAAAGAGCTGCGCCTTCAAAATTCTTTCTCAATTAGATGAGAGGTCTGCCATTTCCAAGCAAACTGGAGATGTCTAGGTTAGGAAACAAACAGAGCACTGGAACAACTGTGAAGTGACTCACCAGCCAATAAAGTCTCTGGCTTTCCAAGAATCAATAACCTCAGCGATGTTCATCACAACCTTCCCATTGGGTAGTATCAGGTCATCAGAGCTGTCACCATTGAAGTTTCCGCAGGATGCACAAAGCTTGCCCGCCAGGCTGTCTTTGACCTTCACTGTCACTTCCCCTCTGAGTCCATAGAGAACCTGAAGACCAGCCCCATGGCTGATAGCAACCACATCCTGGGAGAAGCTCACAGACACAACTTCAGAGACAGTCACTGGGAGTTTCACTGGCTGTCCATTCACCTGGAGCACACAGACAGAGGAAGAGAACATGGCACATATCAAGGTCATTTAGCTCACGAGTCTTTGAGTTGGGAGTCAGAACTCCAAACCGGATTGTGGGCAGAGGCACCAACCCACATGACCAGAAGGATCAAGTCAGGGCTTCTTACCCAAGCCTCCTTGTTCTTGTTGATGGCAATGAAGGCATCTCGGAAAAAGACATAGACTGCAGCCCCAGCCATCACCTCCCCATCACTGCACTCCTTGACATCCACCACCACTCGGAACCAGGAACGGGCGTGGATGTCGCAGAGAGAAGCCACTTCATAGGCACCGCTGTAGAGTATTTCCCCCGAGGCACCATCAAAGGTGGTGAGCTGGGCTCCTGAGGTGAGGGTACACTGGCCTTCCTGCTTCACACAGGCCTGCACGCCGTTCCTGAGGGCACATGCCTCTCCTTTCTTGCAGGTGAATTCTTCACAGGTGAGCCGGCCTGAGGCATGGCAGGTGCATTTTTCAGAGCAATCCTTGGAGACGATGCTTTCTTCAGCCTACAGGGGGATCCCCAGACATGCAAGTTGATTATTTGCACTGGTCTAATCAATAGCAGCTTTTGAACTGATAGGAAAAGGTAAGGTCATCTAAGGTTGACTAGAGTTAGACTGATATTTTTGGCCTAGCACTATTTGGTAATGCCTCAAAGTGAAAAGAACCAAAATGGCCACCTTGCTGCCAAAGATAAAAATTGGAAAGACAGTGTCTGGGAAGATGGCATCCCAGATTTGGGCTTCAAAGTTTTGGAGGGTATGCCTTTGGTCCACTTGTCTAAAAGCAAGCAAAGGTAAGCCAACCCTCTGACATGCCCTGATATTTCTTCCTCTCCTTCCAAAACAGATGAAAACCCTCCTTTCCCAAACATTTTCTCAAGGGAAAATGGTTTTGCGAAAGTGGGATGAGAGAGAGAGATTTTCTGAACAGCTCTAGCTTTTGTCAAATTTAAATTTTAAACAGTTAAAATCATTAGTAGGATTGGAATATCACTTGTAGTTTAATGGAGAGATAAACATTTTTATTATTATAAAAGATGCAGGAGGAAATGATTAACAATAGGACCCACAAAGGGGAAGAGGGGAGGCCAAGAGATTCCTTGGAATCTTGTTTTCATGTTGGACACAGGGCCGCCTTAACCATAGGTGCCAGGGGTGCAGGGCACCCGGGCGCCAAGCTCTCAGGGGCGCAAGGCCGAGAGTCCGGGCCCTGAGAGTTGGAGTCCAGGGAAGAACCCGCCCATCGGAGACATGTGACTGTAAAGTTTTTATCTGAAAAACCAAATAAATAAATTTATTAAATAAAAAGGAAAGAGGAATATATTGGACACACCTTGATGTAGTACCCGTCATGCACACAGCCACACCTTTCCATCGGCATGCAGGTTTCCCCATCAGACACAAAGCCAGCAATGCACTGGCAGCCTTCAAAGCATTTCTTGGTGCACAGGGTGGGAGCAGAAAGGCCTGCACATGTAAGGTCACAAGACCTGGTGCACAGCTCATATTGGCTGTTGGCAGGGCAAGCAAGGGCTGCAGAGAGAAGGGAAACACAGTGATACGATTGCCAAGAAAAGTTCCCCTGATTCTCATGCATGCAAGGAGGATATCAAGGGACAATTCAATGGAAGGAGTAATGGCAACTGAACAACCTCCATTACCTTCTCCATTGGTGGTGGTGGGGAGGGAGTTATTGGTTTGGGGGGGTGTTCTTGTTTTTATCATGTATTTTGCCCTTTTGTATTGTATTTTTATGTTGTGAACTGCCCTGAGATCTGTGGATGAAGGGTTGTATACAAATTTTAAAAAACAAATTATTTTTTTAAAAAAATTCTAGTATGCTAAGGGATTTGGTGGGAGTGAAGCTGCTGACAATGATTGGCTGAACTGTCAGAATGTTGTCTGTGAAGGACGGAGCAAGCAGAAAACCCCCTTTGCCATTGGCTGAGCTGGCTGGAGACTAGTAGGGATGGGTAAATCTGCCAATCTATTTCTCTCAATTTGTCATCCCTCCCCCCCACATATTAGATTCAGTTCTCCTCATTTCCATATCAATTTGGAACTTTTCTTTTCTTTTTTAAAAAGTTCCTGTTAAATTTCATTAGTATTTTAAGGCAAATTTCTCCAAATATGTACTACTTTTTCTTCTTTCACAAAGCAATTTCCCACAGTACAGTGGTACCTCAAGTTACAAATGCCTCAGCTTACAAATGCTTCAGGTTACAAACTCCGTTAACCTGGACGAGTTACCTTGAGTTGAGAACTTTGCCCCAGGATGAGAACGGAAATCATGTGCCGGCGGTGCAGCGGCAGCAAGAGGCCCCATTAGGGAAAGCACGCCTCTAGTTAAGAACAGTTTCAGGTTAAGAACGGACCCCCGGAACGAAATTTGTAACTCGAGGCACTACTGTAGTACTGTGCATTTAAAGATGCTTTTTCCGCCAACATATGCATTTATTTATTTTTAATGCATGCCCAACAACAGTATGTGTATTTTTGTCCACATTACTTGGCTGGAGAACCGCATAGCAAAATTCAGAGGAGAGCAAAGTTTGTTTCAATTTGTGCACTGTTAATGGAAAGTGTGAAGTAGGTAGCTTTGCCTTTAAATGCAAGCTGAATTGAATGTCTCCTCCATGCCTAGGCACTAGAGAGAGACAGGGCAGGAAACAAGGCTAAGGGCAGTGTGTGGGGTTGGAGGGTTAAATAAAGTGATTGGCCCAAAGCTGGTACATGAGCTTTGTTTGTTTTGCTGAATTAGGATATGAGCCTGTGCCTCTCCAGCCCTAGTTCTATGCTCTAACCACTGCACAGCACTGACTGTCAGGAAGGAGGGAGGTGGAAAACCCAGAGAGCGTGAACAGAGAGTGGACCTACATTTGGGTCCAGAACTGCAGAAAAAGCTGAGGAACCATAAAACGCTGCAGGCCTATAGTATATGCTGACCACCAATGGAGAAGCAGATCCACATATACACTTACGGCAGAAGGAGGCTGTCCTCCACGCCTTGATGTTTGCTCCAGCTGCTTGGCACACAGCAACGTAGGCCTGGAGGCTCTGGCAGAGGATGTCCTTTGCCCCATGGGCAGCACACATGCCATGGAGGCAACGGTTATAGTACTCGGTCGGCTTTACCAGGGAATGACAATCGCTGAAGGGGCCTGACGCGGCTTGGATCAGCCCACAAGAGCTCTCGACCTGGTACGGCTTTGTCTCTGCAGCATCACACAAGGGACATTTCTTCCTGCAGCCATCTGAACAGCCGGCATTATTGAGCTCTACTTTCCAGGATGCCCCAAACTCTGTCACGTTCCCAGTGCTCTTCTCATCGGGCAGTTGGAATTCGTCGCTCCTGTCACTGTTGAAGTTGCCACAAAGGCCACACATCTGACCTTGGTACACGCTGGGAACATTTACCAGAATGTAATGGGAGGAATCATAGAGGACCTTTAGGCCAAAATCTGTCTGCAGGACAATATTCTTCCCCTCCTGATTTACCCAAACGTCTCTCCTGTCTATCACCAGTGGCAGGGCGTGCATCTCTCCATCCACCTATGCAGATCAGACAGAAGAGAAAAGAAAAGTACATGGGCCGTTGTATTAGAATGAAGACAGACAATGGTGCAAGTTCATGTGTTTCTGGATACAGCAGGGAGGGAAGCACGACTGAGTCAGTCAAAGTGTGGGAACTTCCTGCCCCAGGCCTCCATCTTTGTACAAATTTGAACATCTAATAAGGAGATGCATGAGCAGTAGTTACCACTTTGTACATTGCAGCATGTCGTTTTGCAAATGTGTAATTGTTTTTAAATTGCTGGTTCTGTTTGTACCTTGATAAATTTGATGTCGACATTTGATTTCATTTGATTTTGTCTCAATGAACGCTTTGCATTGTTTGATGTAGACTGCTCTGATAACTGAGCAGTACACAAATCATGTTACATAAATCAACAGCTTAGCCAAGTCTACCCAGGCACGTAATTTTTAAAACATGCATTTTTTAAAATGTACATCTGTTTTCAAATTGCTGATTTTATCTGTATGTTGACACATTTTATGCCCATTTGTCTCTAATGTTCGATTTGAATCGGTATTTAATATTGCATTACGTAAACCGCTTAGAGGTTTTAGTTGATTAAGCGGTATATTGTTAAATAAATAAATAAAATACACCAAGAATACAGAAATGGGAAGCCTGATTCACTCACACTTCCTCTTATCCTGCTGTAACCTGCAATGCTGGTTGGAGAAATAGTTAAGAATCATAAGCTGAACTTTTAAGTTGGTGGCAGGACCAGGATCAGTACTCTGAGGTATTCAGCAGATGTTGGGGTCATGAGATCTACTGGTGCATGCATTGGGACACCTTTTTTAAGCATTCCTGTGCACCAGTCAGTGCTGAGCAGTTGGGTGTGTGAACTGCCATCTTAGCGTCACTTCAAAGCATTGTGGGAAATCTAAAGGGCAGCTAAAACCAGACACCAGATGGTGCTTGGGATGATGCTGTCTGCTGCTTCTCCTTCCTATAGGGGAGGGGACCAACCAGAAGGAACTTTGTTCAAGGCCCCCCTCAAACCTGGAGACAGCCCAGCCTGGTGGATATTCCATACAAGTTCTCCATAGTAGCTCAGTGGCAGAGCATCTACTTTGCATGCAAAAGGTCCCAGGTTCAATCTCGAGGTAGACTGAGACCTGTTGGCCATCAGTGTAGACCAGGCATAGGCAAACTTGGACCTCCAGATGGTTTGAGACTACAGTTCCCATCATGCCTGACCACTAGGGGTCCTGTTAGCTAGGGATGATGGGAGTTGTAGTCCCAAAACATCTGGAGGGCCAAGTTTGCCTATGCCTGGTGTAGACAATAATGAACTAAATAGACCAATGGTCTGACTCAGTGTAAGACAGCTCCCTATGTCCACTATTTCTTGGAATTGGCTACAGACCTTTCAGACCTGGGGGAAATTAATGATGGAAGATCAGCAGTGCACAGTGGAAAGGTAACAGCGCCGCAAGGAAGTGGGAGACTTTCACATAGTGTCTCTATGTGAAGTTTGTATGTGGACAGGAAGGAGACAACTTCTAGCAGATGAACAGAACAGGACACCTACCAGAACCTTCCAGGTCATTCCTTTCACAAGACTGATGGCGTAACCATGCACAGTGACAACAACCATCTTTGGCACAACTTCACTGTCGCCTGACCCCTCGTTCTCCACCACCACCGAAAAGTGTGCAAGCTCGGGATTCTTGCTGCAGACTTTGGCCAAGGTGTAAGTGCAGGAGCCGAAGAAGTTGAAGGTCTGTCCATCAAAGGTAAGATACTGGGTTCCTCCAGCCACGCTGCATTTGCCGCAGCTGATGGAGTGGCAGCCTTGGATGCCGTTCTCCACCCTGCACTCCTCTTGGGCCCCACAGGAGACCTTCTGACACGCCACAGCTCCGTTGTCTCCGCAGCGGCATCTTTCATGGCAGGAGGCACTGGGGACAAAACTGTCTCCCTTCTTGTAGTACCTGCCTTGGTACACACAGCCACAGTCCCCGACAGGGACGCACCGGTCTCCGCTCAGGACAAACCCAGCATCGCAGTAGCAGCCCTCTTTGCAGGACATTTGACACCCATCTGGAGCAGAGAGGCCGTGGCAGGTGACAGGGCAGCCATTGCCACAGAGATCATAGCGGGAGTTACGGGGGCAGGAAGGACCTGAAAGGAAACATCAGAGACCATGAACAGGTGAGGAGGAAATGATGGGGTGGGGTGGGGGGTATCAATGCTAGGTGTTATCTTAGCCAGGTGGAATCAGCCAGGACTTTCTGTTCTGTCATGCACACACACAAAATCATTTGAATTAGTTTAATTTTAATAATCCCCTTCCCAACTCTGCCAACCTGATTTTAGGCTAAAATGTATGTGCAGTGTATTATTCCTGCATTGCAGGGGCTTGGAATAGATGAACCTTGGGGTTCAGTGTGGTGTAGTGGTTAAGAGCGGTGGACTCGTAATTTGGGGAACCGGGTTCGCGTCTCCGCTCCTCCACATGCAGCTGCTGGGTGACCTTGGGCCAGTCACACTTCTTTGAAGTCTCTCAGCCCCACTCACCTCACAGAGTGTTTGTTGTGGGGGAGGAAGGGAAAGGAGAATGTTAGCCGCTTTGAGACTCCTTAAAGGGAGTGAAAGGCGGGATATCAAATCCAAACTCTTCTTCTTCTTCTTGTTCCTTCACACACTACAATTCTATGATTCTATGTTTGCCCCACCTATTACTGGCTCCTAGTGTTGCTGGGAACCATGGTTTGGCTGGTTGTTTCACCCACAAATTTAAGTAATTTAGTAAATGTATAAACGGCATTTTTAGAAAATGTTCTTCAGAATAATGTAAATAACCCATCTAAAGGCTATTTGAGAATATTAGGTGGTATCGAACTAAGTCATACTCAGAATAAACTCAATAATATCAATGGGTTGTACCCAATGCCAGTTCTACTTTGAATAAACCCAAACCTGTCAGATCCATTATTTACAATGGATTTACTCTTAGTAAGTTAGATATAACCCACTCAACTAGTTATATAAGCCCATCAATTCCAACGGGTCTACTCTGAATATGACAAGCCCATTGATTTCATTGGGTCTATTCCAAGCACGATTCCCCATTAAATACAACCACACTCCATGATAGTCTAAAAAGTTAGCTTGAGAACAATCAAAGCACCGCAGCAGAAACTCTGCATGCTAGCAGCAATTTTAAAAATCACTGTAGCCCAATTTAGATAAGTGCTACCCTGTTGAAGCAGATCCAATACTTACTGCAGAAGGAGGCTGATCGCCATTGCCCGATCTGGATGCCTTGAGCTTGGCAGGCTGTCACGTAAGCACTGATGGCACTGCAGAGAGTCTCGTGGTGGCCCTTGTATCGGCAGACATCGACAACACAATCCTCGAAGTAGGCTGTTGCATCTATAGCTTTATTGCACTGCTTGAATGGCCCATCCTTTCTGATGAGGATCCCGCAGTACTGGTCCTCCTTGTAGGTTTGTTTCTGTGCTTCTTCACAGGCAGGGCAGTTACTGGTGCATCCATTCCCACAACCAGGGATCTCGTCTATCTTCCAGCTCTCTGCAAACTGGTTGACATTGGCTGCTGGGCTTCCGCCCTTCATAATCAGATCATCACTGGAGTCCTGGTTGTCATTGCCACAGAGGCCACAAAGCGCATTGCGGTAACTCTTGGGAACAGTGACGTGGACCAGTCTGTTCCAGCCGAAGGTCACGGTAAGATCAAAGTTGGTTATTATAAGGACATGGGCTCCGCTGATGTAGGCCTTCACCTTATCTTCGTGGTAGAAGGGCAGATCCACAAATACTCCATCCACCTAGAGGAGAGACAGAGAAAATGTTGCCAAGGTGCCAAAACATAGCCTACCAACCCAAAGAAGGTGATAGAGGAGGGTGGATTAAGAACTTGACTAAAAGGTCTATTGCTGGGAAGGAGGAACCTATGGCACTTCAGATGTTGTTGAGCTTCACTTCTCACTACCACAACCATTGCATATGTTGACTGGAGAATAGGGGAGACAATGAGTAATTGTGTGGAGTTGTGAGGGTTGTTAAGGTTTAGATACAGGAATATTGTCCACGAGGGATAGCTCAGTCAGTAGATAATGTGACTCTTAATCTCAGGATTGTGGGTTTGAGCCCCACATTGGGTAAAAGATTCCTGCATTGCAAGACGTTTGGACTACATGATCCTTGTGGTCTCTTCCAACTTTACAATTCTGTGCTTCTAAATGAACCAAATATGTCACAGCCTATGCTTTGGGGGAAGGGCCTTAGCTGTTTTGTGGAACATCTGTCTTGCATGTAGATGATCCTAGGTTCAATCCCTGACACCTCCATGTGACTTGCAGGGTGAGTGTGAAAACTTTTCTGAAAACCTAGGCCACTGATGCCAGTCAGTATCAACAGTACTGAGCTAAATGGGTCAATTGATCTGATTTAATTTGAGGCAATTTCATTTGTTTATTGCTGCCTTTACTTTGCTACTGTAGCTGCTGCTTTAAGACCTGGATTACATATGTAAGTAAATACTGCTTTTGCTTTTTCACAAAAACAATGTCTATGTGCAGCTATTATTTTTAAGGGGGAGAAAAGGGGTAATACCAGGGAAAATCCAGTCTGCCTTAAAGCATCCTGGATCATTGTTTCGAGGAGGTTAAACCAACCTTGTCTTTGCTTCCAAGTTTAAGCTGCAAAGGATAGTGCACTGCTGATCTCCCTCGCGTGAGCAAGGAAAGATAGTAGCTAAACAATATATCTTCTCCTAGTGCCTAAATCAATTTCTAAAGGAATTGCAGCCCAGTGGCATCTGGAGGGCCACAGGGTCCCCATGTCTGCACTATCCCATACCATTTTTCTCCCTATGTCCCCGATACCTTGATTGTGTGAGGATGCTCCTGGCTGATCGTAATGGTTCTGTTGTAAATGTCCAAGGTAACCACAGAAGAGAAAGGCATCGTCTTACTGCCTTGGCTGTTCTGGATAGAGATGGTGAACGGAGTGAGAGTTGGGTCCTTGGAGCAGAGCCCAGCCAGCTGATAGATGCAAGTGCCTGAAAAGTCATATCTCTTCCCATCGAAAGTGGTGTAGTGATGGTCCCCAGTTGCTGTGCAAGTGGCATAGCTGATGGGGTGGCAGCCCCGGATGCCATCCACCGTCATGCACCTTTCGCTAGCTTTGCAGCTGGCTGGACTGCACACCACCATGCCCAGGCTGGGATCACACCTGCAGCGAGAGCCACAGGTTTCATCGGCCCAGAACTCCTCCTCTGGCTTGTAGTAGAGGCCATTGTGAGTGCAGCCACAGCTCTTCACGGGGACGCACTTGTCAGTGCTGAGCACGTAGCCTTGGTCACACTGGCAGGTTTCCACACAGGGCTTATCGCACATCGAAGGAGCAGATCGGTCAGAGCAGCTGGCTGGGCAGGCGTTTCCACAGGCCTCATAGTGGCTATTCTCAGGGCACGACAAAGCTGAAAGAGGGCAAAGCAACAAAGACTTTGCAACAAAAGGAGAGATCAAGTACCAGCACCACCACCTCATGGCCATCTACCACTGACTAACCTAGGTGTCAGAGACCAGACTGAGGATTACAGCTCTGATGAGGAATGGTGGGAACCTTCCCCTCTTGCTGCTCCTGACAGAAGCTCCCCAGGAACAGTGGAGCAGTATAGATTTAGAGAATTGGTTTGCAGAGGGACATAGTTCGGAGAACAACAGCTGGGCAGAGCTGAGTGGGGCACAGCTAGGAGAGAGGGATAACTGACTCCCCGTCGCTAGAAAGTGTCCAACCTTTATCTCCAAGGGCAAGGAGAGCTGATAAGGTTGCTATGCAGAAGGCTCAGTGGTTGTGAGAACAGGTTGCCAGAAGGGGGAAGTGATAGAGATAACTTGGGGGGAAGTAGGAGGGAAGCTTAATTGGGAGCACCTTTACTCCGAGAATGGCTGCGTTGTTCTTTTGCTGTGATCATTAAAACAGTCTTAAACTGGTAAAGGCAAAGGTAAAGGGACCCCTGACCATTATGTCCAGTCGTGGCCGACTCTGGGGTTGTGGCACTCATCTTGCTTTATTGGCCAAGGGAGCCGGTGTACAGCTTCCAGGTCATGTGGCCAGCATGACTAAGCCGCTTCTGGCGAACCAGAGCAGCGCACGGAAAAGCCATTTACCTTCCTGCTGGAGTGGTACCTATTTATCTACTTGCACTTTGATGTGCTTTTGAACTGCTAGGTTGGAAGGAGCAGGGACTGAGCAACGGGAGCTCACCCGTTGCGGGGATTTGAACTGCCGACCTTCTGATCGGCAAGCCCTAGGCTCTGTGGTTTAGACCACAGCGCCACCTGCATCACCTCAAGCTGGTAAGGGACTCTAATTGCTTTCTTCTGCCGATGCACGGCCAAAGGGTGGCGGGGAGGAAGCCATTTCTCCAAAGCCTGACACTAGGGATAGGAGAGAGAGGACAGACAAAGACCACCTGAGGGTCTGCTTCAGCAAGTCTATCCTCTCCCTACCTGCACAGGATCTGTCATCCACAATCAAGTGGGAAGGATTACATGAGACAAGGAGGCAGGCAAAGACACCCCAGGGCCTGCTCCAGGTAGACTACCCCCTCCGCCCTCCGCACACTTCCACAAAGCCACCTGTCATAAACTGCTCTGTTGGAAGGACTGGAGGAGAGAGGGGGAAGCAAGCAAAGGCCATCTCAGCATTTGCTCTACCTCTTCCACCCCAGAGGGCAAGCTGTCTTCTGCAGTAGTGGATGGTGTGGTGGATGTGGTTCACACCTGACCCCTGGTCAGTTTCATCTCTGCTGTTTCCTGGGAGGTTGAGGCTGGGGAGTGAAATCACCGTGGTGCAATTTTATTTTATTTTTGCACTGCACTGACCTCATCACCTCCATTCTTGCCCTCATCTTCCTGGTAAGCAGCACTGATGCAACCAACCGGAGGTCAAGGGAGTGCCACTGCCCCACCATGGCATTCACTATAGGTCCTGTGGGAAGAATTTCAGGAGCAAAAAAAGGGAAGGTACATATGACTTCTGGCTAGACTGTCCTTTCCCCCACCCAGTATAGGGCCATCTGCCAGCCACTATCCTTTGAAAAGGATCCTGGTGACTTTTTAATATGTTGATATTGTTTGCGTTTCTGAATATATATATTTTTTAAATTAATGTTGCCTGCAAGCCGTCTTAGAAGGATTTGTCTCTAGAAAGTCAGTATATGAATGATTGTAATTAATAAACACATATAAGTTACATCATGGGGCAAGCAGTGATGCTCCAGAGATTCAATTTCTGTGACTTCTTTAGAAACTGACCTGGTCCACTCCTGCCATAACTACATGCAGAGCAGAACAAAATGACCCTTCAGATTTCAATCTTCAAATTTTGAGTTAGTTTTCGGCTCAAAAAAAATTAACAAAATTTGTTTTAAAATGCAGATGTATTAGAGTACAATATGTTTATAAATGCATATGTTGAGAATATATGCATTTCAATATGTATTTTGTAATGAAACGTATGTTTAAAAATGCATTTCAATATGAAATTTGTGCAGCCCCTACCTCTCCCTGGAGCAAACCATGAGTCGCATGAGTCAAAGCATGAGCAGAGATTCAGTATACCTGAAGGAGCGTCTCCACCCCCATTGTTCTGCCTGGACACTGAGGTCCAGTGCCGAAAGCCTTCTGGCGGTTCCCTCGCTGCGAGAAGCCAAGTTACAGGGAACCAGGCAGAGGGCCTTCTCAGTAGTGGCACCTGCCCTGTGGAACGCCCTCCCACCAGATGTCAAAGAGAAAAACAACTACCAGACTTTTAGAAGACATCTGAAGGCAGCCCTGTTTAGGGAAGCTTTTAATGTTTAATAGACTATTGTATTTTAATATTCTGTTGGAAGCCGCCCAGAGTGGCTGGGGAAACCCAGCCAGAGGGGCGGGGTATAAATAATATATTATTATTATTATTATTATTATTATTATTATTATTATTATTCAGACTTAGCACTAAACCAAACCATGGCTGAGCCTTGGGCAGCATGGCAGCAGCTGCAGGGCTGTGCAGGGAACATAGCAGCCATGATTCCCCCCAACACACACACTGCAAGCCTGCACGTTTGTTCTTTCATGCTTAGCCATGGTTTAGCTTAGCAAACCGGACCAATGAAACTTTGTTGGGGATCAGCATTTGAGGACTGGGAGCACAATGCAAGGGAGCTGCTTCCCTCCCTGACTCATTCTCACCGCAGCCGCTCCGTGCTCTCCATTCGTGGATGACCACGCCTTCCTTGCGACAGTCAGTAGCATAAGCTTCCAGCGCTTTGCACAGGATGTTTTTGGCCCCGTGGTTGAGGCAGACGTCATAGAGGCAGCTGTCAAAGAAGTTGTCGGGGCTCAGCTTGTCATGGCATTCGCGGAAGGGTCCCTCTCCCAGCTGGGTGAGAAGCCCGCAGAACTCCTCGCTTCCAAAGAGCTGCCGTTGGCTCTCTTCACACGTCGGGCAGTTCCCATCGCAGACGTCCCAGCAGAAAGGGTCGCGGTCGTTCACCTTCCAGCTCTTAGCCCACTCCACCTCAGAAGCAGGCTTGTGGCCTGCGGGCGTCACCATCTCGTCATCTGGGTTTTGGTTGAAATTCCCACAGAGGCCGCAGATGGTGCCATAGTAGCTGCTGGGCAAAGTCACCTCCAGGATCATGCTCCAGTCGAAAGTCACCACCAGGCCAAAGTTGGTTTGCAGCACAGCATTTAAGCCACTCTGGAAGAGCCACAGCTTCCCGTCCTCCAAAGTTACAGGCAGGCTTGTGATGATACCGTTCAGCTGTAGGCAGGGGAGAGAAAGTTGTCAGTACACTAGTTTCTGAAATAGCGCCCTCGATTGCCAGCTTAGGATGTTGACACTGCCTCCCACTGCCTGCAAAACTACCCTTTACATGAGCATCCTTGGCACACACATCCCTTAACTGTTCTCCAGTCCCTGTCAAAAACATTCCTCCTGGACCAGATATGTACCCTGTTTGTAGGCAAAAATAAAGTCACTATCTAGGACCTGGGAGACCAGGGAAATAAATGTGATAACTAAATAAAGGTAACAACAACAACAACAACAACGGTTTGTTGGTTTGTTTGTTTTTAAGTTGCCGGTACTCACCATATAGTTGTTACAGTAAGTACATTTTAACATTTGGGAGGGGAAAAAGCTGCCAGTACTGCATACCCTTGAGTAGCCCAGAAAACAAAGCACTGAATAATAATCAGATTTTTTTTGCATTTATATTTGTTTATTTAATATGTCAAAATGATTGTTTGCTGTATCTATATTATGATGTTCTATGACTTTAAGAAATGAAGTTTATTCATTCATACATTCATGTAAAATTCAGTGACTATAGCATTTATTTTTCCACGCTAGGGTTGGGCAAACATGTTGTGTAAAGAGTATAGGTTGCTCGTGCGTAAGTTGCCGCCTCTCCTGGCTTTGTTGCCTTGTTAAACCTTTCAGTCTGGACAGCCCTTCACTTCGTGGCTGCCTCAGTCGCTAGCAGACTCCGGCCAGTGGGCGTTTCTTAAACCTTTTCCAACATAAAAGTTGTTTGATACCCAGTCTCCTCCTACTCTCTCTGCACGGAAGTCTTCTGCGCAGGGAGGGCGTGGGTAGCGGAGGACCCGTGCTCTCCCCGCTGGTGTCCGGTGAAGAGTCTGGGAGCCCTCTCGCCGATTCCCCCATCTGCCCCTCTTCATTCCTGGTGTTGCGCTGAATTGCTTCCCCATCTGCTGAGCTGCCTCTCTCCCTGCTGGGCCCTTCTCCAGCATCATTTGAGAGCCTTCCCTCCACCTCTAGCTCCGATGTCAGTTCCCTGACATGTCGGTTTTTTGTTTCTCCCCGTTTCTCATTTTCCCAGCATAATTTCATGCCCCCAAATTTCCACACTAGTGTGTGTGACTAAGGAAAAGGAAGTGTCGCCGGGAAAGTGTATGTTCTGGGGAGAGTCCAGAGGGCCCAATGGATAGGCCTGCAGGATCACATCTGTCTCTCAGGTTCACCATCAGGAACACCCCAGAGGGCTTTTCTCCCCTGTAGCATGTCCTGATGTATGTAGATTCCCCTTGGGATCCTTCTCAACTCCACAGTTCTGTAATTCTAAGACACCGCTGCAAAGACTCACCCGGATTCTGCCCGCTTCCTTCCTGCGGATGGAGATGCTGTGCCCGTACACATAGATATTGGCCTGTCTCACGTAGGACATGGTCTGGCTCCCCCGGTGATCATTCTTTGCCTCCACCGTGAATGGCACCAAGGTGGTGTCATTGCTGCAATACTTGGCAATTGTGTAGGTGCAGGTACCCTGGAAGTCAAAGTCCTTCCCATCGAAAGTGTGGTAGTGTGGGTCTCCCCAGCCCCAGCAGGTCTCGTTGTAATTCGGGACGCATGTTGCTCTGCCATCCTCCAGCTTACACGTCTCCTTGGTCCGGCACTTTAAGGCTTTGCAAGGATCTAAAATGAAAGAAAAGAACCATTGTGGACTCGATGCAGTAGCAGAGGTCCCACATGGGAAGCCTTTGGCAAAAGAGGTGTACATCTCCCCATGGTCGTTGAACACATGACGCCATATGGTGACAGCCCAGGTCCATTTCAATGACTTGTGAGTCTATGTGTACAGATGGTTGTGTTTTGGGACTGCTCCAGAAGTTAACCAGAATTTCTATGATCAGAGCCAGATGTTCTGAAAGGCAATCCATGTACAACAGTGCCCTATGGGCATAAACATGTGAAAGACAGACACGCAATCCCAGAACACATTAAGGTATGCATTCAATGGCAACTCCCCAATGGATGCTCTGTGTGTACATCACCACAGCCTTCATCAAGACAAGTGCTACATTTATTACTCTGCATGCAGCAGTCCTGTTGGGAGCTGAGACTAGGGAGGGGCAGATCTGTCAATTTCCGTTTTTCTCATTTTCTCATACAGTGGTACCTCGGGTTGCATACGCTTCAGGTTACATATGCTTCAGGTTACACACTCCGCTAACCCAGAAATAGTGCTTCAGGTTAAGAACTCTGCTTCAGGATAAGAACAGAAATCGGGCTCCGGCAGCACGGCAGCAGCAAGAGGCCCCATTAGCTAAAGTGGTGCTTCAGGTTAAGAACAGTTTCAGGTTAAGAACGGACCTCCGGAACGAATTAAGTACTTAACCCAAGGTACCACTGTATTTCCAATCTTGTTTTCCACATCAGTTTATGATTTTTCTTAAGAAGCCCTCATGAAATCAGCATGCTAGTGTATATTTTCCCCAGTATGTACCTATTTATGCAAGTTTGCTTAATATGCACTATTTTGCAAATCATTTCCCCTACTATTTTTGCATGCGGTGTAATATTTCTGCACTACTATACATGCATTTTACATACTTTTTACCTATTTGTATGCATTCCGTACACATTTCTAGATTCAAACTGTAAATCTAGGATAACTTCTTTCCATTGCACATAATTTATATTATTATTATTCACTCATTCTCTGTGCTTCTTGATATTACGACCATTTTTAATTGTTCTTAATATGCTTACTTTTAATGGTTATATTTAGTGTTGTTCATTTTGGACCACTTTGGGCACAATTGTGGAAAAGCAGCATATTTCTAAGCTGACAATGGCTTCCCTGGAGGACTGCATTGCAAAATTCAGAGAAGACTGGACACGAAAGGATGTCTTTGTTTCAGTTTGCATATTGTTTCAGGATGTGTGGATTAAGTAGTTTCATCTTGAAATGCAAACTATATTGACTCCCCCCACCCCATCCCTAGTTGAGACCTGGGTCAGCCAGGTCCTCAAATTGTCATTCTGAAAATGCATCCAGCCTCTCACCTTTATTGACGCAGCTCATGACCCCATCCTGGACCTCGCAGACCTCATCGCTGGTGCAGCTATGTGACTCACAGGTGACTCCCCGGCCTGGGACACAGCTGCAGATTTGTTGGCATTCATTCAGCAGGACCTTCTCATGGGGCTGCCGGGGCATTTGCCAAGGGGAAAGCAAACCATTAAATGACCAACCACCATAGCCTTTACTGGTAAGCACATATTTCAGTTACGTGAAGGCCAGACTGAGGAACAGGTTCCCAAACCATATGTGCTCTACCTGCGATATCGCTTCCCCCTCTTCCAGATCATTCTAGAAAGAGAACTCAAGAATCTAGGCTCCCATACATGGATATATCATGGGTACAATCTGCTAGTGTGGTATAGTGGTTAGAGTGTTTGACCAGGACCTGGGAGACCAGGGTTCAAACCTCCACTTGGTCATAAGCTCACTGGGTGATTTTGGGCCAGAGATTCAGTGGTGGTGGAGGAGAAATGAACCACCCATGAGTGGAACCTGCAAGAAAATAGTAGCAGTCCTAAAGCGGTGCTATTTCCCCAATCTCAGTGCCAATGTGGCCATTTGCAGCTTAGAGTCTGCCTTCTTCTGGAAGATAAGAGAATATCTGGCCAACTACTAAATAGCCTCAGCCCAGTATACCTGAAGGAGCACCTCCACCCTCATCATTCAGCCCAGACACTGAGGTCCAGCTCTGCGGGCCTTCCGGCGGTTCCCTCACTGTGAAAAGTGATGTTACAGGGATCAGGCAGAGGGCCTCCTTGGTAGTGGCACCTGCCCTGTGGAACACCCTCCCATCAGATGTCAAGGAAATAAACAACTATCTAACTTTTAGAAGACACCTGGAGGCAGCCTTGTATTGGGAAGTTTTTAATGTTTGATGTTTTGTCGTATTTTTAATATTCTGTTGTGAGCTGCCCAGAGTGGCTGGGGAAACCCAGCCAGATGGGTGGGGTATAAATAAACTATTATTATTATTATTACCACCACTACTACTACTACTACTACTACTACTACTGAGTTCTGTTTACTGTTTGCCAATGCCTGGTGCTTGTGTGATACAAGACCTTGGATAGCCACTGCATGAAGAATACAAAACTGGGATAGGCTCAGTCATACAACTGGAAGGTACCTCATAGGTCACCTAGTTCAACTCCCTGCCAAGGCAGGAATGAATGAATGAATGAATGAATTTATTAATACGGTCACAGACCAGCGCCAGCCAAGGCAGGAAATTCATTGCTACAGCCTCCCTGATAGGTGGCCATCCAGACTCTGCTTAAAAACCTCTAATGAAGGAGCAACCCCTACCTTTGTGCCATCATCATGTTCTTCCAAATGTTTAGGCTACATCATTTTTTCTCTCGGAAATTGAACCTACTGGTTTGTGTTCAGCCCTCCAGAGCAACAGAAAATAAATGTGGCTCATCAGAATGAACCTCTGAGGGCCACATTCCCTTCTGGGCAATGTTCTGAGGGTCACATGCCAGAGGTGGACTGGGCCCGGGCAAAAGTGGGTGGAATTTAAATATAAACTAATTTCACCTTTGTACAGTAGTCTAGTTCCCACACACGCTCACACATTCCTTTCTATCCTCCATCCAGACAAGAAAGAGGCATTATGAGTTCAAGGACACATTCTAGCCAGGTAAAAACACTCAAGGAAGGCATGAAGCAGGGCCAGTGAGGGGGTGTGGCCTGCGGAGGGGAGAGTGTCCTGGATATAGTCCAGAGGGGCAGATAGAGAAGCCTGGAGGGCCACATTTAGCCCCTAGTGCTAAGGTTCTCCACTCCTGGTTTAATAGCCCTTTAAACAGCTGAAGAGGGAACTTCCTACCTTGCACTTGTTCAAAGCAATGCAACACTATCTCCTTTAGGGGAAAGCACCTTATAATATGTTCCATTGTCATTGCACCCGCAGGTCTCCACCGTGACGCAGCCAAGGCCATCAAAGAAGAACCCGTCATCACACTGGCAGCCCTCCGCACACGTCCCGGGGCATATTCTGGAGTCGGTGATCCCAGCACAGTGAGTGGAGCAGAGATCAGCACAGAGTGAATACTGGCTGTTTGGAGGGCAGCTGAGAGCTGCAACAGAGAGAGTACATGGTACATGACAATTTTTTTAAAAAAAAGATATTTATTATAATAATACTACCCATAGTTCTCAGTACTCACGACAGAAGGATGGACTCCTCCAGGTCTGGACGGGGATCCCGGCTTCTTGGCAGGCAGACGTGTAGCTCTGGATATTCTGACACAAGGCCTCGCTGTCCCCATTGCCCAGGCACACATCATAGATGCAGTCGCTGAAGTACACACTGGGGTCCACCTTTGCATGGCAAGCACTAAAGGGGCCGTCCGGCACAGTGAGGATCCCGCAGTAATGGCGCTGCTTGAAAACCTCCTCCTTCTTTTTCTCGCAGACTGGGCAGCTGCTCCCAGAGCATCCATCTGAGCAAGGTCCAACTGCCCCAGGGACTGGAACCTTCCAGGCAGCACCAAATTTAGCTACACCAGAGGTTGTCTTGCCATCAGGGAGCAGGAAGTCGTCTTCCTTCTTCCCGTTGTAGTTCCCACACAGGCCTTGCATTTGGTTCCGGTAGCTTCCTGGGACGGTGATTGTCACACGGTAAACCAGGTCATAGCTCACAATGAGACCAAAGTCGGTTTCTATCAGGACTTTAGTGCCATGCTGATAAGCTCTGAGACGTCCACCAGAAAATTCAACGGGTAGGGAATGAATCACTCCGTTCACCTGGAAGAAGGGGACATGCTGACTCTAAGGGCAGATGTTCAAAGGACACAAAACTGGTCTCAGGGATCTTTGACCCTCCAGCAATAGGCCCTTCTCTCACAAGTATTGTTGAACTCCACCCAAGTTGACATGCACAGGGGCACCTTGTGAATGGTTCAGCAGGTAACAAGCTCATGAGCAAAGTTATCTTTAAGATCTGTTGGAAAGCAGATTCTTGTGTATAGATATATGCAAACATATCCACTCACAAGGATCCATTCACATGCAAATCTAGTGTGCAAATTGTATTATTGGAACTTGGCAGAAAGTCATACTTCCTGGACACTAAGGAAGACATATTGTATTATAGCAGCCCCATCTCGGAGTTGCTGAATTGGTGGCTCTTGTGCTTAAGAAACTCATCACTGGTTATTTTTGAGTAGTGCAACCCCTTCAGCACAAAAACTACAGGACCACAGCTTAGTGGCAGTGTCCATGATTTGCGTGTAAAAGGTCCCAGGTTCATTCCCCAGCATCTCCAGGTAGAGCAGGGAGAAACAACCTTTCTGAAATGCTGGATAGCTGCTCCATGTCATTGCAGAGCAAATAATACTGAGCTGGATGGACCAAAAGTTTTACTCAGTATAAGGCAGCTTCCTTTGGCCTAACCAAGGTCAAATGCATCTGTGGTCTTCTTGGGATATGCTAATGTAGAACTAGAGCCATGATTAAAGCACTGGTCTTTCTCTCCCAAGTCTGGATTTATTCAGTGAAGCAGATCTCATGTTCAAACGTAGCAGCTGAATTTTCCATTGAAATGATAGGGCTGTAACTTTTCATTGGCTTAAGCAATAGCTTTATTAATGTTTAATTGACTTAAGATGTGCAGGAGATAATATATACAGTTAGCTATGTTTGCATGAGCTCCTGGCCATTGCACTTTGTGTACAAAAGTGCAAATATATGTTAGCACCACCGAGGAGATAAAATTGCCAAGTGAAACCGAAAATGACACAATTAAAAATTCAGAGAGGATAGTTGTGACCCTAATTTTAAACATACACATGTGTGTGAGTGTTAGATATAATTCCTTATAATTAGCTGTATAAAATGAACTGTAGATGGCAAACTCCATCCGATGTGCACTGTCTGGACAAATACCTGGATCAGAACACAGTTATCTGTCAGCTCTCACACATCTCTGAATTTGGTGATGCAATTCTTGGCTCAGAAATACCCCAAATGCATATACAGCATCAGGTGTAGGCAGTGCTATTTTTCTAGAAAAAGAGGTGCCGGAACTCACCATGAATATCTCCCTTGTTCTCTTATAATAGCAATGGCGCCCACCTGAGAGGTGCCAGAACTGAGTTCCAGCAAGTTCCGACAGGAAAAAAGCCCTGGGTGAATGTAACGAGCAGGTGGATGTGATTGGCCAAAATAGCCTGGTCTGCCTAATTAGGCATCCCCACCCTTGGAGTTTGGCAAATCTAAACAAATGTAGTATAAACACCAACAACTGGGACACACTGGCCTGCGAGCACTCCAGTTGGAGAACAGCCTTTACTGGTGCCATGGACTTTGAAGACGCTTGAACTCAGGATGAAAGGGAGAAACATGGTACGAGGAAGGCACAGTTGGCAAACCCTCACCGTGATCAACTCCTGCCCGGAAACCAGTGTCCCCACTGTGGAATGATGTGTGGATCCAGTATTGGCTTCCACAGTAACTTACGGACTCATTTTTAAAACCGTGTTTATGGAAGACAACCTTACTCAGTTATGAGTGATTGCCAAAGAAGAAGACCCTTGGAGTTAAAATGGAGACATATGTGCACTGCCCAGAGCTTCTTGGATAAGAGCATGGGCAGCATGCAAACACCTACCTTGATCTGTCCCTTCTTGTTCTGGATCAAAGTAAGTGTGGTGCCATAGACTTCCACAGAGACCATCTTGGTGACCGAGGCTTTTCTGCTCCCCCAGGCCTCATTTTCTTCTGTGATGGTGAAAGCCTTCAAGTTCTTCTTGTCTGTGATGGCAGCCTTAGCAAGGACATAGGTGCAGGTGCCCTGGAAGTTGAAGCGTACTCCATCGAAGGAGATGTAATGGGGATCGCCAGAGACTGAGCAAGTGGCTGAGCCAACGGGGTGGCATTTATGGACGCCGTCCACTGCCCTACACTCCTCACCAGGGCCACAAGAGGTTTCCTTGCAGGCAACCGCTCCACCAGCCTGGCACACACACTCCACATTGCACTTGCTGGTTGGGTAGAAGGTTTGCCCAGCTGTATAGTACCGCTCCTGGTAGACGCAGCCACACTGAGACATGGGGACGCAGCGGTCGCCGCTGAGCACAAAGCCTTCATCACAGACACAGCCTTCTGCACAGTGTGCTGAGCAAGGCAGAGGGGAGTAGAGGCTGCTGCAGGTCTGTTGGCAGCTCCTGGCACAGAGCTCGTAGTGGCTGTTTCGGGGACAGACCGGCTCTGGAATGGGAGGGTTAGAAAATGCATTTCCCATCAATATCACGAACTCTTCTATTTCCATTACTACACCGGAGACTAACATAAACCCAGGCTGTTGTGACAGCGTTGCTCCCCCTGTTTCCAATGTTCGGGATGTGAGTGCTGTTGCTTATGTAGCCAAAGCTGCATCACCCACCCATACAGGAAAGGGAGATGTCAGCAGGCTCAGGAGAACCTTAAGGAGCAACCCACCTGCCCTAAACAGCCCAATGGAGACAGAGCACACTCAGGGGGCCACAGATTATTGGCTGCCTGTTACAGATGTGGAAAACTGTGAGAGAGTGAAGAGGAAATGGAAGGGTTGGAACCAGGGCTGAGGGCCACCTCAGCAGGCAGATGCTGGGAGGTGGAGAGGAACGAGACATGGGAGGAAAGAGCAATGTGTAGGGACAGGGAAATCTGCTAGTTCTGGTTTCTCAATGTTAAACCCAGTTCTCCATATTTCCACATCAGTTTGCACCTCCCCCCCTTAGAAAACAATGCCCAAATGTTCCCATAAACATTCTTCAGCATTTTAGAGCAATTTTCTCCTTATATATTTTAACGCAACTTTCCCTTTTACAGCATCTTTTTTCCCTGTGTTATTGTCATTGATATATTCATTTGTTATCCTTTACCGTACCTAATATGCATTTTTGGAGCACATTACTTGGCTGGAGAAATGCACTGTGGAATTTGGAAAAGTGTAGATTTTGAGGGGTGGCTGCCTTTTGGTTCACCCATTGCTTTGGAAAGCGTGAATTGTGTAATTTCGCCGTCCGATGAGAACTGGATCAAATCTTTATCACTCCTATCCTTTATGCCATATAACTTGCCTTGCACCTTCTAAAGGAACCCCATTCTACACAATCCAGCAATACTGAGGGGCCCAAGCTTAAAAAAAAACAAAACTGCCCTAGGGACCTCCACCCTCTTCACAACTGGAGCAAACTGGATCATACTTACTCCAGAATATGTGGATCCTCCAGATATATATGGTCACCTGTATGGCTTGGCAGGCTGCAGTGTAAGCAGCAATGACATGGCCCAGCACAGCCTTCTGACCATTAAAGGTGCAGTAGTCAAAAACACAGTCCAGGAAAAACACCTCAGGGTCAATTCTGCCATGGCACTCCCTAAACGGGCCACTCTTGTCCACCAGGAGTCCACATTCTGCACTGACGCCTCGCTGGCGCTGGGCAATGTTTTCCAAGTCCGAACATACCCTGGGGCTCACTTCTCTGCATCCAAGGGCCTCAGCCACCTTCCAGCGCTGTCCCAAGGCTGTCGAAACTGAGGCTGCGTCACTGGATGCCAAGTCATCTTGTTTGTTGCTGTTGAAGTTGCCACAGAGACCGCCAAGGGCCCCTTCGTAGGACTTTGGCACAGTGACTGTGAGGCGGCTTTGCCAGTCAGAGTTGATGGTGAGGCCGAAATCTGTTTGGATCACAACATCCCAGCCCTTCTGATAGATGAGGACTTGGTCCAGGCCCATCCTGTAGGGCAAGTTGGTCAGCAAGCCATTCACCTGGGAGGAGAGATAAAGTGGGAAGGGTGAGTGGGGAAGATCATGCTCAAAATCTGGTGCTATGGCTTTGAGCTATGCCAAACGATGGCTTAGCAAAGACATTTTTGGTGCGTACAATTTACGTGCGATTGCTGACATGTGGGTTCTTTTGGACCCAGAAGAAGGCAGAACGAGGGTGGAACGGAGGGTGGAACAGGGTGGAATGGGGACGGGGCACGCACATATGTGCTCCATAGATGTGTGCAGGATTTTAACAGACTCGCTCCCCAAAGGAGACCTCATTTAGACTCACCAGAACTCTTCCATGATGAGCCCAGCTGACTGTTATCTCCAGGCCATAGACTTGAACCTTGACCAGTTTGTTGAGGGATGTAGACCAGCTGCCCTGGCCCGAGTTCTGGACTAAGACTTGGAAATCCACCAAGTCGTTGTGCTTCTGGCTGAGTCCTGCAAATGTGTAGAGGCAGGTGCCCTGGAAGTTAAAACTCTGACCGTCAAAACCGTGGTAATGAGAGTAACCGGCTGCAGAACAGGTGGCGTAACCAGTTGGGTAGCAGTTCTGGAGGCCATTCTCCACCCTGCACTGCTCTCCAGCCTTGCAGCTGGCAGGTTGGCATTTCATCTGCTTGCTCTGCGGGTCACAGATGCAGCGCTTTGTGCATGTGCTGTCTCCCCAGAACTGCTCGCCGGGAGAAAAGAGCTTCCCTTCGAAGGCACAACCGCAAGCTGCCTTGGGGATACACTTCCCAGCTTCCAGCACAAAACCCTCATTGCACTGACAAGTTTCCACGCAGCGTGATGAAGAGCAGTTGGAAGGAAGAGCTTGGTCGTTGCAAGTGGCTGGGCAGGCTGAGCCGCAGAGCTTGTACTGGCTGTTCTCAGGGCAGGAGAGCACTGCAAAAGAGAGAGACAGAGAAGAATGAGGGCACAATTATCCACAATCCCTTTCTTTTTCATTGGGATTTATTATCAGAGAGATTGCACACCCATTACTCCCAGCACCAATGGTAAGACAGCCTTTAGGTAGATTGAGATGGATGCCCCAAGCTGCTGAGGCTGGGTGTTGTGAAATAGAGGCAAATTGTTTGTTATTTAATTTACAGTGTTACTTAATACAGTTGCCTCCTGTGTTTTATTTGTTTTGAGCAATGTATAAGTGTTTTGAATTTTTGGGAAGGAAAGCATTATGAGCACCACCAATTTTTCTTCTGGGAAACGGGCAATTTGCGTTGCCCACAACAGTTTCTTATATTTCCAAATGTGATCCTGGGCCCAAAGGAGCTTGGGGACCCCTGTCATAAGCAATTAATTCTACTCACAGCAGCCCGTGAGTCTTCTCCAGTCCAACAGGGTTACGCCTTCCCTCTGGCAGGCATCGGCATAGCTCTGCAGTGCTTGGCACAAAGTCTCTCGGTGGCCTTCGTAGATATAGAGGTCATAGGCACAGTTTTCCACAAAGATTTCGGGGTCAATGACAGAGTGGCACTGGCTGAACGGGCCGCCCTCCCGTTTGCTGATCCAGCCACAGAAAGTCTCCACTTTGTATTTGATGAGCAGCTCCAAGGTGACCTTCTTGCATTCTCCATGGCAGTCATCCCAGCAGAGCTTGTTGCCATCGTCCACTTTCCAGCTCTTCCCAAACTCCACAGGGCTGGGGGCCAAGGACCCAGCCGAGGTCTTGAAGTCATCAGTAGGGTCACCATTGTAGTTACCGCACAAGCCGCAAACGTTCTCAAAGAAGCTGCTGGGAATCTTCACCCAGAGGCGGTTGTTCCAGTCATAGGAAACCTTCAGTGAGAAGTCAGTCTCGATGAAGACAGAGGTCCCGCTCTGGTATAGACGCAGCTTCCCCTCTTGCAGGGAGATGGGCAGCTGGGAGCGTTGGTTATTCACCTGGTACAGAATATGTTACTGTTAGATATGCATTATGGAAGCCCCTAGTGTAGGGTGATAGAGTTGGGAGTTGTTCCAACTACCTGCTGTGAAACAGGACTAGCCACACCCAATGTGGCACCCAACGTATGCAATCCAAGTCGTGGTGTGCCACAATAAACTATTTAAAATAGAACTACACATGCCCATTCAGAAATATCAGGAGGGATAGTCCTAATAGGATGATCAGTCCTCAGTGTAATTAGCACATGCAAAAGTGACACAGAATGGAAGTTGACTGACCCATTCATCCCTAGCCTCATATGGGCCCTGGTTCATGCAGTTAAGACAATGGAATGCTATTGTTCTTACCCTGACTATGCCATACTCCTTTCTGGCCACACTTATGTGGTATCCATAGACCTGGACTGTCACAAACCCTATGAAGGACACGCTCCGTCTGCCTTGGTTCTCATTTTTGGCTGTGATGTGGAAAGCTGGGAGTGTCGTGTCCGATCCACAGGTCTTGGCCAGTGTGTAGGTGCAGGTGCCCATGAAGTTGTATTTCTGCTTGTCAAAAGTACGGTAATGGGGGTCACCCAGAGACCAGCAGGTGGCAGTAGACTGTGCCACACATACAGGCTGGCCGTTCCTGATCTGGCAAGTCTCCTTCTTCCGGCACTTGGTGGAACTGCAGGATGGTTGGGGGACAGGCTGAGAGGCTGGTGAGAAAAGAAGAGGGGTTAGTATAAGAGTGGGGAAGAGAGGAAGAGAATGGGCACAAGAAGAGAGAGAGAGGAGAGGTCGAATGGGTGGCCTTCGACACAATCAGAGCAATAGATTGAGGGATGGAGGAAGCCAGCTTTTCCCCCTGTATAGCCCAACACGTCCGACAAGTTAAATGATAAAGTTCTGATAGCAATACTTAAGCTATCCTCTCATTGTCTGACCTTCTCCATATACATGCCAAACACTTGGAGATGAAGGTTGGTGGGTCCATGCCAATGTTTCAGGCCCTCAACATTATGCATGCTGCTAACTAAATCCTCTAGATGTGCACATGCTCAAGGCAACATCTGCAAAGGGCTGCTTACCTAGGCATGCACAGCTATATAGGCACTGCACACAGCAAAGGCTCTTGCACTTGAGGCTATAGGGCAAAGGCCTCCCAAGGAGAATTTCAATGAATTTTTTTTTTTAAGGATTTCCCCCCAAAATCTCAAAGCTACACATGCTTTCCTGCCTTGCACACATTTTCTACTAACATTTGAATTTAGAGACGCTCCTGGTGACATTTCTGTCCATCTTCTCTTATCTGGCCAGCGCTCTGCTCCACTCAGCCAATCCCAGTCCAAATGTGTTGCTGTGGCAAGAGGTCCCTCCCATGTGTTTCCAGGCAGAAAAGCCACGAGAGAGTTGTATATGACTAAGACTGTCAGCTACTCAGTCCTGATTGCACACTCTCTCTTCTTGCCATGTGGGCAATCCAGAAAGACTATGTAAGACTGGGGAGGGGGGGAGGGGAGGGAGAAACTGCTATGGCAGATGATCCACTGACCATCAGTGTTGACAGTACTGAGCTAGGTAGACCAGTGGTCTGACTCAGTATAAGGAACAGACTGCTTTGGAAGGTGGTGACCTCTCCTACATGCAAGGTTTTCAAACAGAGGTTGTATGGCCATGTGTCACACATGCCTTAGTTGAGATTCCTGCATTGCAGGGGGTTGGACTAGGTGATACTTCCAGCTCTACAAATCTATGATTCTAAGGCAGGTCCTATATTCCTATGTTCCCATGAACTGGAGACTATCTTTGTATCCAACCCTTTCTCCAAGAAGCTATGCACAAGGAGGGAAGCCCAATTTATTTCCTCAAGAGCCCTGTGAGGTTGGTTACACTGAAAGAGAAAGATTGGCCCAAGATCATGCATTGAGTTCCATTGCTGAGCAGGGATTCGGACCCTGCAATGCTGATCATCCTTTGCTCAATGGAAATTCAGCACCTTGATCTCCCACCTCAACAAGCCCCACAACTCACCACGATGGCAGAGTGCCAATGCACCATAGGCATTCCTGCTGGCAATGCCAAAACTTAGCAGGGCAAAGGGGATGCTGGGATGTGTCATGGAATGGGTGCTTTCTTTCTTCCCCAGACTGTACTCGCTCCAGGAGTATTCTGTTCCTGGAATCTGTCTCCAAGAGGTGCCACTCAACGCACGACCATCCATGGTGATCCCAGAAGCAGCAGCGGTCTTAGCAACGATGAACGCAGAATTGTCAAAGTCCTCCAGGCCCCCGAGGGTGTAAGATGTACAGTAGCTGAACACGTCAGGGATACTGAGGAGGAAGGGGTCGAAGGTCAGGCCAGAATGGGTACCACCGGTGCAAAAGAAGAAGACCTGGATGCCCACGTTGGCTGTGATGTAAATGGGACCCGAACGTGAGACTTTCAGCTGAAGCACCTGCCCGGCCACAAGGTTGTAGTTCGTATGGATCCCACCAGAGACACAGGTGACTGTGGTGGGTTGGGACGCCACTATGTATGCAAGGTCGTACTTTGTCTGGAAAGAGAGTGGGAGGAGAAAGAAGGCCCGGCCCCAGCTAGACACTGGCAGAAGCTGCTCCACCACATGGTTGCAATTGGTGTTCATATTGGCGCAGGTGTGCCCACTCAGCACTGCCACTGGCCGTGCTGATTTTACAAGGGTGCCAGAGAGGTCTTGGCGGCTCTGGAGCTGGATGGCTTCGTATGGAGAAAGGACGACATTCAGCTTGCTGCCTGCTGGGTAGATGCGCCCCTGGAATCTCACACTGCCCTTGAGATTGATCTCCACCGCAGTGAGGTCCTGCCACGCAATGATGGAGAACTCCTTGTATGAATTGGACAGCTCTCCAGGAGGTGTGAGGATGTAGTATTCAGAGCCTAGGCTGTGGACTGGGTAGATCACGGTGGTGTCGGCTGTATTCTTCTTGGAGTTGAGGGCCAACACAGAGATGTCTTGGTTAGCTTTCACCACGACGGTGTAGCAGAATTTAGCTGTGCCGGCCATCTCTGCATAAGCTGGTATCTTCACTTTTGCAGTCTGACCCCGGGCAAGGGGGAATTGGCTGTGGAACTTAGATTTGTAGACTGAGATAGTGACGGTGGTAAAAGGTGAGTAGCCGGAAACATAGAGCTGGAACTGAGCTTCAGAGTAGTCCAGCTTATGGTTTTGCAGGAAGGCTGTGATGAACTCCCGGCCAGTGGGCATTACGGCATGGAAGCCTGGAAGAAAAGAAAGAAAAGTAAGCATGCTCTTCCACTGTCCTTCTGCAACCCAGAAAGCACTTTTTGGGGGCTGCAATCTCGTGTGTTTTTAGGCACCTCGTGAGATATGGGGAGCGAGGAGTGGGTCACCTGACTTGCCCAGGAGCACATCCCAGAAGACATACCTGTGGGTTTGGATCTCCAAAGGTTGGACAATATGATGTCTGGGTATTATGACAGGGTCTATAAAATCCCCCCACCAAAATATCTGACGGTGGGAAATAAATATTTTGTTTTTCCTTTAATTGAACAAGGACTTTATGGGAAGACAATAAAAGAATCTAAATGCCCAAGTAATGCCTGCAAGTCTTGACAATGTGCCTTACCAAAGGGTTATCCCATCAAAAAATTTCTGTACACACCCCAGAAATAAGAATACTTATTACATTATCTAGCAGAGTAGCCCCATGTCAGACGTTTCCAACTTCCCAGTGCAATAGGCATTTTTGGAAATTTTAGAAAGTGCCATGGGTGCCCCTCACAAAATCGATGTCAAAAGGGTGGCATAACACAAAATGGATCTAGAAGAGCAGAAAAAGAGGCAGGACCACAAAAGATCAGAGGGGGAAGCAGTGACATCAGCCCCACAGAGAGACATTCTTTGCTGCTTCCCTCTGTTCAGCAGGGAAAAGATGGCGAGTGTCCAATCCTCACACCCAACAAAATGTAGGCATGCCTAAGGGGTTGTGTTCAAAGCAGGAGAGGCTAAGCCAGAGCAAACAGGAACTGATTGAGAAAAGCAAACACTTCTCTCATGCATTGTGGATATTTGAGGTGGCATAGACAGAGGTCATGTGTGCCAGAGAAGATACTGGCAGACCCATGAGCCCCTGGCTCATGCGGAATATCTGGGCTTCTCATGCATGTGTAGTTAGCTCTTTTTCAAAAGATTTCATTCTGGCCATCAGCTGTTTTTCTGGGGAAAGGGAGACTGAATCCAGACTTGCCTCGCTGCCCCCTAACAACCTGCTTGCTGGATTTCATTTATTATCTACTGCTACTGCTGCTACTGATACTTCAGGCATCTCTTTAACTTTAAATGAGGCTGAGGTGGAATCTACACACATATAAATAATGTGAAAATGCTTTAAAAAAATGTTTTGAAAAATATATTGAATTTGCCATAACTCACCATTGCCATCTAGTGCCACCATTGTATAATGCGCTTTACAACACACTTAAAACGTTTTATTTGCAGCTGTGTAGCTGAGTCCTATCACACTAGTCATCCCTTCAAATAGGGGACTCTTTCAAAGGGAGGGCTTCCCTCTAGGCCATTCCTTCAGTAAAGGGACCGGCCTCTGTCAAGGAGGGCCTACCTGGAATCCTGTGTAGATATATCCTCTGCTTTCTGAAGCTTCAAACTGACACTATCTTCTATAATAATATCTCATACTTTCCACTGGCTAGGAACATGCTCTTTTTAAAAAAGGAAAGAGTAGCAGGGAGGAATAATTAAATTCTCAGGATCCCAGATTTTGCTCAGGATGAAGAAATAGTACATTCGATTCTGACTCTGTTTATTCACACCCTCATATTCAGCGTCCTTGCATGCACACAGGCAATGCTGGATTTACATATAAGCTAAACAAGCTGTAGCTTAGGGCCCCACTCTCTTGGGGACCCCCAAAAAATTTAAAGGAACAAAACCTGGATGTACATTTCCAAAATATAAGATACAAAACAAATAAAATAAAACCTACATTCACCAACAGTGTTTTGTGTTGTGTTGTGTAGGCTCCTATGATGTAAGTAATGGGCCCCGCCTGCTCCCTAAAATATCACTGGTTTGCTCATTTCTATATATAGGGTGCCTACATGCTGCATGGACTGGTTGCATGGCAAAATGTGCAAATGATTTTAGATACCTATTAGGTCCATAAATTACCATATAGCATATATTCAACACAAAAAACAGAGACCATTTGTTGGTGACAAAGGACAGCTGGACATATAAAGGGCCCCATTACCTTCAGCAGCTTAGGGCCTCATCAAACCTAAATCCAGCCCTGCACACAGGTACACATATCGCTACACACTGAAGTGTTTTGGCCCGTCTACTGTTATCATCTACTCTGGCTTTCAGAAGCTCGCAAATGTCTCAGGCAGGGTAGGGGTTAAGACACTCTTAGCCCCGTGATCCTTTAAAGTGGTGATTCCTACTCCGGGTGGGCTCACAAAACAAGTAGAATTCATTGCATATCACCTGAAGAATGTTCATCCTAGTACATGATTTGAGGGTCTGCCTAGATTTTGCAATCACTAAGCCCACAACCAGCCCATATCCAAAGCCTGTACTCCTGACAATTCACTAAATTTGTGGCAAACCTCATCAGAGGCATGGATACATTGTCTATAGATCTCTCCAACTATGTGACTCTTATCTGCTACCGATTGTTATCTGGTCACATGGCTGAATTGTGGGTTGCCCATTCAGTCCTCCTATTTGCAGACTTTCGTCCTTGGATGATTTCCTAGTCACACGACCCAAGTCTCTACTCACCACCGAGGAGGGTGAGCCCCACAGTGATTGGCAGCAGCATCCTCATCCCCATGGCTGCAAAACAAGAAGAGAAGAAAAAGGAATGACACTTTGGTGCTCAACCTTATGATGCAAGTGCATCAAAGAGTAAGGACCAAACTAGAGCCAATGGTAAATGTGTGAATGTATTGTTTCTTTTTCTTTTTCTTTACTGGCATACATTATGATATTCATTCTGCATCTGCAAGGAGTCAACCTTTCAACATGGCATCATTTATGCTTTGGAGCTCCCTGTCTATTGACATTATGCAGGTACCTTTGCTATACAGTGGTACCTCGGTTTACAGACGCTTCAGGTTACAGACGCTTCAGGTTACAGACTCCGCTAACCAAAAAATAGTACCTCGGGTTAAGAACTTTGCTTCAGGATGAGAACAGAAATTGCACAGCGGCAGCAGGAGGCCCCATTAGCTAAAGTGGTACCTCAGGTTAAGAACAGTTTCAGGTTAAAAATGGACCTCCAGAATGAATGAAGTTCTTAACTCGAGGTTTTAGATGCCTACTGAAAGCTTGTTTTTGTACCAATTTTTGCTTTTGTTGACTGATTTCATCTGTGTTTTCTCTTTTTTTGTGTATACTCAGGTGTTGTTGTTTTTTAAGGTTTTGTGAATCTTAGCTGTGTTCTGTTGATAATTTTACTGATCATTTTTGCTTAGAGAGTTTTGTGATTAAGTGGTCTACAAACCTTTCTGAATAAATAAATATGTCAAACCCTCCTTTCAGAAATACTGCATCTATCTATTAAGGCTGTCTCGTTTTATAGGATTAAATGGTTAGGAACAAATGGAATAAAAAGTCTTTGATAGATGAATCACTTTTTTATTTTATTTTTAAAATTATTATATCATTAAAAATAACAAGAGTGGGTATTACGCAGGCATTCCCAATTCTCTCTTGCAAAGCACAGAGTGCTTCTTCTAAGATGATGCTTGCTGTGAAGTATATTTTTCCTCTAAAAGCAAAGTATGTTTCCCCCATTTACTTCATTTGCAAATCTATTAAGATATAATTTTGAATATAGCCTGCATACGGGCTTCTGAAACCAGATAGTACATAATCAAAGAAAGCTCGGTGGACTTATCCATTTCCTCACACTCCTCCCATGTTCATTTCACAGGTGTCTAATGAGAAAAGTCCACTTACCTGCTGGGAAGCTCCTAATTCTCTCAGTGACAAGTTTGCCACATTTATACTGGAGGGAGTCCCCAGCACATTAAGGTAGCATATACAGAGGTGTGTGATAGGTTGAGTCATTGCTTCCTGGAGGAGGGACAGTAAGCTCAGATTTGGGTCAATGCACATGCAATTCTCCTTACCACGAAAGTGTTTACGTGTTTAAGTTTGGATTACTTAAAGGATCATGAGCTGGAGTGCTTGGGGCAGTGTGGTTTACTCAGCGCAGTGTGCTTAGGGCCCAAGAGAGGCTTTCTGGAGAAAATCTCGAATTTCTTCCCAACAGTACTAAAAGGGCATGTAGTACATCCTCTTTTGCAGATGCATCCTGTAGATGTTTACTCAGAAGCAATCCCCACCAGTGGAAGCTGATTGATTAGGACAAATAACTGCCTGACCACTGCCCAACCAACCTCCTATACTAAGAACTGGCTGGCGGTTTGCTTCCAAGCCCAGTTCAAGGTGCTATTGCTACTCTTCAAAGCCCTACATTATTTAGGCCCCAGGTATCTGAAAGACCACCTCCTTTCCTACAGATCCTCTCTGGGTCTATTAAGATCAACAGAGGAGCCTCTCTTGGTAGTTCCACCTTCCACATAGGTTTTGTAGTGGTGGCCTGGCAGGGGACATTCTCTGCGGTTGAGGAACTCCCTCCCACAGAGATATGTCTGGCTTCTTCATTACAGCTTTTGGTGAATGCTGAAGACATCCCTCTTAGCCCCGGCCTTTTGACACCTGAGATATGTGCTTTCCGGGTTCACCCTATCCCTGTGGCTGTATTCTGTTGCAGCTGTTTTTAATTCTGAATTTTAAATTGTTTTTACCTGCCCTGGGACCTGCTGGTGAAGGGTAGATAATAAATGGAATTAATTATAATGACCACCACAGTGTGTCCTCAGCCAGCCCCCTACCGCCTGCCTTACAAGCTACCAGTCTAGGGGGTAAAACTTTCTTCTTCTTCTTCTTCTTCTTCTTCTTCTTCTTCTTCTTCTTCTTCTTCTTCTTCCTCATAGCTGAGTTAGATTGTCTTCCATGAATATGGTCTTGACAGTGTGTCTGTAGGTACCAACAAACTGAAATTGACACGGGACAAATAGAAGAAGATGCTTTTACCCTGGTATGGTTACCCTTCATCACATACACAGCCCAACAAGACAACAACAAGAACCCACCAACAGCATACGAATCAATCTGGCAAACACACCCACACACACCCACACAGACCCCACACACAAAAACAAATCTCACTACAACCAACCAAACCCAAGGCCACCCCCAAGGAAATACAAGTGAATAGTAAGGGAACCCACACAACTGACACTGACGCAAAACCCTACACAAACACTAAGTAGAAGAATTGAAGCATTGCCACCCGACCCCACGCCACTCACCATTCCCCCTCCCCCTCTTCTTCCTAACCTAACATTGTATATAACACTAATGTCTCACAACAAATGAAACTGATCTGTAGAAAACACAGCCTGGAAAAAGAGACAATGCATGTCTTTTTGTAAATTAAGAAATCTTTAATAATTTTTTTTTTTTTTAACAAGTGTGATTGTAGGTGACTATGGAGGACAATTCTGGATCCGCACATCCTTCTGCAGTGGGGACATAGATTGATCAAGGTGAGGATTTGCCCAGCATGCCTTCCTCTTAGCTTAGCTTAAAGGATCTTCCTTTATTAACATCTCCAGCCTTCGTTTCTTGCTCTCACACCACACGCCCCTGTCTTCACTACTCAATGCTACCGCACCTCTTACTCTAACATTTCTTGGAACCCCCTCCTTAAAAGAGTTTGCTGAGCCCTTTGGTCAATATTTGTTGCCTCCTTTCACATGGGAGGGGATGAGAATGTATCTCGGCAGTCATGGCTCCTTAACCCTCTGTTGACTTAAATCATGTCAGTCAAGAGGATTAAGAGCTCATGCCACCCACTGGAACTCGCCCACTACAAATGTTTTCTGTTATTTGATGCCTTGTGTTGCATGTTACACCGAGGGACTTGGCCAGGGGTGGCCAACTCAGTCATCCAACCAATGACATATGTGGGGACATAGAGGCCACCTTCATAATTCTGCAAGCCAACCTAGCACTTACAGACTACTGGGCCATTTCCCATGAGATTCCATTAGTTTCACGTAGCACTTGAGGACAAATGGAGCACACAGAATGTGACCGTTTTGCTGCAGAAGATGTAAGAATCCACCAGAACTTTGCTGTGACCATCTGTGCAGAGCACAAACTTGAGGGTTTAAAGTTACTAATGTGAGCTGTGACATCACGAAATGGTCAGGATGACAGGCATCACTCTTTACTTGTGAGCAAACAACAAACTCAAGATCCTGGATTGTGCACCCGGTACAAAAACAGAGCTGCTGAATGAAACCTTATCTCTGCATCGACTTTTTCTCCAGTGAAGTCAGATGACACTATGTCAAAGGAAACTGTTTGCAAAAACATCTACACTGGGAGAAATGTACACGTAGATGCTGACAGCTTTCAAAAGGACTATTTTTATTTTTTTAATAAAAAGGGAACTAATGTGGGAATGCACAAACTGACTTTAATATTTTTAAAATGAGCAATTGACAGGCTCATCCTAGGGTTGCAATACATCTGGAATTTCCCGGACATAGCCAGAATACTGGTAACCCATGTCAACAGTGTCGTTTTTGGCGATTAAAAAAAAACATAGCTCAAAAACATCTTTTTTGCAATTATGCCAAAAAAGCTCAACAACCTTAGTTCATCCAAACCTACTCCTTTCCAGTGAGTTGAGGTTCTTTTGTTTTTGTTTTTTTTAATCAATACTTTCTGGCTGAGGCATAGGATATTGTAAAATAAGCAAAACTGCATACAAAAGTATGTGCACTTGGGGAAATGTTGGGGGGGGGAATCATGTATATTAGACTTTTAAAAAGAACTACTGGTGCAGGAATGTAGCAAGCTGAATCTCAGACTGGAAAAAATGAGAAACTGAGACAAACAGATTAATTCATGGTCCCACATACCCAGCATGAGTTGCAGATTTTGCTGGATTGAGCAATACAAGAGAATGAATGTGGAAGCCAAGCTTGCTTCTCACCCCTGTGTATTCAGGAAACTGCTGCTGCAATATATCTGAAATGACTCAAATTGGAGGGGAATTCATTTTATGCTTGGTGTTTCCTGCTTACAGCAGGGTAACATGAAAAGCAATTTGACTTAGGGGTCTCACTTAGCACATTTATGAGCTGGTGCTATTGTGAACCACAGCACAGCAGGCCAGGGGTTGCCCCGCGGTGTTGTAAGGATTGTGGATGTGTAAGAACAGCAAGAATGGCACAGCAGCATTTTGGAAATGAACATGGCCGCAACTTTATTGATTACAGATGTAAGCAGGCACATTGGCTATGTATCCTGAATTAGCCAATGTGCCTGCAGGATGATAATCCATCATAGCTGATCCTACTGATAAGGAGGCCCCTCACAACACAAGTCATAATGAGGTGAAACCCGCCAGGTCACCATTTGAGGTGTTTCCATGGCTTCAGGACATAACACTCCCCCTGGAGCCCTTTAACCCTGAAATTTGATCCTGAAGCTGAATTTGATCCTTAGCTTTAGGCTAAGGATCCAACCCAATGCCTTTTCCCACCAAAAGTTGTGACAATTGCTCCTAATAAGGCAAAACCAAAACAAAACAAAAACCCAGACAGGCTGAAATTCCTTTCCGGACCCAACTACAGCCAGTGTGGTGTAGTGGTTAAGAGCGGTGGACTCATAATCTGGGGAACTGGGTTCGCGTCTCCGCTCCTCCACATGCAGGTGCTGGGTGACCTTGGGCTAGTCACACTTCTCTGAAGTCTCTCAGCCCCAATCACCTCACAGAGTGTTTAGTTGTAGGGGAGGAAGGGAAAGGAGAATGTTAGCTGCTTTGAGATTCCTTCGGGTAGTGATAAAGCGGGATATCAAATCCAAACTCTTCTTCTACAGCGACCAATTAATTCCACAGCAAGGCCAAACATGTGCCCTGCCCGTTTACCTTCGGAAAGAGCCACAGCATTCAGCCTGGGCAAGTGGGACATCCAGTTTGTGACTGCACTGCCCAATTGCAGCACAGCTGCCTTTGGTCTGTTCCTTGGGCATAACAAACTCTGAAAGGTCTGCCGCCAGAGCCACACCACCAGGGCTGAGATTGGCTCGTTTGGCGGGAAATCCCACCAGCACCCACAGCTGCCACGATGACAGCCAGCCACACAGGACAACTATGTTACCCCCTGGCTCACCAGCACCCAAGCTGGGCCGCAACTGCTGCCGTGCTAGAAAAGCTAAGCCCTCTTTAGTAGTGGAGCCACACCAAATAGTTATTCCTCTGCTTACTTTCTCTCCATATGCCAAGAACCCTTATCTGTAACACAACACAAAGCAATTGCAGCCGCACAATCAGCACAAACTGCTTCCTGTTCTTTCCTGATTCATATGGTCACCACAAAGCTTTGTTGCTGCAGGAAACATCTCATGGTTGGGGGTATAGCAAAAATGTCTCCTGTTGACTCACGGCTCTCTTTAAGAACCGGACTCCCCTTGTCCAAACCTCAGATAACTGAGCGCTCATGAAGGATCAGAGACACTCACATCAACTGCCTGCTTCTGCTGGCTCTCATGCTACCATGTTCTCCTTCCCCAACCCTCAAGGCCATGACACAGAAACGTAGAGACAGAGAATCATAGAGTTGGAAGGAAACACGAGGGTCATTTTGTCCAAGCCCCTCCAATGCAGGAATCTTTTGCTCAACATGGAGCTCAAGCCCACGGCCCTGAGATTAAGAGTCTGGCATGAGCAACTGACATCCTTGGGGATGCAACCATGTTTTAGCTAACAGTGTCAGCCAATTACACTGATTAGTGAAAGCTGAACCATTTGTATCCTGTGTACCCTTTTGGACATTTTACTTGGTAATGTATCTCTTATTGTGTAATAACCGTTTGTAGAATGTTCAGGTATAGCATCTCATTTATTGTATTTGAATGTACTTGGTTTTATTTGGTATTATTATCAGCTGAGGAAGAACATTTGAAACAGTTGGTTATCCTGGAAGGACAGTCCTACTGCTGTTTTTGGAGCACCAACATCCTTCAACTTATTCCCTGCATAAGTTGTGCTTTGTCTGACTTTACACTTACCTTGGAAGGTATGTTGCCTCAAGCTTGAGTGATTCTTTGTGATATTATACTAGCCAAACAATCCCTTGCTTTGGGACATTTTCTTAACTCATATTAGTGTCAGTTTTGCCTTTGAGCCAGTGCCAACGACTGGGCTCAACCTCTTCAGCCCTGACTGGGCCAGGCGAGCTGGAAAAGCACTCCCAGAGACCTTCCACTGCAGGGAGCAGGTCTAAGTGCTGTGGACTCACAACTTAGAGCTGTGAGCACCAAACTCAGTTCCAAAAGTCAGCGGAGCACAGCAGATCATGAACCACACAAATGACAGCTCTGAAGTATAACTTCTTTTATTCTCTATAGTTACTGCATAAACTAACTAAAGACTAATTGGAGACGCTGGACTGCATGAGTGTTACAGCTGCTTGATGAGGTCACCTTATCTATATACAGATAACACTCAGACTCCCACAGGCTGGAGTGGAAGAAGCGATGAGCAAAATCCACCCCCTCCTTTCTGAAACATTGTCAGCAGATTCTTGCAATGGGAGGGGTGAAACATCCTCAATTAGTTGGTGTCACCATGTATATATTGTAGGCTATCTAATTGTAAATTAAGATACAATTCAGTAGTGATATAGAAGTGTTGTAATCACATTATTAGCCTACTGTGTTGCTTTGGGGTTGTTAGATTGTTCTGTTTGCAACACAGGGGATCTTTGTTGTTTATCCCTGGGGAACTGCCTGAGTCCTGCAAGAGCCCACCACCGATGCTTTCCCTGGGACCCCACTTTCTGCTCCCCCCAACCTGCCAGGGGCTCTGAGAACCACATTACAAAATTCGGAGAAGTGTGAATTTTGTAGGATGACTGTGTTTCGGTTGACATATTGTTTCAGAAAGTTCACATGAGATTTGCCTTTCAACATGAACTGAATCGGATTTCTCCCCCATCCCTATAAAGAACCCACAAAGGAAAAGCATAGTACTTGGAATCCAATGTCTGCATTACAGGGCTACAGCTCAGTGGTGGATCATCTGCCTTGCATGCAGAAGGTCTCAGGTTCGATCCCCAGAAACTCTTAATAATGCTCGGCGAGACCCTCATCTGAAATTCTGGAGAACCATTGCTAGTCAGTGTTGACAAGGTGTGGAGAATGTTTTTGTTATGTATCTCCACCCCACCCCTGCTGATTGTCGAGTGCTTGGGAACCACAGTACAAGGGGCTTTCTCAGCCCTGCACTTGGCATTTGCAAAGCTGCTCATCAGCTCAATGACCATCAGGTGACCATCAGGTGATGGGCACCGAAGTCAAGCCTGCCAGCTGCAGGAATCGCTTGCATGAAGTGGGTTGCACTGAAATCACTGCTAAAACATAAGAAAAAGGGAACAACCAGGAGCTAACTTTAAGTTCCAGATTGTCCCTTTGTAGCCAGGTCAGTACATGCCCCACACTTGACATCCTAGATGGCTTCAAGTGTGGGGCAGGTGGGTGTGGTTTGTGAAAAGCAGCCTCATGGGCCAAATTGAGACTCCTGCTGGGCCAAATTTGGCACATGGTGAGCCACAGCTTCCCCACCCCTGGCGTAAACAATGCTGGGCCAAATGGTCTGATTCTGCAGTTCCCCTGGTTCCTAGGAGCACATCACTTGCTCTGCAAGCACAAGAACCTTCGCCTGCACATTGCTGGTTCATAGCATAAATGCCCAGTTTTGTTCCATGCCCATGCAACAAACAAATAAGCAACACCTCCTGAACATGCGGAAGGATGAAGGAAATATATTTAATTTCCTGACCTAGGGACTTGTCCCGGAAGATCAGTTTTTGACTGGAATTTAACCGCTCACTATGAAGTCTCAGAGAGCCTATTATTCTGTGGTTTGTGGCTCTCAGCCAAAGCTCTCCCTGGGGAATATGCATTGCTTGTAAATCACTGTGTAAGTTTACATTGCCAGAGGATGGAGTTAAACAGAAACCTCCCCTGTGTTAGCTGAAGGTGTTAGACAAATAAAACACCTGACATTCTACTCACGTATATGAGATTCCCACTGAAGCCTGAAGACGTACACCTCAAGCCGCCCAGACCCAATGACCAAAGCAAACCATCCCTTTCTTCCCTCTTGGAACCCAGGAGGATATTGGTTGCAATTTTCATGTGGGTTTACTGCAAAAATAAAAATAAAAATCTGATTTAAATAATTGCATCTCCATCTAAAAATAAAGCCCTGTTCACTAGTCATTCGGACACACCTTCCTTCACAATACTCCAGTTGATTTTTTTAAAAATAATTTATTTGTTTTTTTCAGATTAAAATTTTACAAACACATATCCAACATACAACATAAAACAAGATTCCAAAGAATCTCCTGGACTTCCCTCCTCCCCTTTGTGGGTCCTATTGTTAATCATTTCCTCCTGCATTTTTTATGATAATCTAAATCTTTTACATCTCCAATGTGTCCAAAATTCACCATTAAACTACAAGTGTTATTCCTTTTTTTTTTTGTATATAATTTTATTAGTTTTCCATTTAATAATATACAATCATATCATTGTTATCCACTTTACCTCTCTGGCTCTTTAGAGCCCATTGACTTCCTTCCCTCCCGACTTATGGCTTTCAAAATCAACCTTTATATCATTGCATTTTATATGTTTTCCAATTCTAGTTTCACTCATTACAAAAATACATTAAAATTTAGGTTAAAATAAAAAGGGAGAAAGTTTCTCATTACGAGTCTTGAGAAAACCCTGCTAGTGATGTTAAATTGCTTACAGTAATCTTTCAAATACTGTATAAATTTACTCCAGTCCTTCTGGAATACTTGATCATGCTGGTTTTGGATTTTTCCTGACAGCTTCACCAGTTCTGCAAAGTCCATCATCTTCCTCTGCCACTCTTCTTTTGTTGGTACTTCTTGTTGTTTCCATTTTGGGGCTAAGAGAATTCTTGCCGCTGTTGTTGCATACATAAACAGTCTTTTCATCTTCCTTTGGTCACTCTTCACCCACTATACCCAATAAAAAGGCTTCTGGTTTCTTAACAAAAGTATTTTTAAACATTTTCTTTAACTCATTATATATCATTTCCCAGAAAACCTTTACCTCTTTGCAAGTCCACCTCACGTGGTAAAAGAAACCTTCCTTTTCTTTACATTTCCAGCACTCAATAGTTCTTGTCCTGTATATTTTAGCAAGTTTAGATATCTAAACTACAAATGTTATTCCAATCCTACTAACGATTTTAACGGTTTACAATGGTTTTTAAGATAGATTATAAATTTCCCCATTTCTTTTTAAAATTTTGATCTTCCTGATTTCTGATTCTTCTGGTCATTTTTGCCATTTCAGAATAATATTCCCATTCAGTGTAGAGCACCTGCACCTACTTTGCATGCAGAAGGTTCCAGGTTCAATCCCTGCCATCTCCAGGTGAGGCTGGCAATGTCCCCTGCCTGAAATATTGGAGAGCTACTGCTGGTCATTGTAGACCAGGGTTTCCCAAACTTGGGTCTCCAGTTGTTTGAGGACTACAATCCCCAGCTGGATACCCAAGTTTGGGAAACTCTGAAACACTGAGCTAAACCGACTAGTCTGTTTTTTCCCCTTCCAAAAATATATATCACAAGTCTGTTGATACTTCTCTGATACACAGTGAGGGGAAAGTTGTGGCTCCCCAGATGTTGTTGGACTCCCATCAGCCCCCGCCATTATGGGCAACAGCCAGGGATGATGGGAGCTGTAGTCCAAGAAGACTTGGAAGGTCACAGGTTCTCCATCCCTGTGGTAGGAAAAAGTAGTTTACCAGACATAGAGGTATTTAGCAAAGGGAGGGTTCATCTACATTTACCTTTTGTCCCGTGCTTCCTAGGCAAAGGTCTCACACTCTGTGCCTGAGCAGATACTGGCTAAAAACACTGTGAGGTGCAGGGCCGGATTTAGGTTTGATGAGACCCTAAGCTACTGAAGGTAATGGGGCCCTTTATATGTACAGCTGTCCTTTGTTAACAACAAATGGTCGCTCTTTTTTTGTGTTGAATATATGCTATATTGTAATTTATGGACCTAATAGGTATCTAAACCCATTTGCACATAACAAAATATGTATTTTATCAAAGTAATTGATATAGAAATGAGCAAACCAGGCTAGGGAGCAGGCCCATTACTTACATCATAGGAGCCTACACAACACAAAAGACTGTTGTTGTATGTAGGTTTTATTTTATTTGTTTTGTATCTTATATTTTGGAAATGTACATCCAGTTTTTTTTCCTTTAAATTTTTGGGGGGTCCCCAAGAGAGTGGGGCCCTAAGCTATAGCTTGTTTAGCTTATACATAAATCCGGCGTTGGTCATGTGGAACAGCCACCTGAGCTCCTTTGACAGAAATCACTTAGAAAAGAAGCCATCCTCTCATAGAATTACAGAATCGTAGAATTGGGCCATGAGGGTCATCTAGTCCAACCCCCTGCAATGCATGTTTGCATCACACTTTTCCCTATAGGAGGGCTAGAGACTTTTAAAAAAGAAAAGAAAAGAAAGAAAACACACAGTTTGAGGCCTCTGCCCAGGGCCACCAATTAAAATCTTCGCAGGCACCCTGGTTCCTGCAAGCACCCCTTCAAAAGGCTGTGGGTCTGTGATGGGAAGTTTTGCTTCTGCACATGAGTCTGGCAAACCACTTTAAGCTAAAGCATTCTTTTCTCACAGAATGTTCAGTTCACATTGAGTTCATGAAACATTGTACCCTGTGGGGTGCCACAGGGTTCTGTCTTGGGCCCGGTCTTATTCAACATCTTTATCAACGACTTGGATGATGGACTCAAGGGCATCCTGATCAAATTTGCAGATGACACCAAATTGGGAGGGGTGGCTAACACCCCAGAGGACAGGATCACACTTCAAAACGACCTTGACAGATTAGAGAACTGGGCCAAAACAAACAAGATGAATTTTAACAGGGAGAAATGTAAAGTATTGCACTTGGGCAAAAAAAGGAGAGGCACAAATACAAGATGGGTGACACCTGGCTTGAGAGCAGTACATGTGAAAAGGATCTAGGAGTCTTGGTTGACCACAAACTTGACATGAGCCAACAGTGTGACGCGGCAGCTAAAAAGCCAATGCAATTCTGGGCTGCATCAATAGGAGTATAGCATCTAGATCAAGGGAAGTAATAGTGCCACTGTATTCTGCTCTGGTCAGACCTCACCTGGAGTACTGTGTCCAGTTCTGGGCACCACAGTTCAAGAAGGACATTGACAAACTGGAACGTGTCCAGAGGAGGGCAACCAAAATGGTCAAAGGCCTGGAAACGATGCCTTATGAGGAACGGCTAAGGGAGCTGGGCATGTTTAGCCTGGAGAAGAGGAGGTTAAGGGGTGATATGATAGCCATGTTCAAATATATAAAAGGATGTCACATAGAGGAGGGAGGAAGGTTGTTTTCTGCTGCTCCAGAGAAGCGGACACGGAGCAATGGATCCAAACTACAAGAAAGAAGATTCCACCTAAACATTAGGAAGAACTTCCTGACAGTAAGAGCTGTTCGACAGTGGAATTTGCTGCCAAGGAGTGTGGTGGAGTCTCCTTCTTTGGAGGTCTTTAAGCAGAGGCTTGACAACCATATGTCAGGAGTGCTCTGATGGTGTTTCCTGCTTGGCAGGGGGTTGGACTCGATGGCCCTTGTGGTCTCTTCCAACTCTATGATTCTATGATTCTATGATTCTATGACCTGTTCTTAATGCATGGTTGACCACATCTACGGAATGCGATGGTTATGCTCTTCTAAGTCTTGCTATATCAATCATTAGTTATAGTTTAAGTCTTGCTATATCAATCTTTAGTAATTGTTTAATAAGGAGGTTTTCACACCTGTCCAACTCTGTGTTCCCTTTCCCAACCTTTAATCTATTGATCATTAATGCCTATATTCAACCCTTGTATTGTATTTGTGTTAACCAATCAGCAACAAGCACATATGTGGCAATGCTGTAATATTCAATAAAAGGGACTCCCCGAGACATGCTCGATAGATGCCTCCCATATGACCCTGGTCACTCGTCTGTCGTTTATTTCAACCCAACAGGTCTGCAGGATATCAGACTAGTTCTACTTGTAAACTGTAGTTCCCAGGATTCACTGGGGGAAGTCATGCACTTCAAATAGCTCAGTTGCTTAGAGCATGGTGCTGATAATGCCAAGGTTGCAGGTTCAGTCCCCGTAAGGGACAGCTGCATGTTCCTGTATTGCAGGGGGTTGGACTAGATGATCCCCAGGTTCCCTTCCAACTCTATGATTCTATGAAATGTGTGTTAAGTGTACTTCAAATGAATGGCATGGTGCATGTGGCCATAGTGGAGCACACACATCTGTAAATGTCATCTACCAAAGTGACCATGGCCAACTCAGTCCCTAGACTGAGCTGAGTCTCAGCCGCCCATTCCAAACCAACAGATTTCAGCGAGGTTCTTGCCAAGTTAAACAAAAAAGTGTGGAAGCCAAATTTCATGGGTTTGCGTAAGAGGAGGTTCAGGATTCCGCTGGACTGATCCCAGAGTAGGAGTCTCAAGCCTGTATGGACCATTACATACCCCAGAGCCAACATTTGTTCATCATTATTTGCAAGAAGGGGAGTGGAAACAGATGGTGCCCTGAGGGAACAGATGACGAATAGTGGTCTCCGTTGAACATAACAAAATAATTTATAGTAATTGTGGAAACAAAAGGAAAATGTGAGCAAAAGGGAAGAAATGAATGAAGTGGGACAGTATTTGGGAAACTTAGAGAGATGGATATGAGTATTAATGCACCACTGTTATGAGATGCGGGTGACGCTGTGGTGTAAACCACTGAGCCTTGGGCTTGGCGGTTCGAATCCCTGTGATGGGGTGAGCTCCCATTGCTCGGTCCCAGCTCCTGCCAACCTAGCAGTTTGAAAGCACGCCCAAAAGTGCAAGTAGATAAATAGGTACCGCTCTAGCAGGAAGGTAAATGGCATTTCAGTGTGCTGCTCTGGTTTCTCCAGAAGCAGCTTAGTCACGCTGGCCACATGACCCGGAAAAAGTGTCTGCAGAGAAACGTCAGCTCCCTCAGCCAGTAAAGTGAGATGAGCGCCACACCCCCGGAGTTGTTTGTGACTGGACTTAACTGTCAGTGGCCCTTTACCTTTTTTTATTTTGAAACTGCGATATGTACTGTTGTATGTACAATGGTACCTCGGGTTACATACGCTTCAGGTTACATATGCTTCAGGTTACAGACTCCGCTAACCTGGAAGTAGTACTTCAGGTTAAGAACTTTGCTTCAGGATAAGAACAGAAATTGTGCTCCGGTGGTGCGGCGGCAGCGGGAGGCCCCATTAGCTAAAGTGGTGCTTCAGGTTAAGAACAGTTTCAGGTTAAGAACGGACCTCTGGAATGGATTAAGTACTTAACCCGAGGTACCACTGTATTTGTATATGTGCTGCTTATTTTAGGGCACCTAGCATATTTTTATATTGCTTTATTTATATTTTATACTGCTTTATGCATGTATTTTATATGGCTATTTATTTTATATCGCTTTTATATAAAGCAATGTTTTGTGGGACACACCTTTTCTGCTGCATTTATACCGTTCTGTTTCATTTGGAACGGTTTTGTTTCGCAAATAATTGTAGCGGTTTTGTCTCTTTTTACAACTGTGGATTGTAGTCTGCCCTTGAACCTTATGGGGAAGAGTAGTCCAACAAGCTCTGTGGACTTAAGGTTGAAGAACACTGCTCTAGATCATATTGCTTCCTTGCCTTCTTGCTTGAACATCACCATGAGTTTCCTACCAGACCTATCACATCTCTGCATATTCCCAGAGTTAAAATCATGCCAACAAAGTGAAGTTTGCAACAACAACAAAAAAAGCTTTATTGATTCTTAAGCAAAAGTGCCATCATTTTATTAGGCAGTCAAAGTAAACTTGATAACAGGTTGAGCAACATTGAACTGTGAAGCCAGGGAATACGCCATACCAAGGAATTTTGCCCGAGAGCTTAAATGCAAAGTTTCTCCCAGAAGCAGCATAGGGAGGGGTTCATTTTGCTTCAGGCACCTTTTAGGCCTCACTAGAAGAGAAAATTGTGAAGAAGGCAATGTGAGTGTATTTATGTTTCAGTGAGAATCTTCACAATGCTTCCCGCAGCACTGTAGAATTTCATTTAACATGTAACGGCTCAATTTGCAATGACTTTGCTCTCTGAGTGTAATTAATCAATTACTCCTGGTTTTACAGCCTGCTTATTGCTACCAGATGCTATTTTTTCTGTCTGTAGGGAGTAACTGCCTGCCTGCCATCCAGCCTGCTCTCTGGGGAAAGGGCTGCATGGCAGGAGCTGCCTTGTCCTCCTGGCCCAGACACTGTCACCTTCTCTGCTCCTGGATTTGATCTGGGATGGAAGGATGCTTCCAGGGAGAGGCTGCTCTTTTTAAAAGACAAGAACTTAGAAAACTCCAAGACCCGTAACTTGAAGAGGTTGAGTCTGCTTTTCCATCCTTCCTCTTATTCCTGGTTTTGCCCCTTTTGTGTCATGACCTTTTAGACTGCAAGTCTGCAGGCAGGGATTTAATAACCAATTTTTGTAAACTGCTCTGAGTGCCTTTTTAGCTAATGAGCAACTTTCCATGGCCTTACTTCTGCTAAAAGACTGATACTGATACACTGGAAAGATAAAAGTGGTGCCTTGGTTTCCGGACGGCTTAGTTGTCGAACAAATCGGCTCCCAAATGCCACAAACCCCAGAAGTGAGTGTTCTGGTTTGCAAACATTTTTCAGAAGCCAAACATCCGACACAGCTTCTGCTTAAGTGCAGGAAGCTCCTGCAGCCAATCGGAAGCCGCGCCTTGGTTTCTGAACAGTTTCAGAAGTTGAACAGACTCCCGGAACAGATTAAGTTCGAGAACCAAGGTACCAGTGTACCATGCCCCCCTTTGAATGAAGAAGAGTTTGGATTTGATATCCTGCTTTATCACTACCCTAAGAAGTCTCAAAGCGGCTCGCAATCTCCTTTCCCTTCCTTCCCCACAACAAACACCCTGTGAGGTGAGTGAGGCTGAGAGACTTCAGAGAAGTGTGACTAGCCCAAGGTCACCCAGCAGCTGCATGTGGAGGAGCGGGGAATCGAACCCGGTTCACCAGATTACGAATCTACCGCTCTTAACCACTACACCACACTGGCTCATGAAGGATAGAAGATATGACCACACTTGCAACATGCAAATGGATTGCTTTTAGACATAGAGTATGTATGAATATATACAATGATATTTGAAATCCATTTATTAAAAAAGCAAAATGACTTCTTAATAGGTATATATACTTGTTAGAATAATTGCAACACTTACATGTCCTCTTTGGTCAAAGACCTTTCTCAGAGCCACTCACTTAGCACAGAATTCCTCCTCCTTCCAGACAGCAATGACCTCAGACAAGCTGCTTGCTACCTTCCCACTGGGCAGCTTCAGGTCATCAGCGCGATTTCCATTGAAGTTCCCACAGGAGGCACACAGCTTTGCTGCCAGGCTTTTACAGACTTGCGTCTTCATTTCCCCACGAGGTCCGAGCAGAATTTTTACTTCAGAGGCCAAATGAATAGTTATCCTGTCTTGAGAGAGGCTCACGTGGGCATCTTCAGAGACCTTTGCTGGGAGCGTAATTTTGCGCCCATTAGCCTGAAGTTCAGAAAAGGAGGGAGAAAGGTTTTGGGTTAATGGGTGGAGCAGGGGAGGGAAACCTTTTCAGTCTGAGGGCCACAATCCCTTATGGGGGGGCCACATGCCAGTGGTGGGTGGTAAAAGGTACCCCTGCCCGTACGGGCCAGTCTTGCCAGACTCTAGGGTTGTGCGCTCATCTCACTCTATAGGCCGGGAGCCAGCGCTGTCCGCAGACACTTCCGGGTCACGTGGCCAGCGTGACAAGCTGCATCTGGCGAGCCAGCGCAGCACACGGAGCGCCGTTTACCTTCCCGCTGGTAAGCGGTCCCTATTTATCTGCCTGCACCCGGAGGTGCTTTCGAACTGCTAGGTTGGCAGGCGCTGGGACCGAACGACGGGAGCGCACCCTGCCGCGGGGATTCGAACCACCGACCATGCGATTGGCAAGTCCTAGGTGCTGAGGTTTTACCCACAGTGCCACCCGCGTCCCTGTGGTGGGTGGGACCAGAGGCAAAAGAGCCGAGGCAACGAATGGCTGCACACTTATCTTTGTATAAAAGGTAAAGGGACCCCTGACCATTAGGTCCAGTCGTGACCGACTCTGGGGTTGCGGCGCTCATCTCGCTTTACTGGCCGAGGGAGCGGGCGTACAGCTTCCGGGTCATGTGGCCAGCATGACTAAGCCGCTTCTGGTGAACCAGAGCAGCACACGGAAACACCGTTTACCTTCCCGCCAGAGCGGTACCTATTTATCTACTTGCACTTTGACGTGCTTTCGAACTGCTAGGTTGGCAGGAGCAGGGACCAAGCAACAGGAGCTCAGCCCATCGCGGGGATTCGAACCGCCGACCTTCTGATCGACAAGTCCTAGGCTCTGTGGTTTAACCCACAGCGTAGGCTATAATTATGTTAATTATGGTTTTTTTATATGTTGGAAGCAGTCCAGAGTAGCTTGGGCAACTCAGTCAGTCAGACAGGGTATAAATAATAAAAGGATAATAATGATGATTGAATATGATGTCCCTTCTCTATTATCCATCTAGGCAACCAATATGCATTATTCCGGCTGAAGGGCTATGATAAGAGGTGTGGCCAAGGAAGGGGGAATGACCCAGAAAGAGTCCCATGGGCCAGATAGAGAGGACTGGATGGCCTCAGTTTACCCTCCCCTGCTTTGGTCAATGTGGTGATCTCTGGATGCTGCTCAACTACAATTCCCAGCGTCTCTCACCTTGGCCAGGATGGCTAGTTGCTTAAAGAAGCCTGTTGCTCTGTTGGTGAAAGCCTAGCAAGGCATTGCACTTGGGCAGCACACATTAAAGCAGAAAGTATTTGGCTGACGTCTACTCAGGGTAGATCCACTGAAATGAATGAACCTAAGGTAGTCCTGTCCATTGGGTGTGACTAACATTGGACGCAAACCAGGATCCTGCACCGGGAACTTACCCATGCCTCCTTGTTCGGTTTTACAGTGAAAAACAGGCATTTGAAAAATACATGTATCTTTGTCACTGCTGGCAAATCCCAGCCGTTGTGTTTGTCGACAACTGCCACGATCTTGAACCAAGAGGGGTCACTGCCATTGCAAAGGGTTGCAACCTCGTAAGCCCCTAGATACAGAATTTTCCCAGAGACACCGTCAAAGGAAGTCACGTGTGCTCCAGGGAGGACGGCACACTCTCCGTTCGGCCTTATGCAACTGCGCACACCGTTATGGAGGGCACAGATTTCTCCTTGCTGGCAACTGTTTTCTGCACAAACCAGTTGGCCTGATGGGCGGCAGGTGCATTTTTTCAAGCAGTCTTCTGAGACAATATTCTCTCCAGCCTGTAAGATTTACAGCCCAAGAGAGAGGGAGGGGAGAAAAAAGGATTAAAATTTAAATGCAAATGTTTTAAAATATTATTATTATTAATTCAACATGTACAAGCCTGAGTACTTAGAATCACCTCTATAAAGCTACAATCTAGCACACCATTGCTGCATAAATGATAAATCGACAGTAAAATAGATATTAAAATAGGTCACATTTTGTACTTTAATACATTTACTCATACTATTTTTGCATGAACTTCATGCCATGCTAATCAATGGATGTGAAACTGACATAGACCAGAAATAGACAGATATATCCATCCCTGTTAACAACAGAGACATTCAATGGGGCAGAGAATAGGGAAGAATCTAATCTGGATTCTTCGAAGGGTGCAGATTTATATGCCATAGCATGCTGCATATAACATTATCAGGATCACGCAAAGTCCCAGAAGCCTTTCAGATTTTTCTGGCCCCTTGTCAAAGTCCAAAATGGAAGCAAATAACTCCCCCTCCCCAAATACAGTGGGCAGGTCTGGACTCAGTCCATCCATCCTCTCACTAACTCCTTTGTGCTCAACATGTTTGGAGGTGAAACCCTGTTCTTCAGGGGTTAAATAAAGCTTTGTTATACAGCTGAGGTTATATAGCTCTGTTGGAGCACAGCCTGGACAAGGAATAGAGTGCCCATCTGTCCTCCTTTGCAGTCCTCTGTTTGAAGGCATACTCTATTTGAAGGTCTGTCTACTGTCCAGTATAAAGAATCATAAGAAGGGAAAACAGGAGTTATTGCCCATCAACATTTCAGTGCAGATCAGTGGTGTGCTGTCAGTGGACTAGGCTAGTCTCTTAAATGTTCCCCTGCCACCTCCTTCCTGAGTCCCGGGAAGTTTCTGCCCAGCTTAGGGAGGGAGGCACGATGCTCACCTGCACTATGTCTCCCCCCACATCACCCTCACAAGCTGGCACCTCTGGCCCTAACTGTCCCCCTAAGAAAAAGTTCACCACATGCCACGGGTGCAGATCACCTGGTCGCAGCCTCTCCCACTCTGGCGCAATGTATTGTATTCCTACTTAAATGATACTAATTATTTCAGATGTTGAGTTTTCTTGTGTCCATCATCTCCAAGGATTTTCACACAGCCAGTTGCTTATTACAGGTTCCACCTCTTGGCTCCTCAACTTCCCAAGGAGGAAAGTGCTTTTCTTATCAAAGGTTTTCTGCTGTGATGTGCAGGCCTTCTTAGTTACCTTTGTTATAACCTCAGATCTCCCTCGCCACCCATCTCTTTCTCCTTCCCAGCTGTTCCTCTTACATCTGCTTCCCTCAGCCTCCCTCCTTGGCCTCTGCAACAGCCAGCTTTCTCTCGCTGTCCTCCCTCTCTCCTTTAGTACTCTGCCCCATCAGTTTTGCTGGGCCAGAGGCTGCCTCCCTCTATTCTTATTGTATCTCCTTTGCTCCACAATCTTGGCCTTTATCAGCAACTCTTTCTCCTTTTCGTCTCTCTGTGTTTTGCTGCTGCTGTCAGCCTCACCAGCTGTCCTTTATGAGGCCGAGGTGGGTGTGAGAAGGTGACAACCACCCCTTTGACATGGCGTGCTCCTTCAAGCCTCTCACCTACAAGCATGCATATACATTCACCTATGTTACTGTTGTGGAAATTTGAGTTCAGCACAAAGCAATGCAAGAGTGGCAATCCGAAGGAGGGAAGAGATACTAGCCCTTGCAGACTCACTAAGGGCTCATGTAGACTTCCGCTTGTCCCTTGCCTAGATGTTTTCCACTTGTCCTATGCTTTCCAAGCTGTTTTGCCTTTGCATCACCTTTTCCCCTTGGAAAACCCTTTCTATAATGCTAAATTGGAGCAATCTGCAATCTGCAGAAAACCTAATTGCCATTTGTTCCAATTTAGCGCTAAACTGTGGGTTTTCCTGGTGGAAAGTGGCAGGGCAAAGGGAAGTGTGGGTGAGCTCTTAAAGTGGCACACACATACGCACAGACACAACGGTTTCCACAAGTGCTGGACTTACCTTGATGTAGTGCCCGTCATGCACGCAGCCACAGTTCTCCATTGCCACGCACCTGTCGCCGTCAAACAGGTAGCCACTGTCACATTGACAACCTTCAAAGCATTTCTTTGAGCATTGGCCTGGAGTGGACAAGCTGGTGCAGGTGGAACCACAGGTCCTTGTACACAACTCGTAGTGGCTGTTGGGTGGGCAAGTGAGAGCTGAAAAGAAGGGGAGAGAGGACCAGGGGTTATAGGAGGCAGGAACAGTCCAGGCAGGTATAGCTAACCATTCTTAAATTCTGAAGCTTTTCATCCATATAGGACACCCCTCCACTCACCGTTCCATCTCTGGCTGCTTTACTGTCCCGTATCAGGGCTTATTTTTAAGGGCAGCAATAAAAGGACATAGGTGCTGCATCGTCAAAATGAGGGTTGGATAAGCAGGCCAGATCTTTATTTTCCCCAACCCCGCAGGACAACTTTGACAGGTGAGTGGGACCTCCTACCTGCCCATCATCTGATGTCATAATGATGTCAGGTGCTTCACACGTGTCAAAGTTGAAAGAGCTTGCAAAGCGCTTTGCCTAGTGTGTCCCAAACACCCAACAATCTGCAAATTGACACAGGACTGGGAATCACACAGTGCTTCCAGCTGGTGGTGGAGCATTTGGAAAGCACTTGCACAAAGCGATTTGTAAGTCCTGTGCTCAGTGCTTCTCTAATGCCAGGCACAGTGTGCAAATCTTGCAAAGCTCTTCCAAAGCTCCTGGAAAACCATGACTCAGTTAGCAGTGCCTGCAAAGCCCCTTTTGGCCAAGCCTCATTCTTACCTGTGCCACACCTGACATCATAGCTGATATCAGGTCTATGCAGGGCAAGTGGGTGTAGTTTAACCAAAATGGCTTAATAGGACAAATGGAGCAGTGTGGAGGGTCTCATTTCTCACCCTGATCTAAATGCCAGGCCCTTCAAGTGTCCCTATTTTCCAGGGACAGTCCCGGATTTACAGAAGCCATCCCGGTTTCTGATATGATCCCAGAATGCCTTGCTTTTCTTTAGGACATCCCTATTTTCATCCCTATTCATTGGAGGGAATGGAGTTATGTGACCACTGAGCCAAGGAGATAAGTAACTATACAACCTTTAGAAGACATCTGAAGGCAGCCCTGTATAAGGAAGTTTTTTAAAAGTTTAATGTTTTATTGTGTTTTTATATATGTTGGAAGCCACCTTGAGTGGCTGGGGCAACCCAGTGAGATGGGTGGGGTATAAATAATAAAATTGTTGTTATTATTATTATGGAGCAGGACATCCCTATTTTCATTGGAGAAATGTTGGAGAATATGAAATGCTGATTTAAATGTTGACCATGTTCTCCCATTGTGCTCCTCCCAATGGCATATATCAAAGTGGCTGTCTATTCTGTTACAGTGGAGTAGCCAATATGGTGCCCTACGGTTGTTTTTGGACTCCAGTTCCCATCAGCCCAAGTCAACATGGTCAATGGCCAGAGTTGTTGGGAGCTGTAGTCCAGCAGCATATGCAGGGCAACATCTTATCTAATATAGCAGAATGAATATTTTAAGCATCAGTGTGAGTGGGTGGGATAAAAAAGAAGGTGGTACTTCAGGTTACTGAGCAAACTTACGGCAGAAGCTGTTTGTTCTCCAGGCTCCAATTGTAACTCCTGCAGCCTGACATACAGTGACGTAGGCCTGGATGCTCCTACAGAGAGTTTCTCTGGCACCATTGGCTGCACACATGTCATACAGACAGTGGCTGAAGAATTCGGCAGGGTCTACCAAGGAGTGACAGTTCCTGAAGGGGCCGGATTTGGCTTGGATCATTCCGCAGGAACTCTCAGGTCGGTACGGCGCTGTCTTGGCTGCATCACAGACGGGGCATTTATCTCCACAGCCATCAGAGCATCTGACACCATCAATGGGAACCTTCCAAGAGGCCCCAAACTCGATCACATTCTGTGTGCTTTTCCCCGTAGGTAGAGTAAAGTCATCGGTCCTGTCACTGTTGAAATTACCGCATAGGCCAGTGACATGTCCCTGGTAGTTACTGGGGACAGACACCAAGATGTACGAAAAGGTATCAAAAAGGACTTTGAGACCAAAGTCAGACTGGACAATGATATTATTGCCTTCCTGGTTGGCCCAGAGTTTCCCATCCTTTGTCTTCATGGGCAGCGTGTAGAGCTGTCCATCCACCTGCATTAACCACAGAGAAGGTGACCATGTAAGGTGACAGTTTTAAATTACTATTATTTATTATTAAATGGATTTATCAACCACATTTTTGGGGGGGATACCTCCTAACACAGTTTTTGAACTAAGGGTGTCTGCAGGCTGCTACTATTTTGCAAGAGGGATTCAAACACATGCCAGAAATTTAAGTTTGCTTAATTGAAGCAGATTAAAGTACCTTTCTCCCCAGGGCAAGAAATCCACTTTTTTAAAAAACGGACTTTTTTCAGGTAGGAAAGTGATGGGGAAATCCACTGAAATGTGTGGAATGAGCAAATGTTTAACAGGAAGATGTGTAAATGCCCCTCAAGCAAATTAGGATGAATACTCGGGGACATATGACCTGCCTGAAAACAAATCAGAACAAATGCTCAGTGAAGATCAGACATAGTCTAGCCACCGCACAAGATTGTATGAGAAAATCAGGATGGATGATGCGCCTTTGGTCAGGGCGCAGCCTGACTCCCTCCTCTGGCAACCTGCACAGAATTTTGCTTAACGGTTGCCATTAATTTGATTTTAATTAATTTTTATAATGAAATGTTTTTAGAATGTTTGATTATTTGATTGTTTGATTATTTGATTGTTGTTATCTGCCCTGAGCCCGGCTTCGGCTGGGGAGGGCGGGATATAAATAACATTTATTATTATTATTATTATTATTATTATTATTATTATTAAAGGAGGTCATCTGAAGGAACCCTATATCAACACAGTATCGATGCATCAAGTATGACTATATCAAATATATCAAAGCACAATATCAAAACCCCTTTTAAATGTTTCCTTCAACAAAACCATTAAAAGCGAGCATGAAACATACAATAATAATAATCCAGCAATACTCTAATATTTCAGAGCCAGGCCATACAATACCATTACTACAGCCCAAGTCATAATTTGTTAGCTACTAAAGACTACAGTCAAAAGGGAAATCCTTAAGGTCTATTTGAAAGAACTAAGGGATGGAGCTTGCCTGTTCTCACTCAGGATCAAATCCCACAGCTATTGTACAATTGCATGAACACATGTGCAAAATCCATGCAGCCATACCCTCAGTGTCTCCACTTAGCAGGAGCAACAGCTACAGAATACCGAGGGGAAAGCAGAGAGAGGTTTTCCTCTCCTCCCCTTCTCCCCTCCCCATCACACTTGCTTACAGTGTGATGGGGAAGAAATTTGGTCTTCTTTGCATTTGAATGGCGAACTCCTGAATTTGCACCTCCCAAAAACAATACATGAAGTGAAATGCAGCTCCTCTAAGAAATGATCAATTCTCCAGATTTTACAGTGCAGTTCTCCAACCAATGCATGTGTACAAAAAAGCATATATTTGGGAGAAATGTTCATAAATGTAATTTACTGGCCAGAATAACATATGAAAATACATTCTGTTGGGGAACGTTGCTTGCCAAAATGTATATGTTATTTATTTTATTATTTAAAGAAGTTATAAACCGCTTAATATTTTTAAAATCTTTGAGCAATCGAGACTGCGTATCACTAAAATGTCGATGGATTTCTATGAAGATTTTTTTTAATTAAAAAATCACATATTGCTGCAGAAATCCGGAGAACTGAACTTGGGGGAAATGAGGAATGGAGAGAAAACAAAATTAGCAGATTAGTCAATATCTACTGATAGGGAACGGGACGCGGATGGCGCTGTGGGTTAAACCACAGAGCCTAGGACTTGCCGATCAGAAGGTCGGCGGTTCGAATCCCCGTGACAGGGTGAGCTCCCGTTGCTCGGTCCCTGCTCCTGCCAACCTAGCAGTTCAAAAGCACGTCAAAGTGCAAGTAGATAAATAGGTACCACTCCGGTGGGAAGGTAAACGGCGTTTCTGTGCGCTGCTCTGGTTCGCTAGAAGCGGCTTAGTCATGCTGGCCACATGACCCAGAAGCTATACGCCGGCTCCCTCGGCCAATATAGCGAGATGAGCGCCGCAACCCCAGAGTCAGTCACAACTGGACCTAATGGTCAGGGGTCCCTTTACCTTTTTACTGATAGGGAACGGGGGACAATGGGAGAGGAAGTTCTCCCCAGGGCTCCTGAAACTGTAGGTGAACTGTGTCACCATTTCTACCATGAAGAGACAAAACCTGGAACAGGACTTACCTTGAGCTTCCATTTCATCGCCCTCTCAATGACAGCGGTGTATCCATGAAAAGAGACTATAAGCGTCTTGGTCAGTGACCTGTCATTCTCCACCAACACCGAGAAGTTTGCCAGCTGAGAATTCTTTCCTTGCAATTTAGCCAAAGTATAAGTGCAGGTTCCTTGGAAGTTGTAGGCCCGTCCATCAAAAGTTATGTAGTGGGAGCCCAAAGCCAAACTGCATTTCCCGCACCCTACCGCATGGCAGCCTGGGACACCATCCTTCACCCTACATTTCTCGTGGGGCCCACAGGAGATTTTCTGGCATTTGACAACTCCATTGTCTGCACACTGGCATCGTTCCTGGCAAGAGGAACCAGGGTAGAAAACCTCTCCCTTCTTGTAGTAGTTGCCCTGGTGCTCACAGCCACAACTGCCAACAGGGACACACTGGTCCCCACTCAAGACAAACCCAGGCTTGCAATAGCATCCTTCCTTGCAGGACGTCACACACCCCTCAGGAGCCGAGAGACCACGGCAAGTGGCAGGGCAGCCGTTTCCGCAGAGCTCGTAGCGAGAGTTGGGTGAGCAGGCAAGGCCTGGAAGAAAGGACAAAAACAGAATGTGGGGAATTTCAAGCTAGCATGTAAGTTATTTTGGCAGACACCTGGTTCTTTGGACACCTGGAGTTGAATAGGTCTGTTGTGCTCTGTTGCAGATTCTGTCTACAGTGACATCTGCTGGTTAGAGCAAATCCTAGTCTGACTAAAAAACAGCTTTCTCATATGGCAAGCTTGCGACTTCCTGCATTTAACTTGTGCACATTCAGCTTTATGCTCTTGGCAAATAAGAATAAATAAATGAAATGGGGGGGGGGCTGGGGCTCCAGGAAGAATGACTTTGGCAATCCCACACGCCATTAATAATATTTATTTATTTAACCCCTCCCATCCAAATGTGTTTTGATTATACACAATTTGACTTTTGGTGCGATCCCCAGAATGTAATCCCTGCATAAATTGTGGGCTTACTGTATTTCCCATGTTACTGGCGTAGTTGAACAACATGGATGTCTGTCTGTGCAAATACTACTATCATTACTACTATTACTACCTGGCTTTGTTCTGCAACACCTAAAATTGCTGAACAATATCAAGCACAGATATTAAAGATGTAACACCATTCATAGTGTCTAGATGGATCAGACTAAGATTGATAGTGCTGCCCAGATGTTCGCTGGGATCAAGACTAAAAATTGGACAGATGTGAACCAGGGGCATGAATGATCAGGGTTGAAATGAAATTGATGTGGAGATCAGTAAATTCAAAACACTTGAAATCTAATGCCAAATTTCTTATATGACCTTTTTAACAGAGTGGATCTTTCAGGTGGATCTGAATTCTTAAGTGGTCTGTACATGCCAGGACATAAATGTTGGCTGACAAGTCCAGAGGATCAAACAAATTAAAAAATATTCCAAGTAGTCTTTGAAATCTATACACTATGGGTTGCATCCAACTAAGTTGTACTCAGAGTTTCCCCACTGAAATGAATGGACCTGAGGTAGAATTTCTGATATTTATAGTTAGTCTGCTCTGAGCATGACTCAAGTTAGTACTGAAATAAAAACACTTGGAGAGAGGAGAAATTTTACTTCCAAACCTCAAATTTTACACTTGTCAAGGTTTTGTGCAATTTGTTTTCAGCTCATGCACCTTTACATTTGGCACACAACTCCCTACAGCAAAACATGGTAGGGGTGAAAGGTACTTGGTTTAATCCCTAGTATATCCAGATATAACTAGAAAAGAGCCCCTGTCTGAGATGCTAGAGAATGCTCTGACTTGGCATTAGGTTGCTCCTCATATTCCTATGCTAAAGCAGCACCAGGAGGTGATACTTACTGCAGAAATTGTTAGATCTCCATGGTTCAATCACAGCTCCCAGGTCCTGACACGCTGCCACATAAACACCAATGGCATCACACAGAATGCTGTGCCGGCCACGATACTGGCAGACGTCAAAGACGCAATCAGTGAAGTAGGGTGTTGGGTCGATGAGCGGATGGCATTGCCTGAATGGTCCGTCCTTTTTGATGAGGACCCCACAGAATCGGTCACCCTTATAGGGGAGTTTCTGTGCCTCTTCACATGGTGCGCAATTCTCTGCGCAACCTGGTGTACAACCAGGGACCTCTGCCACCTTCCAGCTCTCTGCAAATTGGGTTATGCTAGACGTTTGTCTCCCATCCTTCATGATGAAGTCATCATTGGGGTTCAAGTTGTTGTTGCCACAGAGGCCACCAATGGCATTGGCGTATGCACTGGGTACAGTGACTCTGGCGTAGCTGTTCCAGTCGAAGGTGACAATCAGGTCAAAATTCGTCTTGATGAAGCCATGAACACCACTGATATAAGCCTTTATCTTGTCTCCTTGGTAGAAAGGCAGGTTCACAAAAATGCCATTAACCTGGAATGTGATGCAAAGGAACCATCACCACTACTATAGTAAGTATCCAACATTGGTGAACACCAGTCGTCCAAATAAGTAGACACAGTTAAATTAATGAGCATGACTTAGATTTAAGTTTTAAGTTTTAGGGTCTTTTAAAGTAAGATAAGGTTAAAATAGATTAAGGTAATTTAATGACAGAATATTATGAAAAATGGGAAGGATTTGCTGTTATAATTAATAACTGGAATACAAAAAAGGGAGGTTTGAGGAGGTCGATGAAATAAGGCAATGACAGTTAAGGATTTGGGAATATTGGATCTGTTTTTAATTGTTTGTGGTTTACTTTTGTTTTTTGGATTTTGATGTGTTTTGTCTTTGTTTTTTTATTTTTATTGATCTGTATGGTTTGACTGCTGTTTGCTTTTCCTTTGTTTTTGTTTTTCTCTTCTTTGTTTCTTTGGTGTGTTTTTTTTTGTAACTTTAAAATGTTTAATAAATATCATTTAAAAAATAATAATAATTAATGAGCATGACTGAATTATATCCATTAATTTCAATGGGTATATTTTGAGTAAAACCATTACCGCTCTCAAAATGCAAGAGCTACTTTACATAAAATTGTATTTTGCTGTGGCAGCACCTGCACTTTGAAACCTCCTGCCCCATTACATCAGGTAGGTAACTTTACTGTATCCTTTTTGGTGCTGGTTTAAAACAATTTGGCTTAGGCAAGCTTAGTAAGATGCATAGATGCCGACTTGCTGTAAATTCACTTAAGTCTGCTATTAATTTTAAGCATTTTTAAAACAGTGTTAATCACTTGTTGCAATATTTCATGTAAACCACCCAGAGGTTTCATTAGAAGCAAGTGGTGTGTAACTTCTGTGAAATAAATGAAATGTTTACAATATTGGCTAGCCCCCCCCCCCCACTCACCCTTGGAGCAGCAGGCACCATTTAAAAGGATCCTGTGATGACCCAAGGAACCAATACATGCATCCAACTATTGCCCATATCAGTACCTGGATTCTTTGTGGATACTCCTGGCTCAACATTATGGTTGCATTGTAGACTTTCAGAGTTACCACCTTGGTGTAGGAAACATCCGTGCTGCTGCTCCGGTGGTTGTTCTCCACAGTGACAGTGAAAGGCTTAAGAGTCGGATCCTTAGAGGAGAGCCCAGCCAGCTGGTAAATACAGGTGCCCATGAAGTCAAATTTCTTCCCATCAAAGGTGGTATAGTGAGGGTCCCCAGTTGCTATGCATGTAGCAGAAACACTGGGGTGACAGCCCCGGACACCGTTGACCACAGTGCACTGCTCACTGGCTTTGCAGCCAGCTGGTTTGCACACCACGATGCCCAGGGTGGGATCACATGTGCAGTGGGAACCACAGGTCTCATCAGCCCAGAATTCTTCTCCGGATTTGTAGTAGAGCCCATTGTAGGTGCAGCCACAGCTCCCGAGAGGCACACACTTGTCGACGCTGAGGACGTAGCCATCGTTGCACTGGCAGGTTTCCACGCAGGGCTGTTTGCAGGCAGAGGGAGCATTGCGGTCGGCGCAGCTGGCAGGGCAGGCATTGCCACAGAACTCATAGTGGCTATTCTGAGGGCACGGCAAGGCTGTAAGGAGGAGAACAACGGGGGTCTAACAACTGATAGAATGTGCTAAAGCCTCAAGTTGGCAAAAGCTGGTGTAATTAATGTTAGACGTACAGGTACTTTGGAAATTTATGGATGAAACAAAGCTGCTCTTTGGTGTGGTAGAGGGTGCCAGCATAAAATAAGATTCAGCTGCCAGTGTTGTCAGCTTCTGTATATATACATGTTAAACAGAATGGGGAACAAGATGGAACCCTGTGGGACACCACAGGCAACTCCCATGGCGCTGAACAGAAGCCTCCCATGACTACTTTCTTGAAATGGCCCCAGAGATAGGAGCAGAAACACTGAAGTACAGTGCCACTAAACCTCCACCTCCCTGTTATGCTGCAGAAAGATCCCAGAGTCAACAGTATGGAAAGCCACTGAGATATCAAAATCAAGGAGAATGAGCAGGATTGCACTCCCTGCATTCAGTGCCATGACCTGGCCTGAAGCCAAACCAGAATGGTTCCAAGTAATCAGCTTCCTCCAACATGCATGAAGCTAGACCGCTGCGACCTCCCCAAGCACCTTGCCCAGAAAGGAGATATTTGCTACTGGCTGATAGACATTTTAGAACTTCTGGTACCTCGCCCTTCTCCAGTGTAGCATTAATCACTCCTTAGACCCACCCGGTCAATCCCTTATGGCTTGTTTGAAGAAGCCAAGATGGGCAAGAGCGAAGGAGGCAGGTGGTCGGCTGTGCTTCTTCAAACAGCATGTCCATATCCACAGGCTGCAATAATCTATAGGCCTTACTGAGACGACTAAGCTATTGTGTTTCTGTATAGAGGAAGAGCACTCACCACAGCCAGAGGTTGTCCTCCAATCGTATATGGTGGCCCCTGATTTCCTACAGGTTTTAGCATAGGCCTCCAAGGCCTGGCAAAGCATTTTCTTGGTCCCTCCATTGAGACACACATCATAAATACAACTATCAAAGAAGTCATCTGGATTCACTTTGGCATGGCATTCTCTGAAGGGCCCCCCTGAAGTTTTGCTGATCAGCCCACAGTAATCTTCCTTTCCATACCGCTCCCTCTTGCTCTCATCACATGTTGGGCAATTCCCTTGGCAGTGATCCCAACAAAAGGGGTCCCTGTCTTTGACTTTCCAGCTGCTGGCCCAGCTTTCGATGGAGGAAGCCTTTGTGCCATTGGGGTAGGCCATGTCATCTGCAGGGTTTTGATTGAAGTTTCCACACAGTCCGCAAATGGCCCCATAGTAACTACTGGGGATTGTGATAAGCAGATACCAGTTATAGTCATATGATACTTGGAGGCCGAAATCTGTTTGCAGGATAGCATAGGAACCACTCTGGTACAGCTTGATCTTACCATCTTCAAGGGTCAGTGGCAGGCTGGTAACGATGCCATTTAACTAGAGGCAGAATGGCAAGACAGAACACACACAGGAATTATTGGAGGCTTTTTGGAAACCATGCCATACAATCCCACAAAGCTTTAGGTTGCAGTTCTAACTGCACATACCTGGGAGTAAGCCCCATTGAATTCAATATGACTCATATCTGAGTAGATTTGGTTAGAATTGTGTTGTTTGATGTTAAAGTCGTCATGGGGACCAGTAGCACTATATGCAGTAGCAGCGCTTACTTGACCTCCCATTGCCAGCATCACTGTGGCTTATCAGGAAGGGGAGGGTCAATGGATTAGTGAGGCTGCAGTAAGGCAAACGCGCCAATGGTGCCAATCCAGTGCTCCTGCTGGTGCATTTTCATTGCACTGAGCTTGCTGTGGCCTCAGCCCTCCCATGAAGCCACAGTGACACCAGTGACAGGAGGTTAGGTCAGTGATGCTGCCCCATCCCACTGACCAATACTGGATTTAGTATTGAACAGAACAGCCTATGTTCAGAAGAGTTTTGACAACCCCTTTGGGTTCTTCTTCTTCTTCTGAGATGTCATCTTCTAAGATGACACTCTTCTAGACTATATCTGTAAAAGGTTGGAGTGGGATATTTAACATCAAAGTTGGCTGTTTGTAGGTTGTATTCCTAAAAGAGAGACAGACAGATAGACAGAGACACACAGACAACAGATAAAGAGAGAAAGAGAATAGTTCCCTGTATGGAAGGAATTACCCTTCATAACGTAAATCAGGGAACTCTGCCAAATCCAGCCTTGATGTTTTTCTTATTTAATTGGCTTGGCGTTGTGCCTTTGTATTGGGCTACATTTGTACTTGCTGGTGGTTGACATCATCCTGATTCATGTTTGCTGAGCTGAGTCACAGCCACCTTCTAGTTCATTGACGTCTCTGTTAGCGATGGCTCATTTCATCCCAAGAGACCATGACTTATTTACATGATCAAACAACATTACGCACAACAAGGCCTTGTTTAAACACAGGCTGGGAAATCTGCAAGCATGAGGAACCTGTAGGCCACCCAGATGTTCTTGGACTACAGCTCCCATCAGCCCCAAACAGCATGGCCAATAGTCAAGGAGGATGGGAGTTGTAGTCCAGCAATACTTGGAGGGACACAGGTTGCCTATCCCTGACCTAACCTATTGATTGCAGGTGACTCACAAGGAACTGAGACCCTTGCTAACTACCACTATCCATTGTTCTGCTTCGCATGACCAATTATCTATTTTTGGTAGCTTAAACTGTTCAATGGTCCTTGGGAACATTACTTGGCAAGCCAGACAAGTCAAGTGAACACTTCTGGTTTGGCAGTGCATTCACATAAGGGGGTCCATAACCAAGCCAACTCCAAAAGTACCCACAGTTGCTCATAATCCAACTTGAACCCATGAGCTCAAGACAAGGATTCAAGTTTTGTGTGTATTTGTGCACCATTCAGTTTTCACTTTGCAGAATTTATAGCATCATTATTCAGTGTAATGCAAAGTTGTGTGTTGGCGATTACCACATTTTTCTGAATTGTATAGATATCTGAATTATTGACACTGGCCTGCAATCATTGGCCTCTATTCCCCCTCCTTATTGTTTTTGTTCTACATTAGCCCAATATTAAGGGACGTGGGTGGTGCTGTGGGTTAAACTAAGGGGCTAGGGGCTTGCCGATCAGAAGGTTGGTGGTTTGAATCCCCACAGCGGGGTGAGCTCCCGTTGCTTGGTCCCTGCTCCTGCCAACCTAGCAGTTCGAAAGCACGCCAAAGTGCAAGTAGATAAATAGCTACTGCTCCGGCGGGAAGGTAAATGGCGTTTCTGTGTGCTGCTCTGGTTCACCAGAAGCGGCTTAGTCATGCTGGCCACATGACCCGGAAGCTGTACGCCGGCTCCCTCAGCCAATAAAGTGAGATGAGCGCCGCAACCCCAGAGTCATCCGCGACTGGACCTAATGTTCAGGGGTCCCTTTACCTTTTAGCCCAATATTGGGCTTTCAAAGTGCTGTATATCGGAATGAATTCCATTACACTCAGTAGGGTCATTCCCCCCTGACTATTTAACATACCCGGATTTTTCCAGTTTCCAGTTTGTGGATGGAGATATTGTACCCATAGACATCGATGTTGGTCAGACGCACGTAGGACACAGCCTGGTTGCCCCTGTTGTCATTCTTCTCATCGATAGTGAAAGGCACCAGCGTAGCATCGTTCCCACAGTACTTGGCAATAGTGTAAGAGCAGGTGCCCATGAAATCAAACTTCAAGGTGTCAAAGGTGTGATAGTGTGGGTCCCCCCAGCCCCAGCAGCTTCCTGAGAAGTCTGGGATACATTTGGCTTGGCCGTTCTCAATCCTGCATGTTTCCTTTTCTCGGCACTTCAGGGATTTACATGGATCTGAAAAGGAAGAAGGAAATATGAGAAAGTGCTAAATGCTATTTAGGGATGGCAACTATCAGTGGAGAGGTGGAGCTAAGTTTTAGGCATGGCGAAAGACAACAGGACATCTTCTTGCCAGTATATCTGTGCCATGAACAACGTTCAGGGCTGATGTAAATTGTAGTTCAACAACATCTGGAGGGCCACAGGTTGCCCATCACTCTCTTGAACGAATCTTTCCTTACCCTTATTTACACATCTCAAGACGCCATCTATGGTTTCACAGTTCTCATTTGCTGCACAGCTATGGGCTTCGCAGATAACCCCCTGGCCTGGGATGCAACGGCAGCTCTCCTGGCATACATTTTGCAGAACCTTTTCATTGGGCTGATGGGAAATTTGGGAAAAAATAAAATGTAGTAGTGATAGAATATGGGCAGAATCAAATCTACAGATGGAGGTGTGTATTGCTAATAGTATCCACTAGGGCTGTACAAAGACCACCCATGGAATGGGAAGAACTGCCCTGTGTGTCCCCAGGGGCCAACCAGGTGTCCTCTGGTGTCAGGGACTGGAATGAAGAGACAGAGGAGTGGTGGAGATCGCCTCCCCCATCTCCTGTAGCTGACAGGGGAGAGAGAGACAGTATTGAATTACAGCCAAGCTATGAGGGAGATAACGAAGCACAGACTGGTGAGCAGCCAAGCTATATGGAGTAAGGAGAAGTAAGGGGGGAGATAGAGCAGCCAGCGAACACTTTAATAGACAGCATAGAGGACCCTCCGTCCCCTAAAATGCAACGGTCGTTAAGGGTACAAGAGCAATGTACACAGAGACCTTTGGCAACAGGAGGCTTCCGTAGGGACCGATGCTGTTGAGCAAGGGGGAAGGAGGAGGAGCCAGAGTGAGCAACTCAATCATGGAGGAAAGACTGGAATGCTTTGTCTGTTACCGCAGTGACTGAATAAATCATAAGTAAAAGCTTCCTTGTTTCCTCCTGGCACCTTGAAACCATCGGGATTGGAGGGAGAGAATTCCTCAGGCCTGACATCTGGCTGCTTTCTTCCTAAGCCCTCCTGGCTGTTCACCTCTTTGGAGCTATGTAGGCTACATGACATGTCCTGCCTCTCCTAAACTATCCTGCTGGAGGATTTGATTTGAAAAGGAAGGGAGGTAGATAAGGTTCGGAAAGCCACCTACCTTGTAGTAGCGTCCATTCTTTAAGCACCCACAGTCTTTTGCGGAGACACAGCCAACACCGTTAAAGAAAAAGCCATCATTACACTGGCAGCCCTCAGCACAGGTCTCCGGACATTTCGTAGAGTCTGTGATCTTGGCACAGGAGGTGGCGCAGAGCTGGGCACAAATTTCATAGTGACTGTTGGCGGGGCAGCGCAGAGCTAAATTGGAATAGAAGAAAAACACTCATCTTAGGCAAAAAGATACCCAGCAATACTTAAGGTGACTGGGAAGCTGGAGAATGAAGTCAGAGAGTGTGACTAGTAAACTACAGAAAACACAGCCCTGCTGTGCACCCTGCTTGAGTGTTTCTGCCTGGCTAGAATTATTGTTAATTATTAAAAATTCTTATATTAATTAATAAATTAATTTTGTGCACTGCCCTATACCTGCAGGGTGAGCCACAAGATAAAATCATAATATAAAACACAAAATGCATGATAAAAAGAACAAGAACAAGCTAATAAAGCCACTTCCGAGCTCGAGAGCAGGTGGGGTTGTGGGCTTCACGCCCTCCCCACGTGTGCGGGGGCTGGCTCCCAGCCTCCACGCCATTGAGGGAATCCTTGGCCACGTCATCTCCCTAGCCAGCCAATTGGCTGGCCTGGGGGGAGGCGTGGTTTGTGCTATTTAGCATCAGCTAAATCTCCCTCTTTTGCTGCCGTAGCTCCTCTGGTTTCCCACCCACCTGCCCTTTAGGTTTCACAAGACCTTGCTATGGACTTCGGTTGGTCGCCATTAAGGGGCCTGGTAGGAATTTTTCCACTTGGCAAATTGGCACCAGCCACTTGGTTTTTTCACCTACCTCGTAGCAAATCGTCACAACTTCCTGGGATTGGCAGTTAGGCATTGGTAGGGGTATTGTTATGTAGATGAGGGGGGAGGAAGCGCCATCACCTCCCCCGGATTGCGAAGGGTAGTCCGGTAAAGGATTCTGGGGGGCGTGGCCCTGTCCGAAGCCTATGGAGGTGAGAGTCTAAGGCATGCCCCCAAGCGGTGACCCCGGGGGAGTTCCTAGTTGATGTGCATCAGCAGGACTCCCCCTACTGGTGGTTAACCCTTCCTGGTCTTCAAGCAAACATGCTGAAGCCGAATAGTCGGTAGGACCAATGCCTAAGCCAATACCGCTCATCACCTGTAACCAATAAAGTTGTGGCCATTTTTAGCCCATTATCCTAAATACTTGTGTCATGTGTCGTTATTTCCACGGGGGGGGGAGGCGGGAACTCGCCATGCAACGCCCCCTTCTACAACACATTTTAAAAGGGCATTGGATGTCAATCAGGCAAAGGCCTAGTTAAAAAGTAACATTTTTGCCTGATTCCTAAAGGTGTATAATTAAGGCGAAAGGCAAACCTCCCTGGCGAGACCATTCCATAAATGGGGAGCCACTGCAGAAAAGGCCCGTTCTCGTGTTGCCACCCTCCGGACCGCTCGTGGAAAATGTATCCTTGAACTCAAATAGTGTCTCTTGCTTGAAGGGGTGCATTTGTGTATGTGTGTATATTAGCCTACTGTGCAATGGTACAAATTACCTTAAATGTTGCACCCCTGGAAGGTTATATGACACCATAATCTAGTCAATTATAGAGGCTCCTACATTTGATATGAACGTGAATTCCCCAACCTTCTTCCCTTTGGTGCAGCCATTCAATATGACCAGGTCCAGCTTGTTGGACAAGCACAACAGGCACAAGCCTGCATAGTTGCAACCCTTATCTTTTGAGTGCCTGATTTGTATAGAATGGGCTTCCTCTAAGATGGGTGGTGATTCGTGGAAGTCGGCATATAAGTCATCATCAGACTGGCCAATTCTAGCATTTAAGTTGCCTGCCACTATCACTGAGGCTGCAAGGAACTGATTCATCAGTTTGTCAATGTACGATTCCAGCCTGGACCAGATGTTTTTTATTAACTGCTTTCCTCTTTGAGAAGGAAGATATACTGTACATTAATTAGTAACAGGCTATAGAATCTATAGAAACCTAGACAGCATCTTAAAAAGCAGAGACATCACCTTCCCAACAAAGGTCCGTATAGTTAAAGCTATGGTTTTCCCAGTAGTGATGTATGGAAGTGAGAGCTGGACCATAAAGAAGGCTGATCGCCGAAGAATTGATGCTTTTGAATTGTGGTGCTGGAGGAGACTCTTGAGAGTCCCATGGACTGCAAGAAGATCAAACCTATCCATTCTGAAGGAAATGAGCCCTGAGTGCTCACTGGAAGGACAGATCCTGAAGCTGAGGCTCCAATACTTTGGCCACCTCATGAGAAGAGAAGACTCCCTGGAAAAGACCCTGATGTTGGGAAAGATGGAGGGCCCAAGGAGAAGGGGACGACAGAGGATGAGATGGTTGGACAGTGTTCTCGAAGCTACCAGCATGAGTTTGACCAAACTGTGGGAGGCAGTGGAAGACAGGAGTGCCTGGCGTGCTCTGGTCCATGGGGTCACGAAGAGTCGGACACGACTAAACGACTAAACAACAACAACATAGAATCTACATCTCACTAACAGGGCTATAGCCAGGTGGTTCAGTGGCCCCAACTTTACTAGGGTCACCCTCAGCCCATGGAAGGTTTCCTACAAGGTTTCCTACAAGAGAATGGCACTTGAGCTGAAAGGTTCTCCCCATCACTGCCTTACACTGCTGGCTCTGGCAGGAACTCATTCCTAGCCATTCTCAGCACTCTTAGCAAAGTACGGTTGCCAGGGTTTCTTGGGGGAGGTCATGACTATCAAAGTAGCATATGAGGATTTGAAATATATTGGGTGCATTTGACCACACACACCTTGGACTGTGTCCCAAAGCCATAGGGAGTCAGATCAGAGTCTTCTCTCCTTTCACCTCTCCAGTTAAAAGCACAGCACTGCTCAGTCCCCAGTACTTACGGCAGAAGGAAGGGCTCCTCCAGGGCTTGACCGAGACCTTGGCCACTTGGCAAGCAGACACATAGCTCTGGACGCTGTCGCACAACACCTTGCTGTCCCCGCCACCCAGGCACAGATCGTAGACGCAGTTGCTGAAGTATAGCCTGGGGTCGACCTTTCCGTGGCAAGCACTGAAGGGGCCATCAGATGCAGTGAGGATCCCACAGTAGTGGCGCTGTTTGAAGACCTCCCTTTTCTTTTCCTCGCAGACTGGGCAGTTGCTTCCAGAGCATCCATCTGAGCAAGATTCAACTGCCCCACGGACCCGAACTTTCCAAGCAGCGCCAAACACAGCTACGTCAGAGGCTGTCTTGCCATTGGGGAGCAGGAAGTCATCCTCCTTCTTCCCGTTGTAGTTCCCACACAGGCCTTCCACTTGGTTCTGGTAGGTGCTTGGGACTGTGACTTTTATGTCATAAACCAGGTCATAGTTCACAATGAGACCAAAGTCAGTTTCTATCAGGACTTCGGTGCCATGCTGATAGACTCTGATCCGGTCAGCAGAAACGGTTATGGGGAGATTGTAGAACAGGCCATTCACCTGGGAGAAATAAACAGAACATCCTCTGGTTGAGTAGGGCTGGCTTCTTGCAGAAATGTTGGAAGAATGTTCATGAAGCATATGCAGGGACCATATTTTATCCCACTACTCTGATATATTAGCCCAGGCATAGGCAACCTCGGCCCTCCAGATGTTTTGGGACTACAACTCCCATCATCCCTAGCTAACAGGACCAATAGTCAGGGATGATGGGAGTTGTAGTCCCAAAACATCTGGAGGGCTGAGGTTGCCTGTGCCTGTATTAGTCCCTTTCTGCATGTTATAGACATGAGCGGAAGAGAATTTGTGTGTATGAGCATACTGACAAATCAGGGGGCAATAAAAATCTACATCAGAAACAAGGAGGGATTGAAGATCTACATTGAGAACTGGGGCAGGAGAGAATCAAAGGAACCTTACCTGACAGTTGAAGTGGGTATCAAAGGACACAATGGAGGTGGGAGGGTTCTGCTCTAAATCATGCCTGTCAGGTGCAAAGCCCAGGAGACTCCAGAGGGCAGCCCCACCATTTCCTTCTTAGAAGACCAGCAGTGCCTCCTATTCACCAAGAGGCCACTGTAGAGGAGCATGGGGTGGGGGTTTCCTGAGGATGCATCAGATCTGGCCTTCAAGGAGTGTGCAGCAGCTGTTGTTGCTTCTGTGACAGAAGCAGGCAATGCATTTTTGAAGGCCAGGTGTGCTGCCCCTATGGATCCTGCCACCTGAGGCCTTCCCTCATGGGTGAGCTTGTCCTGGTTATTGGACTCCAACTCCTCTCAGCCTTAGCCTGCAGAATCAGTCGTCAGGTATAACAGGAGTTGGTCCCATCTGGAGGGACACAGGATCCCCATCTCTGTTTTAAGTGCTCTGCCCATTCATAAATTTACCAGAGACAGAATAGCAAGACTTTCCCCTCTCATATATGGATAGCTCCCAGTGCCAATCTGATCTTCTGCGTAAGTGTACAATCACACAGAAGCCCAGATTTCATTATTCATTCCTCTTCAAGAAAGGAGGGTAAGAATCATGCAAACAGAATGCTATTCGCATGGTGGAAGGGAGGGGCTCACGCTGCTCTTTCCTATGATACTCAATTGGGGATACTGAGGCAGGAGATAAATTGGGTTTGGTTTTCATTTTTATGGAAAATCTACGTAATTTGTGCTTCCAGAAACCATAAACAAAACAAAACACCTTTCTGAATTTTGCAATGCAGTTTTCAAACCAAATATGTACAAAAATACGTACAAGTGTCCTTTAATGCATACTTTTAAAGCTTCTTATTAGTGAAAACAACATACGAAATGCATCCTGGTAGGGAAAATTGATTGCAACAAAATGTATATTAAACAAATCTGCATACAAAACTTTGCATGTTAAGAGAACTTCGCAATAACGCAGACAGCTGAACTTAGGACTGGAAAAATTAGAAACTAAGAGAAACAGAAATTGGCAGATGTTTTCATGACTAATTGAATGAATGAACAAAGACAATGCCTTAATGGAAAAAGGGGGTGGGGATAAGTAAAGATTTAAAGATTGTTCTCCCCTTTTAGCATGGACTCACCTGCACTTGACCATCCTTGTTCTGTAGTAATGTGAGTGTCATGCTGTAGACCCTGACCGAGACCATCTTGGTGACAGACGCCTTCCCATCCGCCCAGGCCTCATTTTCCACATTGACAATAAAGGGCTTCAAACCTTGGCTGTTTCCGCTGGCCCTAGCCAAGGTATAGGTGCAGGTGCCTTGGAAGTCAAAGGCCAGTCCATCGAAGGAGAGATAGTGAGGGTCACCTGAAGCAGAACAGGTGGCGCTGCCAACAGGGTGGCATTTCCGAACGCCATCTGACAACCGGCATTCCTGATTGGGGCCACAGGAGAATACAGCGCAGCTCACACTCCCCCCAGTTTGGCACGTGCAACGCTCCTGACATGAGGGGTAAAACGTATCTCCTGCCTGGTAGTATTGGCCTTGGTGGAGACAACCGCACTGGAATTCTGGGATGCATCGATCACCACTCAGCACGAAGCCCTTGTTGCACACGCAGTCTTCCTGGCACTTAGTGGGACACGGGGCTGCAACACAGGTCTTGGCGCAACCGCTAGCGCAGAGCTCGTAGTGGCTATTTGGAGCACAAGAAAGACCTACCAAATCAAAGCAAGGTGGTAAAAAACTGGCAGGAAGAACATGGCTGAGAAAGCAAAGTTCTAAGTTGACCTGCTAAAAGAGGTTATGGGCCGAGGGACTACTGTATCTCAAAAAGGCTCCCAGGGTTCCGTTCTATTCTCAAAGTGGCTAATCAGCTGACAATGGGAAGTCCACAAGTAGGACAGAAGCACAATAGCAGTGTCCTACTTGTAATTCCCCTGCAGGGGCGCCAACTTCAATAAAATATCGGGGGAGGGCAGGTAAGCCCAACCCCACATAACTGATCACAGGTTGTGGTGCATGCACACCATTTGAATGGCAATTACTTTGGGGGGTGTTCCTCTTCAAATAGTTTACTGGGGGCCCTGGAGGGACTTTGGACTTAGAAGAGGCACCGCGTTCTACCCAACATAGGGAGGGGGTCATCATATGCTCATGATGTCAAAAGTGTGACACACACGTGTGATCTCACAGGCACTGGGAAGAGGCTGTGAGGCCTGATTAGGCCTGCCACCACTGTGCAGAGGCCCAGGAAGGCCTGACCCCTCAAGATGGGGGGGGCAGTGGCTCAGGTGCGGGGAGGAGATGTTCTCAACCCTTATAGAGTTGGCGTCTATGGCTCCTAGGAGTTGGCTCTTGTGTTTCCAGCATTGTATGGACAGTTTGAAGGCAGATTCCAGGCTGTGAACTAGTCTTTGACCTATTACTCTCATCTGGGTCCATGCCCCACAAAACACATTTACATTTCCCCCCTTTTTGATGATAGTATGTGCAATTCTTCATAGTGAGTGCCTCTACCAATTTACCAAAGTCCCCTGCTCCTTTGCAGCTGATCACTGAAGAAGTGAATGTTTGGCCAGGGGGTCAGGTGGGGCAATCAGGAGCCCCTGGGGCACAGGCAAGGCAGAATTGCTTGCTTGGCTTGCCAATACTGCATAAGCAACGCTGTCCTGTCCTGTCCAGGCCATGCCACTGGCCACTACTGGGGTCATTGCTACATCCCACCCATCTGCTTCAAGGCAGATCATCAGCAGGGAGATTTTTGGACATAAGGTTTTACCCAAAATGGCACAGAAACAAAGTTAGTACAGTGGTACCTCGGGTTAAGTACCGTATTTTTCGCCCTATAGGGCGCACTGGCCCATAGGGCGCACCTTGTTTTTTTTGGGGGGGAATAATAAAAAAATTATTCCCCCCCCCAGCTGCAAGGCTGGGGCGGCGGAAGCCCGAGCTTCCCCGACCCCAACCCCCAGAACCGGCTGCTATCCGCAAGCCTTGCGAGCCCGGCGGGCACTCGCTCTCCCGCGAGCACTCGCTCTCCAGCAAGCCTTGCGAGCCCGACGCCTCTCGCTCTCCAGGCTTCAGCGAAAGCCTGCATTCGCCCCATAGGACACACACACATTTCCCCTTCATTTTTGGAGGGGAAAAAGTGCGTCCTATAGGGCGAAAAATACGGTACTTAATTCGTACCGGAGGTCCGTTCTTAACCTGAAACTGCTCTTAACCTGAAGCACCACTTTAGCTAATGGGGCCTCCCGCTGCCGCCACACCACCGGAGCACAATTTCTGTTCTCGCCCTGAAGCAAAGTTCTTAACCTGAAGCACTATTTCTGGGTTAGCGGAGTGTGTAACCTGAAGCATATGTAACCTGAAGCGTATGTAACCTGAGGTACCACTGTATATATATTTCAGAAGCAAAAGCAGTGTTGGTAACTTTGTGTGCCATTTCAGATAAATTACCATGTTCTCTGAAGATCTGAGGAATTTAAAAAAACAGCTCTGGGCACTTACTGCAGAAGGTGTCCGATCTCCAAGGATAGAGGGTCACCCCAGCTGCCTGGCATGCTGAAGCATAGCTGGCAATGACCTGGCAGATCACAGCTTGTTGGCCATCAAAGAAGCAATAATTGTATACACAATCTTGGAAGTATCCTTCTGGATCCACTTTGCTGTGACATTCTCTGAAGGGGCCGCTCTTGGCTAGGATGAGCCCACACTCTTTGTTGAGGCTCCGTTGACGCTTCTCGAAGGTCAGCCGTGCAGGGCACTCTCCCTTGCCCCCCTCACTGCAGCCTGGCACTTCCCGCACTTTCCAGCTCTGACCAAAGGCCGATGGGTTTGGAGCCACTGTGCCATCTTTCATGGTCAGATCATCCTGCTTGTTGCCATTGAAGTTCCCACAGAGACCACACAGGGCGCCATCATAGCTGCTGGGCACAGTCACAGTGGCACGGCTTTGCCAGTCAAAGGTGACGGTCATCTTGAAGTCTGTCTGGACCACTGCCTCTTGCCCTCTCTTGTATATGGAGATTCTGCCGTTGCCGATGCTGAAGGGCAGGTTGGTCAGCAATCCATTCACCTAGAGCCCATTTTAAAAGGGGAACATTTCAGAAGTGCCTTTGTAATAGCCTTGCCAGTTAGCTCAGTTGGTTAGAGCGTGGTACTGATAATGCCAAGGTCTCGGGTTTGATCCCCGTATGGGTGCATATTCCTACACTGCAGGGAGTTGGGCTAGATCAGTGTTTCTCAACCTGTGGGTCCCCAGATGTTGTTGGACTACAACTTCCATCATTCCTAGCCAGCATGACCAGTGGTCAGGGATGATGGGAGTTGTAGTCCAACAACATCTGGGGACCCACAGGTTGAGAACTGCTGGGCTAGATGATTCATGGAGTCCCTTCCAACTCTATGATTCTGTGATACTTGATGTATCTGTGGCAGCTTTGCTTAGCCTTATGCATTCTGATCCTTGGGAGATCAATACTATCTGGAATGCATAAGGCTAACCAAGGCTGCTCCAGAGTACAGAGGTCAACAGCAAAACTTATCATTTGGGGTAGGAAATTCAACT